TATTTTAGAGGAAGATACACTTGAAAGTCATCAGCAAGATAATGGAAAGGCATGCAGTACACCAGAGGCAACATGTACAAAGAAAACTGAATTGGACCAAAAACAGAGCCCTGGGGCACACCAGGCTTCAAGGCTGCATCAGTTTTTGGCCTGTGGGCAGAAACTGGATAAAACACATGCATGTATATGTAGAACAAGCTAACTCCATACAGATGGCCAAGAAAAGAACTCTCAACTGCCTTGCTGCTAGGTTGAACTGAATTCAGTAGTTATGCAATACATCAATAGTTCAAAACAAATGGTAATCAAATGGCCATTCACTCTCCCTCAAAGAAAACAAGGATCATCAACTAAATTCAATTCGACCCCAATTACATGCAAAATAAAGCCATTTTTTGTGCAAATAATCACAGAGCTGTAATCAGACTCAGAAAATAAAAATAATAATGAACAAGAATCTGCTTCTAGACCTGCAGAAAGAGAAGAAAAAAAGCAAAAAACAAAAAAAATGGGACACAACAACAATACAACAACATCAAGCTATCACTGCGTCAACTTGATGAAGAAATATTTAATCAACATTGTTTAACTGAACAATCACACGATAATAAATCACAGTGCATTAAGTGCCCACCATAGCCTTAAGACCTGTGTTGAACTTGCCCAAGTCCATACTTATGAGAGCACCATGTGAGCACCTGTGTGTGTACACGCGCTTGTTTATGTAAGGTTTCTCTATAGGAGCGTCCAATAGAGAGTGTAAGGGGCCACAGATCTGCCCCCTAAAGATGTGCAGGAGACGGAGGGAGCTCCAAGTCCCAGAGATCCAGGAGTTGCCCCAGAGCACAGGAACTCCAGGGAGACTGCGACCAGAAAAGCCCCCGCTCCCCTCGAGAGGCGCAGAGGATCGCCCCGGGGGCCCACAACCAGCAGCCGGCAGAGTCCCGGGAGATATCGGCGGCAAGCCCACAGGCCCGCCCGCAGCCTCCCACCTCCTAGCCGGCCGAGCCCGGGACCCAATGACCCGGGACCCAGGGCTGACCACCCCCGCTGGGGACCCAGCAGAGCCCAGGGACCCAGACCCCACCAGGCAGCCACCAGGATTGGTCAGACAGATGCCAAAAATATTAAACTCCCTGACCCAGGAGCCACGACCCAGGCAGACCAAGGCACCGCACTCCACACCAGGTGTGGCAGGGAGAGGGGGGACGAAGATCTACAGTATATCATCAAAAGAAGTCCCAGAAGAAGGGAGGAGTCAAAGGCCCCACCTGCCTATGCCAGCTGATGCCACCACACCACCCCACTTGCACCCATAGCCCTCAGCGTCTAAGTGCAGTCTAAAATTGGAAGTGGGCACCGGCACTTGCGATGAGGCTGAGAAATCCCCCTGCCAAATGCCGTTGAATGTGCTCACTCCCAAGGCCCTAAGTGTGTGTTTGCGTGGAATGTCGTTGGTGGAAGTGTTTAAGGTGCAGGAAAAATTGGGGGGCAGGTTGCCACAGGAATGCCGAAATGGGATCCATACCCGCACTTCCTGACTTGTCCACCCCCCAAGGTCCTATGTGCATGTTTGTGTGATGATGTGAGGGAGCAGGAGGAGAGAAATGTGTGGGGATGGGGAGGAATGGCTGGTTGGGCTTAGCCCTCCAGGGAGCCAGCTCCCCCACTGGCCCCAATAGGCACCTCCATTGGTCAAAATGCCACCCAGAGCATGGAGACCCCAGCCCATCCTGCCAGAGCCCAAAGCAGCAGCATCACAGTGCCTCACGGAGTCCGAGGGCACCAACCTAGCCCCAACCCAGCAGAATATCTACGCCCATCCCTGCATTTGCACAACTTCCGGACTATAAAAGACATAGGACATCCAGGTAAGGTTCGGTCCTCCCCTTCCTGGACTCCCCCCTCCCCTGTGATGGGACAGCAAAGGAGCCAAGGTCTACCGGAGGCCCCTGAACCCGAGTCAGGCACTGCTGCATGTTCCTGCCTTCTCCCCGGCAGCATAAATGTCAGGACCCGACTCCTAAGGACCCACCCAGATCCCCCCATGGGACCAGCCACCCCGAGCCCCCACCCAGACCCGCCCAGGTGCCATGCAGCCGCTGGGCAGTAACCCATGGCCACCGCCAAGACCTCCAAGGGGCCCCACTCACAATCGCCAGTAGTCCACCCCTGAGGCAACCCAAGCACCTCCAGAGGGGGGCAACGGCCCTCCAGTCCCAGACACCCCCAGTGAACCCACCTCCAAGGAACATCCAGATACTCCAAACTCAGACCCTCCACCCCCCCACCCACATCATCCCGCAGGACAATATCAATGGTCCCCCGTCATCGCTATGTGATGGAACCGATCAAAGGAGCCCAGAGAGATTGATTTGAAGTGGAAGCAGAGGCTATATCAAGTGTAATATGATCTAACAAAAGATTTCTATACTGGTTGATGCAAAGAGTATCTCTATTTTGAGAATTCAAGAGGATAGTTTTCTTAGCGATGTGTATGGCAGTCAGAACCACGTGAGCCAACGATGTTACAATCAGGACGTCGTCCAGGTTTCCCAGTGTTGAGGGTCTGCCCTCATGAGAAAATTACTATGCAGTAATTTCTCCAAAAGACTGTGCCAAAATTGCCCTGGAGCGTCTGCCCTCATGAGAAAATTGCTACGCAGCATTTTCTCCAAAAACTGTGTCATCTGTGCTCTGAAAAAGCAGATAATAAATTCCAGCGCCAAGAGAGACTTCATTTCCCATGATTCCTTGAGCTGGAAGCAACGTGATTACGTCACCGTCGTACCCGGAACACAAGTTCTGCGCATGTGCTGGAACCACACAGAGTCTTCCTGCCGGAAGCTATAAATCCCAGCGAAACGAAACTTAACTCCGTCTTTTGTTCCAGTTCAACTGGCGTGAAGAGGCACTCGTTTTCCAGCTCCGGACTCAGGCACGAGGCCTGACGGCTGAAAAGCAACGGAACCGCTGAGGAGCAGCGTAAAATCATCGTCTGGCTCAGCGCGATTGCAAGGGACGCCTTGAAGTCGCTCAGAGAAGAGTTTGCTCCTGCAAGTTTTTTTTCTTCCTATCGATCTTTTCTTCTGTCTGATATAGTTCAGAATACGCAACCACACCGCGCAATTTGCTTCAAAATACCAACGGCTTTCTCTATCTCCGTACCAAAATACGCCCATCGGATCTTTTTAAGAGTAAGTTTTGTTCGTCATTGTTTAATATCTTAAATAGTTTTTATGCTGTGGCCAGGCTGACAAACTATCAGATATTCATTTATGATTGATCTTTTGTGTTGTTTCTTGATTTTTGTGAAGCGGTTTTTGAAGTTCAGTTTTAAGTTACTGTGATTGAAAGACTTCGGAAGTTTAAAGTGCAAGTTACCCATGCACACACACACACACACACACATACTTGTTTTCAGTGTTTAGGAGGACACAAGACTAAAACACACACATATTGGGTCAGATTGTTTTACAGGATCATTTCATTGTTTCATTGTTAATTGTTGTTGATAAAATAAGTTGGTTAATATTGATTGGCTAACCGCTTCAGAAGGAGCTGAAGTGATCATTAGTTAATAAATGTATTGCTAATTAACTCATTCACTGCCATTGACGACTAAAGTCGTCATTTTAGATCCAACCATTCACTGCCAATGACGACTAAAGTCGTCATTTGCATTTTTTTTACTGTTTGAGCAGCAGAACGAGCCCCCGCACTGAGAGAACAAACATCTGTGCCCTGAAGCCGATCTTCATCCGCATACGTCACAGATCACATGACCAGGAAGCAGACCATCCATGTATTAGGAGATCGTTTTGGGCCGTTCCTGTAAAAAAATGAGGCGCAAACCGGAAAAGCTTCTGCCAATCACAATTCAACAACGGATTATGAAAGAACAGGCTAACTTTCGAAACACACGGACTCTTCCTGATGTAAGAAGTGAGTCTCCTCTTTGTTTTGGTTGTCTTGGCATCAACATAATCCTAGCGCGCAACGTTCTGTGACTCTTAAAAAAACAGTAAAAACGGTGAGAAACGCTGGCAGCGAAGGCCGTTAGCGATCAGGAAATGGCTGGCAGTGAACGAGTTAAGATTTTTTTCTCAGATTGAGTTTATTTGTGTGGTATGAAATTTAACTGCAGCTCGTTAAGATTCACGGAGCGTTTAGACAAGATTGATAAGAGGTTTGAATTCAATTTTTCCCCTGTTAAAAGGGGTGGTGCCCCGTGGATATTCTAATATCCAAATTAATTAATAAATCGGTAAATATTTCCATATTTACGAATTTATTGATGAATCCAAAAAGTAAGTAAAAGCTCACAAATTATTTGTTTGACCAAAAGTCACAACACCAGTAAACAAAGAGAGAGGGCGGTTGGGATATGACATTTCAGACACTTTGACAGGTCTTCACATACTCTACCCCAAAAATCCTGGACTGGTGGACAGGACCACAGTGCATGAATGTTATCACAACATGCCCTATAGGTTATAAATTGTAAGTCGCTTTGGATAAAAGTGTCTGCTACATTAGTAAACATAAAATAAACAATGTAATTGTCAGGAATGTTGTTTGTGCAGTGTGTACAGGTGTCAGATGACACAAACCCCATCTTTAACATCCGATGACCTGTATAGTGTACTCTGTGTAGAATTTTGTACTGAATTAATTGTAAATTGGAGTGTCTGATCATTTTAAAAGTTTTTAAACAAGTTTGGGACCAGAAGTTCTGGTCAAAGCTGACTGATAGAATAGCAATCCCTATTGAAAAATGGGAGGTGGATCTATTGTCTATTTTGGACAGTGTCTTACATACTTTAGACAGTAGTTTGGGGGTTTTGAGATTATAGAAGTCTAATACCATTGGTGGTGTTTGTAATTCTATTTTACTGATCTGAAATTTTTGTTTGACCACAGATTTAATTTGGTGGTATTCTAAAAAGCTATTCTTATCTATTCCAAATTGGGAGACTATTCTATTAAATGGGATGAAGTCCAATCCTTATATGTGTTCCAGGTATAGGATTTCTTTATTTTTCCAGTCTGGAAGGTTAATCATTTTATTATTTTGCAAAATATCAGGATTATCCCAGATAGGTGCGCATCTGCATGGTACTAGTGAAGACTCTGTCATTTTTAGAAACTCCCACCATGCTGTCAGAGAGCTGCTGATACTAATACTTTTGAAGCCTTCATGTTTTCTTATGCTTGAGCTAATAGATGGTAAGTCTGAAAGCTCTATCGTATTGCAAAGTGTCTGTTCTATGTCTAACCAAGACTCATCTAGTGGGTTATCTTGCAACCATCTTGGTATATATTGCAGCCTGTTGGCTAAGAAATAATAATAAAATTTGGGTAGATCCAGTCCTCCTCTGCCTTTGGTCTTCTGAAGCGTTTTAAGCTAATTCGTGGAGGTTTATCCTGCCAAATGAATTTGGTAATTGAGGAGTCCAGAGATCTAAACCAGTCAGCTGGTGGTTTGTTTGGGATCATTGAAAATAAGTAATTTATTCTGGGTAAGACCATCATTTTAATTGTAGCAACTCTCCCCATGAGTGATATCGGTAAGGATTTCCATCTTGCAAGATCATCTTCCACTTTCTTTAAAAGTGGGATGTAGTTTAGTTTGGTTAGATCTGCTAACTTGGGAGAGACATCAATTCCCAGGTATGTGATATTCCCTGACTCCAATTGTGTATTAAGTAAATTGACAAAAGAGAAATTGGTAGAACTGTGGATTTTAACCCGTTTATAGAGTAATCTGAAACTTTTGAAAAAGAGTTTATCAGTTCTATTGAATGAGAGAGGATTGAGAATTCCGGAGAGAGTAAAACATCATCTGCATAAAGACTGATCTTATGTTCTATTTTCTTACACTTTATCCCTTTTAATACCTGTTGTTTGCTTAACTGCTGCAGCTAGTGGTTCAATAAAGATAGCAAACAGTGGGGCAAACACTCTTAATGTAACATAACATTATACTGATCATCAGGGCACTTAGATTCCTCTACTACAGTAAGATGGTAGTTCTAGTAGATCAGTCAACTTAACAGTCATGCAAATGATGGTCTGAGACATTTTATGTGACTGAGGATTTTATTAACTGCAGTAAAACAGAACATTTAAAGGGTTTATTACTGTTCTCAATCTACAGATATTTCAAGTCATACTTCTAAATTTCTAATCTTGCAGTAATGTTTTGCTTATTAAATTTTTCTTAGAATTCTTCTCAGGCTGAAATAAGATAATGAAACACTTTGGAGCAAATATACACAGAATCAGTCCAAAACTGGAGGCCAGAATAGCAAATATCTCCACAGCTACAGTAAATTTTCCAGGAGAGCTGACATATGCTGGGATGAAGGTGAGCCACACTGCACAGAATATCAGCATGCTGAAGGTTATCAGCTTGGCTTCATTAAAATTATCAGGTAGTTTCCGAGCTAGAACAGCTAACACAAAGCAGAAAACAGCCAGCAGGCCAATGTACCCGAGCACAGCCCAGAACCCAACAGCAGAACCTAATGCACATTCCAGGATGATCTTCTCCTTGTATGTGCTCAGATTCTTCATTGGGTAGGGAGGGCTGAGTAACAACCACACAGTACAGATTAAAACTTGAATTAAAGTAAAAAAAACAACAGTCAGTCTTTGCTGTGGAGGCCCAAACCATTTCATGACATTACTACCTGGAAGTGTAGCTTTAAAGGCCATTAAAACCACTACAGTTTTGCCAAGAACACAGGAGATACAGAGAACAAAGGTGATACCAAACGCTGTGTGTCGCAGCATGCAGGACCAATCAGAGGGAGCTCCGATGAAAGTTAATGAACATAAGAAACACAGAGTCAGAGAGAAGAGCAGCAGGAAGCTCAGCTCAGAGTTGTTGGCTCTGACAATTGGAGTTGTTCTGTGATGAAAGAAAATAGCTGCTGTTATGATGGCCAGACAGGCCCCACTAACAGAGAATGCAGCCAGGATGATTGCCAGGACTTCATCATAGGAAAGAAACTCCACAGGTTTGGGGAAACAGGCGTCTCTTTGTGCATTAGGCCACAATTCACTGGGACATGGCAAACAGTCTGGAGAATCTGCAAAAAAAAAAAAAAAAGTAAAAAAAAGAGCTGTCAATAATTAAAAATGTCCATTACCACGAGTGGTATTTGACTTAACCTGTTGTGTTACTAATCTCTCCTTCAGGACATGGTGTACAATCATAGCAGCAGATGGGTTTTCCTTTCTGCAGGACTTTACGAGTTCCTGGAGGACAACTCTCAGTGCACACTGATACTGGGACCTGTTAGAGGGAACACATTAAATAGGTTCAAATAAAATTAATTTAAACGAAATATACAAATATTTCTTAGTATCCATCTATTTACGTGTTTGCTGCCTTCCACCCAGCTCATGTTTCTCATGAGACGGAACTGCTGGCCTTCTGGCAGTGATGCATCGTAGTACCCTACTGTTACCAGCTCAACAACTCCACTCTCACTCTTCTGCCAATTGACCAGCTCATAAAATGCTACAGGATCTCCATTAGCATCAAATGATACAGGATAACCGTTTCGAGAAAAGTTAACCATTTTGAGTTCAGTTAAAACCTATAAAGTGAAATCAGTGTTTCAGTTACAAAAATTAACACATGTTGGTAAAATCATCTTAAAAAATATATCAAAAAAGGGAAAGAAACAATTGCCACTCAAAAAATATAGAACATACTAAACCGTCCAGGGCAGTACTACTCACTCCTGGTCCTGGAGTGCTGGTATCCAGCATGTTTTAGTTTCAACCCTGATTCAACACACTGATTTCAACCAGCAGGTAATTAACAGGCTTCTGCAGTGCCTGATGAGCTGCTCTACAGGTGATTCAGCTGCCGAATTAGGTGTGTTGGAGCAGAAGAACAAGGGAAACATGGTTATCGGCTCTCCAGGACCAGCAGTGTGTACCACTGATTCAGTGTATCACATTTTTCTATTTTAACTGACCTGTTTAGAATCCCGTCTGATGAGTTTGTCACACTGAGTTGTGAAGTTTGTTTCCCAACACACTGCATTGTGAATAGCATGAGCTATTGCATAAACAGCCTTGTACACCATGTTAGATATTCTTAACTGCGATGTATCAGTGAACGGGTTTTTCAGCGTTTTTATGTCTTCAAATCCATCACACACTCTTTTATCTGGATTAGCATCTAAAAATGACAGAAAACAGGAGGCCGATTTCTAGATGTTCATAATTATGTCTAAAAACAGTACATTTATTTAAATAAAATTTCTGATTAATAAAGGCACATGTGGCACACCTCACTTTTTTTCAGTGAACAGTTGAAAGCATCCTCCCAGAACTCAGTCAGCACTGAGGAGGTGGCTACTTCAGAGGGAGAAAGATCCAGTAGGAAGTCTCTCAGACCTGGGATGACAGATCGCTGGATAGCTACTCCGATGGCTCCTGCACAGAAGCTGTAGCTCAAGTAGCTGGGGTCAGTTATCCAACCCTCGCTTCCTATCCACTGACGAGGCGGTGGAAGCTCTCGAGCCAGCTCCTCTAACAAAACTCTTGTTTCACCAGAAGCTGTAAAAGCCACAACTACTGTTGCTGTTGACCTGGACATAGACACACTTTTTTACCTGCATTGCATAATGTGTAATTTTGTTAAGACAAGCACGTCTATCTGTACTTTGAATCAATCTTATGTTTTACTAAACACATTTAATATTTTTGTTTAGCACCTTCTCATGCACATTACACATAAAACATATGCAAAAACCTGCGGATAACATCAGCTACTCTCTGAATCTTGCTTAGTGGGTCAGTTCGATAGAAGGATATGGAGTACTCCACACAGATTCCCTCTCTGTGTGCTGCAGCAAGAAAAGACGCCATGCCATAATTTCCATAATCTGAGTCTGAGCGGACAGCGCCTATCCAAGTCCAGCCAAAGTGTTTCACCAGCTTGGCCAGTGCATCAGCCTGGAACTGGTCACTGGGAATGGTTCTGAAAAAAGAAGGGTACTGCTGCTTGTCTGACAGACAGGCACAAGTGGCAAAGTGGCTGACCTGAAGAGAGAAAGATCAAAGTAGCTGTTTAACATAAAAGGTTCATAGATTTTAAATCATCACAGACCTAAACTCATTTCAGGTTTTTACTTTGCCATAAATTCAAATTACTTGCCAGTGGAATGTTGAAGGACCCAATGATGCGTGTCATGGTGATGGATGGCGTGGATCCGGAGTCCCCAATAGCTGCCGCCACCATTTCAGACTGGGAACAATTGCTATCTTTATAAAACACAGGGTCCTGACCATTTGATAGTTGAAATGCCACCTGGGTGGCCATAGGGACTGAAGCACATGAATCGTAGATCTGGTACCCAAGTTTAATGCCTGGCAGCAGCGCTGTGCTGTTGTTGATCTCTTCAATCGCAAAGATCATAGTAAAAGAGAAGCGCAGATCTCTTGCATTAAACCTGCACAAAGTTAATCAGGTAGGGGACAAAATTCACATGAAATTAAAAAAAATGAACCAAAAACCTTAAAATCATTGAAAATTTCAGCCTATCAAAGTATGGTAAAGGAAAAGGTTTTTTGTTTAAAAAATAATCAACAGCAAGAATTAATGTCTGAGTCAAATAACATTTTCAAATAAAATGTTGCATTTTAAACATTTAAAAAAGATAAATTTAACAAAATTTTATATATCTGAGTGATTCATATGTATGTGAAATGAATGCCTTTTTAAATATTACTGTAATGTCAGTATCGGACATATGAAATAACAAAGAAAGCAAAAAAGACAGAAATCTAAAAGTATTATAAAATATTTTTTACATGAGGCAAAATGCACTACTAGTGATGAGCTGCACGTGTAAAATTATATTCCAATAAAGTGCAAATGAGCACAATATAAATGCTGTATCTACACTTTTGACCAGTTAAAAATACTGTGTAACCATCAAAAATATGAATTTGTTAACAACAAACTTTCCACACAGCTATTTCTATATATACACATTTTTATGCAAATTCTTTTTAATCTCTCTGTCTGACTAACCTCCCTGTGCATCGTAGAGGCTCAGGCTTGATGGTGTAGTTATGAATCACCGTGTACAGCTGATAGTGAAAAGAGAAGACACCTCCAACAACAAAGTCTCCATCCATTGAGAATGCAGGTAAACAAGGAGATCCCTGTAGGGAACATTTCATCAATGATGCCTCGGTACTGCCACCAGCTGCAACCAGAGCCTTTGTAGGCACGATCCTTTGCTTCTCACCCTCCAGTGAGCCACCCAGAACAATAACTGACATCAGCTCAAACAAACTCACAGCCAATCTCAGACCAATAAAAATAGTCCAGATCTCCATTCCTTTCGTCTGTTTGCGCCAGTGGGTTTGCATCGGTTTATATGCCTCAGCTGTTGCACGTCAGTTCAACCTTCTTAAAAAAAAATCCCTCCAGTGTTCTTTGATACTGTTTATTAAATCCTTTCAGTGTTTTAGACTTAACTCTTGAGGTTTTTATTTACATAATATTTTATTAGGCCTGGGCAGCAAAAGCATTGTGATGGCCTCCTGCTCTTCAAGTGCTTATTATTATTTTTCTTCCCAAAATTTTTCGTGCTTTTTGAAGACTTCAGCATGTCGAAAAACTCAATAAATTCTGCATGTGGTAAAATTAACATTTTAAGGATGTTGAAAATTTGCAATAGAAATAGAAGAACAGCACCCCCTAGAAGGTTTCAAAACAGCGTCCTCATTGACATTAGTTCGTCGCTGAGTTATGAAATTTGGTACACTTGTACCTTTGGCCATTTGAACTTGGCCGTTTGACTTGCAATTAAGTGGGTTTTCTCATAAGACGTGTTAAACGTTGTTAAAAATTGTGACTTTCTGAGCATGTAGGCCTCAAACTTTGACTACTGTCCAAACAATATAAATTCCTATAATTTTAACTCTGAAGATCATGAATTCACAAAACTTGATGCGTTTGTTCCTCATTTGGCCAATGACAAAATATGATGTCATCTAAGCCACACCCTTTGTGACAAAAATGGTCAAGTTTTACTATGAAAAAGACAAAAGTCTTTGTGCAGTGGTTTATAGACCACCGATATACAACAAGGATTAATTTTCTGATTTTTTTGGCTTGTTGTATTACTAGATATGATAGACTTCTTATTATGGGTGATTTTAATATTCACCTTTGCTGTCCAAATAAACCGCTTGTGAGGGAATTTTTAAATATTTTGGACTGTTTTGATTGGAATCAACTTGTTTCTGTTCCGACTCATTCTGATGGACATTTGCTGGATCTTGTTTTAACCATCGACATCTCTCTCTCTCTCTCTCTCTCTCTCTCTCTCTCTCTCTCTCTCTCTCTCTCTCTATATATATATATATATATATATATATATATATATATATATATATATATATATATATATATATGCATTTAAACGAGAGATGTGTCAGTGACTAATCTATTGGCTCAAGATGCTGTTTTTTTCTGATCATTGTCCTACTCTGTTTGAAGTTTTAGTTGCTTTTTTACCTGCATTAAGCAGTGTCCAGTCTAGCAGTAGAAGAATTGTAAATTCCTCTATTGCTCAATTGTTTTCAACTGAGTTTCACAGTCACATCTTGGGCTTGTCTGCTGATGCTGCTATTTTAGAATACTTGTTTACTACTGAGCTGGTGGAGAGACTCAATGCATCTTGTCTCCTTGATTTAGATAAAATTGCCACCTATTGATCTTGCAGATTTAAATGTAAGGGGGAGCCATGGCTGAATGATGGCACTCGTGCAAGACACTGCAGGAAATGTGAGCGGAGCTAGAAAAAATCTAGGTCACAGGCTTCATCTGAAGACATGAGGTCTGCATGGTGCTCCTATCAAATGGCTGTAAAAAAAAGGCAAAATCTACTTTTTTATCTGATATTATTAGCTCTAATGAGCATAACCTAAGATAACTTTTTTCTACCATGGATGGGATTTTAAATCCTTCATGTGTCAGTGGACTAGAAGCCTCTTCGCCTACTGCTGAGAGGTTTCAGACATATTTTATAGGCAAAACTGAAGCTATTCGAGCTCAAATTCCCCAGCAATCTTGTTTTATTGATGACGATATCTGTTTTGATTCGACAACTTTGAATTCTTTGGAGTCTGTATCCAAAGCTATGTTGGATGAAAATGTTAAAAGCATGAAACTGTCTAGCTCTGCGCCTGACATTATTCCGTCCTCTATTGTTAAGGACGTTTGGCCAGCTATTTCAAATATGGTTCAAAAAATCATCAACTCTAGTTTGCAGTCTGGGTAAGTTCCGAAAAGTCTGAAATGAGCTGTAATCAAATCCCTTCTCCAGAAACTCAGTCTTGATGTCTTGGTATTATCCAACTATCAACCTATTTCTACACTACCATTTCTTTGGGAAAGTCGTTTTAAAGCAATTGTCTAACCATCTAGATAATTCCCAAATTTTTGAAGTTTTTCAATCGGATTTTAGAGCAAAGCATAGTACTGACATTGTACTTGTGAGAGTGTTCATTGATATTCACAATTATACCGATGCGGGTTACATAGCCATTTTATTATTCTTAGATCTGACAGCTGCTTTTGATACTCTTTATCATGTTATATTTCTCGATCAACTGGAGAAGTGTGTTGGTCTCTCTGGTTCAGCGCTATCCTGGATGAGTTCCTACCTGTCTGGCAGGTATGTGACTGTTAAGATTGGTAGTTTCTGCTCGAGTAATGTTCCCCTGAAGTTTGGGGTCCCACAGAGCTCTGTACTTGGTCCTCTGCTTTTCAATTTTTACTCCCATTTGGGGCCATTTTTAGAAAATATGAGCTGAGCTTTCATTTCTATGCTGATGACTGTCAGGTCTATGCTCCTAGTAAAGCTAAGAAAGTAGCTCTAATGTGTCTTCGTGAGGTTAATGATTGGATGGTTTGTAATTTTCTGCAGATTAACAATTCTAAGACTGAGTTGATTATGTTTGCACCGAGTGGTGCTCCTGTAGTTACTCAGTCTTTGATGAGTGGCTTCTCATATGACGCAAAGGATGTTGTGTCTAATTTGGGTTTTGAGAAAGACTCTCAGTTTAATTTTGATGTTCAAGTCAATAATGTGGTTCGAGTAAGCTTTTTTCACCTAAGGAATCTTAATAAGGTGAAGTATTTTTTGATTAGGAATGATTTCGAGAAGCTTATGCATTTATAATATCTCATTTAGACTACTGAAATAGTCTTTACTTTGGTGTTAATCATGGGTTAGGGTTAGGTGTATTGAGTGTATTGCTAGGCTGCAGCTAGTTCAAAAGAGTTCAGCCTGTCTTTTGACTGGCCCATTTCACCATATCACTCCAGTTCTTGAGAAACAATAACTACATTTGTTGTTTATTGGTTTTCTCTTTTTGAAATAGTAAAGAAATCTTAATGAGATGAATAGGAACAATATTTCTTTTATTTAACACATTAAACAACAAGTGCCCAACAGAATAACAGGAAAAGTGTTTATTATGGAAAAAAAAACATCACATCAAAATTGATTCTTCAAATTGTTCAAAGGTGTAAATATTGTTAAGATGTTAAAGTCTTAACACAGGTCATAATTCAGTTTTTGTTCATTACATGTTTCTTAGAATTCTTCTCAGGCTGAAATAAGATGATGAAACACTTTGGAGCAAATATACACAGAATCAGTCCAAAACTGGAGGCCAGAATAGCAAATATCTCCACAGCTACAGTAAATTTTCCAGGAGAGCTGACATATGCTGGGATGAAGGTGAGCCACACTGCACAGAATATCAGCATGCTGAAGGTTATCAGCTTGGCTTCATTAAAATTATCAGGTAGTTTCCGAGCTAGAACAGCTAACACAAAGCAGAAAACAGCCAGCAGGCCAATGTACCCGAGCACAGCCCAGAACCCAACAGCAGAACCTAATGCACATTCCAGGATGATCTTCTCCTTGTATGTGCTCACATTCTTCATTGGGAATGGAGGGCTGAGTAACAGCCACACAGTGCAAATTATGACTTGAATTAAAGTAAGAAACACAACAGTCAGTCTTTGTTGTGGAGGCCCAAACCATTTCATGACATTACTACCTGGAAGTGTAGCTTTAAAGGCCATTAAAACCACTACAGTTTTGCCAAGAACACAGGAGATACAGAGAACAAAGATGACACCAAACGCTGTGTGTCGCAGCATGCAGGACAAATCAGAGGGAGCTCCGATGAAAGTTAATGAACATAAGAAACACAGAGTCAGAGAGAAGAGCAGCAGGAAGCTCAGCTCAGAGTTGTTGGCTCTGACAATTGGAGTTCTTCTGTGATGAAAGAAAATAGCTGCTGTTATGATGGCCAGACAGGCCCCACTAACAGAGAATGCAGCCAGGATGATTGCCAGGACTTCATCATAGGAAAGAAACTCCACAGGTATGGGGAAACAAGCGTCTCTTTGTGCATTAGGCCACAATTCACTGGGACACGGGGAACAGTCTGGAGAATCTGCATAGAAAGATAAAAAAGGCATGATAGAACTAAAATCTATAGTTACATATCCATGTGAACGTTACTTTTAAAAAGTAATTAGATATAGTTACTGATTACTTTGTCAAAAAGTAACTCAGGTACTTAACAAGTACAAAATTATAAAAGTAACTAATTACCAAGAAAAACAGCTATTTAGTTACTCTTTTCATTAAAGAATGCAAGGAAAATGGGTTGCCCTCTTTATTAAACTTAATTTACTATAAATAACTATAATGCTGAAATATGAATGACTAATGACTGGAACATAATAAAATGTATGTCAATTTTTTTTTTATAAAACTGAATACTTGAAATAAATGGGCACCTAACAAGCGGAACTACAAACAGGAACATTAGAATTATTTATTCTAACGTCATTGCGTGATATTTAACATGACCCCAATCAGCAAAACTTTATAATTGCAAATAGAAACGCCTTTAAAGGTTCCTGAGCCTTTATATGGTCTCTCAGTGTAGCTTAAAATAAACATAGTTTTGCACAGTATTCTAATTTCCTAGTTTGACAACAATATCTTTTGCTGGTAATCTAGTAATGGTTAAATTAATAAATTAGTAAGAGCTGAAGCTGGGTGGTAAAGACACACAGGTAGTTCTGATAACACCTGAACACCCACAACATTTGAGAGTGATGGGCTCGACACACATGAGGCGACAAACGACCGCGATCAGCGAAATTTGTCACCGTCGCTTTTATTACCTGACACACGGGAGGCGATCCGCGGCAGTGGCCAGCGGCAAAGCCGTCTCCGTGTTCTGTTCCGTGGCGAAATCAAAACTTCCATTGTTTTGTTTGGCTGTGTCAGGTTGGAGGGAATTAAGGTTATTTAAGCGGTTCAGAGTTTAAAAAGTGGTAGATATGATGTTTCACAAGGTGCTGCTAGAGTCATGTGAAATCTTACTTCTGATTTTACTATATAAAACATAATAATAATCAACTTCTCCATGTGTGCTCGGAGATGTACGGAGCATCCTGTCCGCTCATTGGTCAGTGAATGAAACCTCTTTTGATTGGTCCTCGTCCGAGCGACAGCGATGAATCTGGGGTTACAATACGTAACCAACGTTCTATTTCGTCTAGTCTTAGCCCTTAAGCTAGCTGCTATTGGAATAATGCGCAGCTGGATGGGTTTACGCCACACTGGTTAGCTCAACCAATGGACACACCCAATATGTCTCCTTTTAGTGAGGGTCACTCAGCCTCAGCCCAGGGCTTAAAAGGCTGAGGCAGCCAGAGAGAAGCGTGTGGCCCCCACTAAAAATATCATCCACAAGAGGATGAAATTCATTCAAGTAGGGCTGATGTGGTGCCATAATGCTTCCACTCAGCCTGCTGAGGTCCAAGCACTGAACGAGTGATGGGTCCTGAAGACACATCTCGTAAATAATAACGAGTAAAGGAACAGGGTGAAGCCCATGAAGCAGCCTGACAAATGTCTTCCATCGACACACCACTGTGGAGCGCCATAGAAGAGGAAATCCCTCTGGCTGAGTGAGCCCTGAGTGTCTCAGGAGGATCCTGCCCTGATGATGTGTAAGGGAGTGAAATGGCGTCATACAGCCAGTGTCAAAGACCCTGGGTCGACAGCGCTTGCCCAATGGAAGAATCTCTGTAGTGCACAAACAGGCTTTGTGAGCGGCTAATCCCTGAAGTGTATGACACATATCGTACGAGCGCACGCACAGGGCAGAGAAGATGGGGAAGAGGGAAAAGTCCAGCCAATGAAATTGACCTGGATTTGAAGGAAGTATTAATGTTTTTGGGCACAAAGGCTGGGTTGGGGCATAAAACAGAGTCCCGCCATCTTCCCGGATCCTGAGGCATGCGGGAGCCACTGAGAGGGCAGTTAGGTTGCTCACTCTCTTGACTGATGCCAGCGCCAGCAGCAAGGCAGTTTTGAGTGACAGGAACTTGAGTGAGACCTGGTCCAAGGGTTCAAATGGGGCTTCAGATCAGCTGCGCAGAACCATTGTTAGGTCCCACTGGGGAAATAGCGGGTGGGACACAGGTCTGTTCCTTCTGACACCTTCTAGAAAACGTTTTGTGAGGGGATGATTGAAAACAGATCTATCTCGAAAACCCTGGTGACAGGATGAGATAGCTGCAGCATATGTTTTAATAGTGCTAAATGCGAGGCCCCTGTCCATCAGCATCTGCAGAAACGATAGAACATCCGCCAGCTGGCAGGAGAGCGCTTGAACATTCTGCTCTGTGCACCATTTCTGGAAAGCTGCCCATTTAGCAGCATAAGATGTGATGGTAGAAGGCGCCCATGCACTCTGAATCGTGGCGACCACATCATGTGGCAGCCCAGAAGCCTCTAAGCGTGACCGCTCAGCAGCCAGACCCACAGCTGTTGGCCTATTTCTGGAGGATGTTTGATTATCCCATCCGCCTGGAGAAGGGCGTCCGCCCTCCACAGGAGCCTCCACGGGGAGCCGGACACTAGCGCTTGCAGGTCTGGAAACCATGACGCGGACAAGCGTCTGGGAGCTACCAGACTTACCGAGAGCTGTTCCGACCGAACTCGGTCCAGGAGACGGGGGATCAGTGGGACTGGCGGAAACGCATACTGGAGCATCTGAGGCCAGGGCTGGTGTGAGAAGGCGTCCGCTCTGAGTGGGGGGTGGTCCCGGGGACTCAGGGAAAACCACAGGCGACACTGAGCATTTTCACGAGCCGCGAACAGATCCACAGAGGGTTCCCCGAACTTGATCCATATCTGTGATATTAGTGCGGGATGCAGACGCCAGTCAGAGTCGCGGGGTCCCCCTCTCGACAGAATGTCTGCTGCCACATTCAGGACCCCTGCAATGTAGGTGGCTTTGATGGACAACAGGTGGACACATGCCCAACACAGTAAATCTGTGGCTACGCGCAATAGTGGGAGGGATCGAACTCCCCCTTGGCGATTTATGTAGGCTGCCGCCACCTGGTTGTCTGTGTGAACTTCGACATGACGGCCCTCGAGAAAGGCAGCGAAGTGTCTGATCACATTCCTCACTGTCATAAGCTCCAACACATTTATGTGCTCATGCGTGTGGGAGGGCCAGCGATCTGCCACCGTATGGGACAAGCACGTGCCCCCCCATCCCAAAAGTGACGCATCCGTAAACACAGATACTTGTGATAGGACGTCCGATGGGGACCCCGTGTGAGAGGATGCAGGGATTCCCCCAGTGAACGAGGTCCCCACCCACTGAAGGGGAAACCCTCAACATACATCTCTTCTAACGTATCGGGTGTAACCGGAGGCAGATGAACCAACGCTGTAGGCGTCTCGTGTGCAGTAAACCTAACGGCACCACAGCGTGGGCTGCAGCCATCATGCCCAGAAGTTTCATGACTAACAGGGCTCTCACGATCTTGCGGGGTTGCACGCGGGAGACCACCGTGGTGAGATCTGCCGCTCTCGCCGGAGACCAACGTGCTCTCAATAGGGAGGCGTCCAGCTCCACCCCGAGAAACACAATCGACTGGGATGGAAGGATGGAGCTCTTTTCCCAGTTTATGGAAAACCCCAGGGTTGACAGATGCTCTATTAACTTCCTGGTTTGCTCCAAAGCCTCGTCCTTGGACCGGGCGCATAGGAGCAGATCGTCCAGGTAAAATAAAACCCTCATTCCCACCGTGCACAATGGCTGCAGGGCCGTCTCCAGACATTTGGAGAAGGTGTGCGGGGCTAGCGAGTAGCCGAAAGGGAGACGATTGAACTGGTATTGAACTCCCTTGAATGAAAAGTGCAGGAACTTCTGGTGTTTGGGAATTACTGGGATGTGGAAGTATGCGTCTTTCAGGTCTATTGACGTGAACCAGTTCCCGGAGCGCATGTATTCTAGGACTTGCCTCATTGTTAACATGCAGAAATGCATCACTGCTATGGAGCAGTTGAACAGGGAAAGGTCGAGAATTGGTCCCATTCCTCCCGACTTCTTCGGTACTACGATGTAGCGGGAGTAGAAGCCTGAGAGCTCTTGTCCACGAGGGACTTGAGAAATAGCGTCCTTGGACAGAAGTTCCCGCAGCTCCAGGGCCTGAGATTGTTCCTATGACGTGAACGTCGTCTCCACAATCCCGTTGAAGGGAGGAGGAGCGGACTGAAAATGGAGTGTGTGATCACAATGAATGGTCTCCGATATCCATTTGCTCATGAGACAAAGGCGGCGCCATTCTTACGCACGTTTCGACAGCGGATGCGTGTTCGAGGTCACGTGAACGATGTCTGAGGACTGGGTTCCCGCCCTTACTACCATCACTCGCACCAGAGAACTGGGAGCGACCCATGGAGGGTTGCGCTCGAAAGGGTGAGTGTGAAACAGCTGGAAGAGGCTGATCCGCACAGCGGAGCGTGGAGTCCAAAGTTAAAGGACGAGTGGGAGCCGGGCCCGTGCACTGGGACGACAAAGTGCCAACGGATGGAGCCACGCACTGTGTCGCCGCACGTGGTTGCGACAGCGCCATGACATCCCGTCCCACCCAACGTTGTGGGGGAAGCGGAATGTGTTGGGCCTGGCTGGAAGCTAAGGCCGGTGCACGAATGGAGCCACAAGGCCCGCTGGATAAGGGTCTGCCAGGCAGCAATGAGAGCAGAACCGGTGAGTACAGCAGCGCACAGATTGACAATGGCATCAGCAGTTATAGTAATGATGGTTTTTGGCTCGTCAGGAGCGTCAAGCTCTTCCACCATTTTGGAAACGCCAAAGGCAAGAAGGGTGATGTTATTTCCTGCAGCACCGGTCTGGAAGGCGCACTGGTGTGCGCGATCGGTGAGCCGCGTCAGCAGCTGTTCATGCTTAGAAGCGGGAACTGCTCGTGGGCCAGCGAGGTGGTTCTTGACGCCAATCAGCGAGGCCAAGTCCGGCTCCAGTGGAAGAACAGAAGGCCAGCCTTGGTCGGAGAAGCCCTAGACCTTGGTAATGGGCGCATATGTGGAAATTGGCGCCTTGAGCTTAGCTGGTTCGGAGAAGGTGGCGGACCAGCAGCTCATTGCAGCGGGGAAGCGCGGCCAGATGGGGTCTGGACATCGCGTCTGTGTTGCCCCGAAAATTCCCGCCAAATCATCTGCTTCAGGCAGAGCCGGTTCTGACACGGCTAGCCCCTTGTGGACCGCAGCCGCGGAGATGATGGCAGGCAGCTCCTGGAGCAGTGCTCTAACTGCTGGTAGGGAGGAGCGAGAAGTCACTGAAGCAGAAGGATTCACTGAGTGAGGCTCGTCGACCTCCGTGTGGTCCAGGAGGGAAGAAGGGCTATGGCAGGCAGTCCCGTCGTACTCCTCACTGTCGATAACATTGTCCAGTCGGTTGAAGCCAGCCGGCAACTGGCCGACATTGAAGAACTGTAAGGCCTTGTCCAGTGAGTACGTGTCAGCCACCGGAAATTCCTCGTCGGCGGCGAGGGTGAAGTACTCGACCCGGCGGATCTTTTCAGCCACAGGCAGAGCGGCACAAAATGGGCACGAGGCCTGGGGGGTCAAGGCCAGGCCAGTGTGATGAGCCCCGAGGCAGACCTCACACTTGGCGTGCAGGTCGCCGCTGGAGATGGAACCCGTCTGGTAGGCCGGGCAGGTCCTGGCATCGCTGGACATGGTAGGTGAGTAGAATGCTTCTTGGATAATTGCTCTTTAAAGGAAGCTCTTAAGCTTGGCTTGAAGAGATAACGGAGGCGAACAGTGGAGTCGCTCCACTTATATACCCACAGGGGTGCCCACCATTGGTGGGCGTACATTTAAGCTCTTCATGATTGGCTGATTCTGAGCTCATCCTTCCAGTAGCAGCTAGCTTAAGGGTTAAGACTAAACGAAATAGAACAGCGGTATCAAACGTGATTTCCTTTTTTGGTTTTAATGGCAGATGACGTAAACTCAAGGGATTTTGTGATCTCACAAGTTAAGCAAGGAGGATGGCGGAAGTTTCGAGGGATTTTGTGATTTTGTGGGTCAAACTAAGACCACAACAGAGAAGCTGCTTCATGGCTGAGACTTTCCGATGTGCACTGGAGTGCAGCAATTGTCGTGAGTAAACCTTTCCGCTGCTGTTCCACGCTGCTGATGCTTCCAGTGATCATTACGGGTCAGTCGCATCCTCTTTTCTGATCCCAATTGATACATGCCATGGATTTAACATATGTCTATGAAATTTAAAGACACATTTCGATGCCAAGAAAACATCTATTTATGACAGGTGGCAACATTTATTTTAGGTTTTGTGTGGAAAGACTTGGAGAACTTCAAACTGCTCATCTAACAAAATTGACATCCTTCATCCAGGTTGTAAGAATGAGCATTAAATGCAGAGAAAGCCACCATAAATCTGGCCAATATTTCCCTCTAAAAGCCATGGGGTTGAGGCCCCTTCAAAAATAAGTATTATGAAACCTAAAAATGTATTGACACAAAAATGAATGGAAATTTTTTTATGTTACCTGTTGTGTTGCTAATTTCTCCTTCAGGACATGTTATACAGTCATAGCAGCAGATGGGTTTTCCTTTCTGAAGGACTTTACGACTTCCTGGACGACAAATGTCAGAGCACACGGACACTGGGACCTGAGACATAAAATAAAAATATATATAATATATATGTGTGTGCATATTTTGTCAGGTAGCTCTCATTAATCAGTTTATTGAGTGTTTAATTTTCTTACTTGTGTGCCACCGTTTACCCACGTTATATTCCTGCCCATATTAAATTCCTTTCCCTTTGACAGTGATGCATCATAGTACCCTACTGTTACCAGCTCAATAACTCCACTCTCACTCTTCTGCCAGTTGACCAGCTCATAAAAAGCTGCAGGATCTCCGTTAGCATCAAATGATACAGGATAACCATTTCTGGAGAAGTTGACTTTCCGTAGTTCTGCTAAGACCTAAGCAGTGAAACTATTGTTTAGAATGAAAATATATATAATGCGCATAAATATTGTTGAGGTTGACTTTAATGTTTACTGACCGGTTTGGACTCCAATATTTTGTGTTTGTCACAGATAGAGGTGAAGTTTGTGTCCTGACACACGGCACTGTGAGTGGCATGAGCTATTGCATAAACAGCTTTATACACCATGTTAACGCCTCTTAACTGGGACGTGTCAGTGTACGGGTTCTTCAGAGTTTTTAGGTCTTCAGTTCCATCACACACTCTCTTGCCTGAGTCATTATCTGTGAATAAAACCAAGGCAGCATGGATGATTCAAACAATTTAAACTTGGTTTGGCTTTTGTAGAAACAACTTCAAATATTTAACATAAATAACACTTTTAAATTATTTTTATCATTATTTTTGTTATTATTAACAGCAGCAAAATAATAATAATATAAAGCTGTCCAGCATAATTTTTGTTCCAGTCATATTATTATTATTAAATAATTAAAAAAAACATGTTGCAAAATGAAAAACTAAATCAGACAAATTAGACATTAAATTGATTTGCAGAAAATGAATGCATAACAAAATAGTCAAAGCCTGACATTAAAACGATGTTGAAAAAAACAGTAATTAGATATAAAACCACACTAAATTTCACTGTAAAAGTTTGCATTTCTAAAGAATGCGCACATGATTTTGTTTATAATTTTAAATGGCCTGCATTTGTATAGCACCTTCATAGTTCTACAACCCCCAAAGCGACACACATTCACACTTTGGTGGGGATGCGCTACATTGTAGCAACAGCCGCTTTGGAGCTCACTGACAGAGGCAAGGCCTGCCGAACTCAGGCACCACCAGTCCCTCCGACTGCAACCAGCAGGCAAGGTGGGTTAAGTGTCTTGCCCAAGGACACAACAGCAGCCTTCTTTAGACAGAGCCAGGATCAAACCTGCAACCTTCCGATTACTGGACAACCCGCTCTATCTCCTGAGGCACTGCTTAGCTGAAAATGTATTCCAGTGGCATTGAGTGAAAAGTGGTCTTTACAGTTATATTTTTCATGTAGAAGAAAAAAAAACTAACTTTTTGTGAGTGTGCAGTTGAATGCCTCCTCCCAGAACTGAGTCAGCATTGAGGAGGCAGCTACTTCAGTGGGAGAAAGGTCCAGTAGGAAGTTTCTCAGCCCTGGGATGACGGACCGCTGGATTCCAACTCCAATGGCTCCTGCGAAGAGACTGTGGCTCATCAAGAGTGGGTCAGTTATCCAACCCTCACTTCCTATCCACTGACGAGGTGGTGAAGGCTCCCGAACCAGCTCCTCGTACAGAACATTCATCTCACCAAAGACAGCAAACGCCACAACAACCACAGCTGTTGACCTAATGAAACATTGCAAAGAGTTAAATCAAACTTACTGTTGACCTTATTGCTTAAATAGAGTTAGTACTAATCAGGTGTGACTTTGTTCACAGTTTTATAGATTAACACACCAGAAAAGTTCATTATTTTTGCATAATAACATCCGCAAAAAAATTAATAATTAGATTTTCTTTAAAATCTTTTGTTCAACAGATCAATATCAAAGTGAAATTAAACATTAAAGACAGAAAACCTGCGAATAACATCAGCTACTCTCTGGATTTTGTTATGTGGATCAGTCCGTAAGAAGGATACAGAGTACTCCACACAGATTCCCTCTCTCTGTGCTGCAGCAATAAAAGACGCCATGCCATAATTTCCATAATCAGACTCTGAGCGGACAGCACCTATCCAAGTCCAGCCAAAGTGTTTCACCAGCTTGGCCAGTGCATCAGCCTGGAACTGGTCACTGGGAATTGTTCTGAAGAAAGTTGGGAACTGCTGCTTGTCTGACAGACAGGAACACGTAGCAGCATGGCTGACCTAAAGCAAAATAAAAATCTCATCAGCTCTACCAGTTAAAGAAAGTGGGACAGAGATCGGCACGGGTCTAATCCAGTCTCGAAATTTCACTTTGAAATGAACTCACTTCTTACCAAAGGTATGTTGAAGGACCCCATGATGCGTGACATGCTGATGGATGGCGTGGATCCGGACTCACCAACAACAGCTATCACTACACCAGTATGGGAACAATTACTGTTTTTGTAAAACACTGGGTCTCGACCATTTACTAGTTGAAAAGCTGCATGTATAGCCATAAGAACTGAAGCACACGAGTCACAGATCTGATATCCAAGTTTGATGTTCGGCAGCAGCTCTGAGCTGTTGTTTATCTCCTCAATAGCAAACATCATTGCACGGGAGAACTGCAGATCTTCAGCATCAAACCTGCACGCATTCAATCATGAGAGAGCTGACTCTAAGGTCAAATAAAGTTTCACACAAAAATAACTCAAAAAATGAGATAGAAGGAGTTTGAATTCTAAAAAAGAAGAAAGATTTGTTTTGGGACAATGAACAACTATAATGAACTATTAGTTTTATTTTCAAATAAAGTTGCACAATAGTAAATATAATAGAGAAACATAAATTGTACAACACTTAAAATGTCCATTACTTAACTAAAATTAAAGTCTATTCATGAATCAATAGAACTAGCTCTTTTTTTTACCCTATTCATTGATTAGTAGCAAAATATAGTAGTTTTTAGATTCATTCAACATGGTTTGCAGGCAGATTTAAGCTAAAACAATCAATAAATAGTTTTCTGATACCCTGAGAGGAAAATATCACACTATCATACATAAAAAAGGACAATGTAGAGAGAGGCAGGAATCAAATAAAGTATGTATTAACTCTCTTTTTGAAAATCTCCATCTAACCAACCTTCCTGTGCATCTTAGAGGTTCAGGCTTCACGGTGTAGTTATAAATCACCGTGTACAGTTGGTAGTGAAAAGACAAAACACCTCCAATAATAAAGTCTCCATCCATAGAGAAAGCAGGAAAATGAGGGGCACCCTGCAGGCAACATTTCGTAAGTGAAGCTTCAGTAAAGCCACCAGCTGCAGCCACAGCCTCTGTAGGCTCAATCCCTTGTTTGAGAGCATCCTCTGAACCACCTAGGACAATAACCCACATCAGCGCAAACAAACTCACTGCTAATCTAGGACCAATTGAGCGAGTCCAGATCTCCATTGCTCATGTGGCTGTATTTGCATGTCAGTGTGCTTGAATTTATTTTTACATCACTAACCCGGTGATCAGTGACAATTTTTCCATGACTAAATAATTTCTAGTCTACACCACCTATTTTCAAATGTTTTGAAAACACCTTTGTGAGGATCAGAAGTTATGCTTAAAAGGTCTTTCACTCATATTTTAAAGGAGACATAACATGAAAAACCCACTTTTTTATCCATTAACACAGTGTGTTTCACATTTTAAGTGTCTAAGTGAGCAAAAAGGCTTATATTATTCACTGGAGTTGCTATTTAGATATTTAATAATTAAGTTTTGGGCATATTTGTCCACCCGTTCAGTTTTTACATAATCTATTACATCAGTAATTAATTTAGTGAGGATAACTACCAAATATGGTAATGGCCCTCGGCTAAACACAGAGCCAATCCGCCATTTTTTCTTCTCGCTAAGATTTTTTGTAGTCCTATTGGAAAAATGCAGAATGTCTGGTTATTTTAGCCACACACAGCTCAAAACTGTTCCTCGTTTTAAGGAAGGGTGGTGTGGCAGTATTTAAACCCAGGAGCTGATGACACTACTGCTAAAAAAACACAGAAGAAAAAGTAGTGTGTTTGTGTTTGTGTTTGTGTGTGTGTGTGTGTGTGTGTGTGTGTGTGTGTGTGTGTGTGTGTGTGTGTGTGTGTGTGTGTGTGTGTGTGTGTGTGTGTGTGTGTGTGTGCGCGCGCGTGGTTCGTTCTTTCGTGTCTTCAGGCTAGTAAGTACTGAGGGCTTCATCTATCTAAAAGGAGTCATTTTTATCTGAATGTGGCAGCACCGGGACACAGCAGCAGAGCGGTAAGCTTCATATCACTCTAAAATGTCGACAAACTTTACTTTAGATTTACGGGCATTAGCAGCACTAAAGCGTTAGCATCCGGCTTGCTATCGCTAGCACAGTATGCTAGTAAAGTTAGCACCCAGATTAATGCGGATTTGGCTGATTTTCGTGGAATAAAACGTGATTTCTGATCAACGCCTTCTTTTACACCAGATGATAACCTCCCACTGATTGTAACAGCAGAGAGTCTGTGTGTTATTCTACGTGACTGTGATGTAATCTTAGCATCCAGTAAATAAAGTCCCATATCAGCTAAAATGCAGCGTGACAAAGTCATTAAAGTGCGTCAACACAGTGGATTTAATAGAGTAGTAAGTCTGTCTGCACTGCTCTCTAATGAGCTTCCTTTCATAAGGAATCATTTGTATAATTTTAGTGTCACTATTTTATTACATTTGTAAGAATATGAAGTCACTGCAGCAAAGTGAACTTGTGAACAAACACAAACGTGACTATAAACATGAAAGCTAAAGAAACGACTTTCCTAAAGCTGCTTGTAAACAAAATATGTCATTAAAGTTATTGTCTATCATTGCAGAATATGACGATGACATCATGGAACTGGTCTTTGGAAAAGTTTTCCCTGAACCAACTCCGTTTCTAGATGAGGTAGAGAAGATCTGCATCTCACCAACTCTCTGGTCTCAGTATTCAGACAACGGAGGTCTCCCACTGTTATCCAGGACCAGTTTGAAGCCCACATACTGCCCCTCCCTCATCATCAGGAAACATCAATCCATATCCTGAGGACAACAGAAGACGGCAGGAGGACAGGAACTCTGAGACCTAGACACCACCAGCACCGAGACACAAAGCACCTGTGTGCACAACGCCTGTTTTAACTACTAAAGCCTGTTTATTATATTGTTCTACTTATTTGCTGTGAGGTTAATACTTAGAAAATTTGTATATTAATGTAAACAATTTAAAAAAAATCACTGATTGTATGTTTTCTTTTAGATGTAATGGTCCAAACTCAGCCTTGTAGACATTTATTGCATCCTGTAGGTAAATACACAGAACAGGCTCAGGTCCAGGATGACCCAGCGTGCTCTTCTTCCATTCTGGCTGTTAGGGATTTTATCAATAACTCAATGCCTACTGATGTTTTCACCTAACGGTATTTATTTAGAATGCAGGTAAGATTTACCTATATTTGTTAGCAAAGCAGACTGATCTTGGGAATTTCACTGCAGCACTGATTTCCACCTCTCTGTACACATTAGAGAGAATTACCACTTTACAGCTAAACACATTTAATAAAGATATAGGCTACGCATTGCAGACAATAAAAACAAAGTTGTAAGCATTAGAATTATAATGATCACATTAAAGAACATTTGGAGGAATGTTCTTTATTTTTGACTCGAATCTCAAATCTTTAAATTAAAATGTAACTGCTTTTTATCCATTTTCAGCCATTAAGACACCCAATATTAAATAAGACTACTTATAAAATTATTTATAATTATATGAATGTATATATATATAGATAGAGATCTTAAAAAAATGTATTCTTTTAATGGTGTTTTAATGAGCTGTATCATTTTTAAAAACATTTTTTATAGAAATAAATAAGCAAGCAGCATTCCTTGTGTGTGTGTGTGTGTGTGCGCGCACGCACACGTGCCTGCTAGCTTGTCCCTCCGTCGGCCGTGACGGGTGTGTGTGAGTGACTACAGACAAATGCATGAGAGAGTTAGCAGCCTTGAAACAGCTTGATGAACTACCCTCCCCACATGTTTTAAAAATGCTAATATGCTATGCTAAATCTGCTATGCTAAATAATGATTTCTCTATAGAACTACAAAGTCCGACTGGGGGAGGAGAGTACAGGTCTGCACTATGGAGGGGGGCGGAGTTTACAGCTCCTCCTCCAGTTTAAAGAGACAGTACCCAAAAACGGCTCGTTCTCAAGACTCTCCTCAGAACAGGGGTAGATGAGGGTCTGTAGAGCAACAATAATGAGGAAATCAGACCAAAGAACTGCAGTTCCACTGTATTTAGACCCCAACTGAAGGATTTAGATGTAAAAAGGAATAACTTAAAAGCATGTTATGTCTCCTTTAATACAATTTCAGTAGTCTCTAGTAGGATTGAATGCCTTGCAAGTTGTACTTTGCTGGAAAAAAGTTCCAGTATGTTTGTTTCAGGATGGAGAGTCCAGTTAGAGAAGAAAGTACCTTCATGGGTCTTTTCCACCCAAACTGGCATGGAATGGGAAGGATCGGGTTGCTAAATATTTTGTTTCAATTGTTAAACCAGTCCAGAAACCCTACCCGAACCGGGCCAGTAGCGGGCCAAAGCGGGACCCCTTCTGTTGTGGGTCCAGAGATTTTTGGTCTGGGCAGAGCCACAGTGTAAATGGTCTAAAGTCCTCTGATTGGGGGAGAGATTACGTAACTACCCGCGACAATCCCAGAGTTCCAGTGTTTGTGTTTGGCTGTATGCCTTGTGCGAAAATGCCTGCAAGTAATAGCTTTTGGTCCAATGCGGAGCTTCAAACGTTCCTCACCATCATCACAGATAGCAACATTCAGGCCGAGCAGGATGGGAAGATTTTTTTTCAAATCCATACACCCTCATCATACACGTATGAGTTCATATGATGCCACATTTAAGTTGAAGGCCATCGATATGGCAGTAAAGGAGGGAAACAGTGCTGCCGCACGTAAGCTTGGCATGAATGAATCCATGGTTCGGCGCTGGAGATGGCAACGGGAAGAACTCATTCAAGCCAGCTTCACCCGGGGATGATGACATCAACACGGACAGCGTCACTGACATCGCCACAGAAAATCAAATCAAATCAATCAATCAAAGATGCTTTCTTAATCCCAGAGGGAAATTATAGTTTCAGTACACAAAATTCAGAGATCAGACATACATGGGCAAGACACATGACAAGAATTGGTGACTGTGGTCATTCGCAACCATGAGTCACGCTACTTTAATAGATATAAGAGGGGTTTACATGGGGGTTGGCTCAGGTGGAGGGGGAAAAAAGGCACTTCAGAGTTACCCTCCCACCAGGAGGGCAGCTTTGCTCTGCAAAAAAACACCTCAGACATATATGCAACAGACTTCAGACAACACAAGTGTCCACTAGGAGGGGTGGTGGGTTGGGACTATCCCTACTTCAGTTCCTGCAGCCACAATAGAAGCAGCGCATGTCACCTCAGTGTGGATGGGGGAGGAGCAATGAGGGTTGGAGGGTTGCAGTGACCCTGGAACGTTTCAGTGGCCTTCCCACAGTCCCGCCCAGGCTGGGATAGGAGACAGAATTGAGTTGCCATAGCGACAGCACATTCCACATATCTTCTGAGGTGGGGGTTTTCGTTGGAGCCTTGCAGGCTCAAGGACGCCAGATTCCGATTAGAAATTGTTTTTGGGGCCAGACAGAGATAATTTCCTCTCTGTCTTACAGTTTGTTGGTCCTCAACCTCTCAAAATCCCAATAATCAACATTAAACTATCCCAATCCGTGCTGATTCATCCACTCTCTCCTTGATGGCATCCATCTTTTGTGCCAATAATGAATCTCGGCCAAAGTCCCAAGCTTACGATTCATCTCGGCAATGATGTGAGTCTGTGAATTCACAGTGCGGTGCAATCCATCTCTGAGCTCGGGGATCAGGCCAATATTCCTTGATAGCTCATTAATTTTCCGCTAAGCCAGGTAGTCTCCAATGCCGATCAGTAGGAAACCCGACACCAACACCACGAATATCCACACATCTTCAGAGTCCTCCACAGACAGCTGGTCTGTCCCGGAGGGGCATCCGGGAGCCCCTTCTCCCGTTCTCATTGTTGAAAAAATTTTACTAACCGCGCTGAGAGACCAGCTGACAAAATTCATTTTAGTGAATTTCAATTTCCAGAAAAAATGCAGAAGCAGCCGTGCACCCAGCACACACAAGGTATGTGACGAAGCTCTTCTGAGGCTGTTCAACTCCGACACTGAAGAAGAGGACTTTAATGGCTTTAGTGCGCAAGAGGAAGATGAGAGCGAATGACTTTTTCTGGTAGGCAAGTGTGTTTTATTTACTAACCAGGCATGTTTTGTGTGAGTTTTTTTTTCTAATCATCCAGGGCTTATTAATGCTGTGTCAGCGCTGTTCTTTTCTTCTAAACATGCATGCAAGTTACCAGTAATAATGTGTCAGTTCTGTTTTTTATTTTATAACCATCCAGAAATATGAATGCTATCAGTGCTGTTTTCTTTTCTAAACTTGCAGGCACGTTCATCCGTGTTTAAAATTCGTTTTGTTGAATTAAAACAACAACGAAAAACCTCTGTGTAGAGTCTTTCTGATGTTATGGCCATACTTGCGCTGTGCGCCGGAGACCTGCATGTGGCTGCTGCTCCGCGGCTTGTATTTGAGTGCGGCATGTGTGTGTAGAAAACCTTTTTTTTTTTGTTGGTGCGGCTTATATTGAGGTGCTCTCTATAGTCTGGAAATTACGGTATATTTACGGTATATTCCTTCTGTTCCACCATTGCCTCGGCCAGTTCCTGCGCCACCACCATCACCTCTGTTCACTACCATTTGAGAGGAACATCTACCATGTCGTTGACGCACAGGTAGTGTCTGACCATTCTAAAAATTGCTTTGTGCGTAAACAAAACTAACAAGTTCACAGGACAACTGACATTTTGTTATCCATATATACACAAATGTAATTGCCAATGTTGTTTCCAGATGACTGAAGACGGCAATTGGAAGCACGCACTCAGATGATATTTGATGAGTTGCTGATCGCAGATGGCAGGCAGATGGACAGAATGGAAGGCATTAGCCGGAAGCAGGTTAACTGGATGCAACAAGATGCTGCAGTAGCAAGGCAGCATGAATCTTAGATCGCAGAGCGATATTTTGAACATTTGGTTGCCCTAAATGCTGTAGTTGTACTTTGCTGGAAAAAAGTTCCAGTATGCTTGTTTCAGCATGGAGAGTTCAGCTAGAGAAGAAATTACCTTCAGACGACAGGATTTGGAGTAAATTTGCTTATATTTCGACATCTCGCCTCGGATTTGCTAACAGCAATGTGATTCTAGACTCCGTTTACTTTGCAACCTTGATGATTCTTCTCCACAAATAACACCAGCCTGGGTTTTCTAATGACAATGGTTAGCTTAGACGTTCTCTGCTGGTTCCTGAACGCTAACCCAACAGCAGCCTTTTCTGTCACTAGTCAATATGGGTGAGTCCATGAATGTTGAGTGACAGTAGCTATGTTTAAATGGGCACAAATAATCAAAATGAATGCCCTATCAGATCAAAAATTCTTCACGTAAACAGTCAATCAGAATGTTCTGATCCAATACCAATGATCCAATTAAAATTCCTTTCGATTGAGACAGGTGGTTTTGTCCGACCATCACTCCGATTGATGTCCATGTACACAACTATTCAGATTGTTGGGATAACATTATGCCACTGCACGTGTGCAACTTTAGAGTGATGTCTTTCCTTCTTTGCAGGCGCTTTTGACAAGTCCAAAACATGTAAACAGAAGTGGCCTGTTGCCAACATTACTTTTCTACTTGAAACACAACAGGAGCTCAACATTATTGAACGTCTCAATGGCCGAAAGGCTACAAATGCCGAGTTATACACTCATGTGCATCTAAAGACGCAGGAAGCAGGAATTCACTGAAGTATCGACCAAATCAAAAACATTTTGACAGGTAAGTCAACGGTCAAAGCTGGAGAATAAGACATTATAATACGAGTGAACAGAGGTGCGGACCAGATGGTGTTTGGTTACAATTTTTTTCCAGGAAAGACAACTAACTGCATGTGCTCCACCTATTTAATCTGATTGAATGCTTGGTGCACATAAACTCGTGGCATTATTGGATAATTTCAATTAGTGTCCATGTAAACAAAGATTTGGGATTTCTGATCAACCAAGATTTTAATCAGATTGGAGAAATTTGGCACATAGCTAGTGTTGACGTAGATCTGTCAGGCTTTTCAAATTGTGTCTATTTTCTATCAGAAGTTAATGCAGGAAGGAGGTGTCGGACACAGTTTTCGTGTTCAGCCTGCAGGTTAAACTCAGAGTGACCGATCATTTTAAAAAATAGTAAGAAAAATAAATGTTTCTCTGTGAAGGATGTTTTTAAAGGAGTAGTTGACTCATTTAATTAATACATTTGCAGTGGTCGTCATTTTAACATCCTAATAAGCGCTGAAACCTCTCCTCAGCCTTTATTAGTTTCTGCAGGAGTGGTTTACCACTAAATAAAACAAATCTGCTGTGTTGAAGATTTGAAACATGCAGGAAGCATGCTGGAAGCAGACTCCAGAGCTGGCATGCCAGTTTCACTTTTATTAATTCCAAAAGGGACTGGACCGGCACTCTAAAGTTGTAAGTGCGATATTCTGGCCACAGAGGGTGGTGGAGGTCTGAATGACATTTCATTAACTTTGTAAAGGCTCATTTTAGCACATACTGGCTCTAGAAAATACATTAAACATTAAAAAAATACAAAAAAAAAATTCAAAAAATTTGCAGGTATGTCTTTAAGATTAAAGTATTGAAAAAAAATTGCTGTTCAACCACCATTACAAAAAGGTCCTTTCATGGAGAAGATGTTAAGAGGTTTTGACACATTTTCATAGTGTTTGAATTGATTCAATGACTTTTGGTTGAAATGGGGAACAATATTTTGCAGACTTTACAGCTTTCTGAGAATTGTTTCAACTCTCTTTAAGATCACCCATATACAGCATATACAGTTTGTTTTTCTTCCAGTTCCTTTGACATCTCCTTCATTCCTACATAATAGAGGTGTACCACACATCCATATCCCCCCCAAAAACTCACCATCTCAAGTTGACAAAACAAGTGGGTGTATCGCAATTGCTTGCAATTGCCATTTTAAAAAAATGCCATTTAAACAAAAGCACCTCATATACTTTTCATGTTTTATTTTATTAGCAACAGTAGTAAAGTCAAAGGGAACAATTTCTGAAATATGCACTGTACCTTTAAAATGTACTTCCATGAGTGTTTTTATGTTTAGCCCATTAAATTAAATGTAAAATAGTCTGTAAATAATTGGTGAATTTTATATCTAGAATGCTCTCTTCGATGTAGTAAAAAATACAACATGTTGGCAGAAGGGGGAACTGTTAAAGATGTTTTAAAGAATATCTTGCCAAATTCACCCAAGGAGCACAAAAGTGAAAATAATATGAAAAATTATATTTTTACTATTTAAATAAAAATATTTGGAAAATGTTCTGTAAATAATGAACAAGTCCAAGATTTACTATACATTTTATTATAACAGGGATCTTATGTTGGCAGGTCATAATTCAGTTTTTTTTCATTACATGTTTCTTAGAGTTCTTCTCAGGCTGAAATAAGATGATGAGACACTTTGGAGCAAATATACACAGAATCAGTCCAAAACTGGAGGCCAGAATAGCAAATATCTCCACAGCTACAGTAAATTTTCCAGGAGAGCTGACATATGCTGGGATGAAGGTGAGCCACACTGCACAGAATATCAGCATGCTGAAGGTTATCAGCTTGGCTTCATTAAAATTATCAGGTAGTTTCCGAGCTAGAACAGCTAACACAAAGCAGAAAACAGCCAGCAGGCCAATGTACCCGAGCACAGCCCAGAACCCAACAGCAGAACCTAATGCACATTCCAGGATGATCTTCTCCTTGTATGTGCTCAGATTCTTCATTGGGTATGGAGGGCTGAGTAACAGCCACAGAGTACAGATTAAAACTTGAACAAATGTAAAAAACACCACAGTCATTCTTTGCTGTGGAGGCCCAAACCATTTCATGACATTACTACCTGGAAGTGTAGCTTTAAAGGCCATTAAAACCACTACAGTTTTGCCAAGAACACAGGAGATACAGAGAACAAAGATGATACCAAACGCTGTGTGTCGCAGCATGCAGGACCAATCAGAGGGAGCTCCGATGAAAGTTAATGAACATAAGAAACACAGAGTCAGAGAGAAGAGCAGCAGGAAGCTCAGCTCAGAGTTGTTGGCTCTGACAATTGGAGTTGTTCTGTGATGAAAGAAAATAGCTGCTGTTATGATGGCCAGACAGGCCCCACTAACAGAGAATGCAGCCAGGATGATTGCCAGGACTTCATCATAGGAAAGAAACTCCACAGGTTTGGGGAAACAAGCGTCTCTTTGTGCATTAGGCCACAATTCACTGGGACACGGGAAACAGTCTGGAGAATCTATTACAAATTAAAACAGACATGTTAACCTTAAAATATATTTTAATCAAAATGTACATAATAATTTATCTCACCTGTCATGTTGCTAATCTCTCCTTCAGGACATGGTATACAATCATAGCAGCAGATGGGTTTACCTTTCTGCAGGACTTTACGAGTTCCTGGAGAACAACTCTCAGAGCACACTGATACTGGGACCTGTTACAAGGAAACGTGTATTACAATAGTTGATTCTTTTTTCAGATTTTGCATTTGCAACTTGTCATTATAAAACTATTACCTTTGTTTTGTAATCCATCCAGGTTATGTTTCTGTTTATGCGAAACTCCTGTCCTTTAGGCAGTGATGCATCATAGTACCCTACTGTTACCAGCTCAGTAACTCCACTCTCACTCTTCTGCCAGTTGACCAGCTCATAAAAAGCTACAGGATCTCCGTTAGCATCAAATGACACAGGATAACCATTACGGGTGAAGTTGACTTTCTTTAATTGAGTCAAAACCTGCAACAATTATTTATTTGCGATTACATAAAAAACACTATACAGTTTTACTTCACCTCATCTGTTCAATTAGTCCCAATTTAAACTGACCTGCTTAGCTTCCAGTCGTACGTCTTTGTCACACTGAATTGTTAGATTAGTTTCCTGACACACAGAATTGTGAATAGCATGAGCTACTGCATAAACAGCCTTGTACACCATGTTAGTGATTCTTAATTGAGACGTATCTGTGTACGGGCTTTTCAGCGTTTTCAGGTCTTCAGTTCCATCACACACTCTCTTTTTTGAATGAGCAGCTTATGAAACACAAAGTCAAAACAAACTTTTATTTATCAATGAAAAATAATCATCTTAATTAACAGGGCTCAACAAAGCCTTTAGTTAATTCAAAGTTATTAAATATTAGAATAAGATGTGGACCATATAAATGTGGGATTGCAACATATTTTGGAACTTATGCAAGATAAATATTCTGGTTGATCGTCAGCTATGACTTTTGATTGTTGCTTAATAAAAGGGTGAACATGCAAAAATAAATAATTGAATAAAAAACACAACAAAACTGTGAAATAGTGAATTTTTCTTCAAATGACTCATTTTCTTGATTTAAAGTTTGTTTTTGGTGTACTGGTTTTACCTAACATTGAAAAACTCACTTTTTGTCAGCGTGCAGTTGAAAGCATCCTCCCAGAACTCAGTTAATATTGAGGCTGCAGCCACTTTGGATTGAGAGAGATCCAGTAGGAATTCTCTTAGACCTGGGATGACAGCCTGCTGAATTCCAACTCCGATGGCTCCTGCACAAAATGTGTAGCTCAAATAGTTTGAGTCAGTTATCCAGCCCTCACTTCCGATCCACTGACGAGGCGGTGGAGGCTCGCGAGCCAGCTCCTCCAACAGCACACTCATATCTCCGGATGTTGTAAACACTACTACAACAACTGCTGTCGATCTGCAGAGACAATACCACGGGATCAGTTGAACTAGTATTTCAAACTACTTATGAAACATATTAATCCAATTTTAAACACAGCTCTTTGTCTTTGCTTTGTCGTCTAAATGCTTAATTTAAAAAATGGGTTGTTTAAAGAATGAGGGTTAAGGCCACTGAAAAAGAAAGAAAAGAATTCTGATTTATTTCACAGAATAAAAAAAATCTGACATGACACTATTTTCTGTGGCCCTAATCCTCTTAATTTTTCAGACACGGTCCCCATTATCATTTTAAGGCATTAAAATGTAAGTGTGCTAAGTAGAAGGTTTACATCAACACAAGTTAAATGGTGAAAATCAGTAAAGTCGAGACCTGCGGATGACATCAGCTATGCTCTGAATCTTGCTCCGTGAATTGGTTCGATAGAAGGATACAGAGTATTCCACACAGATTCCCTCTCTCTGTGCTGCAGCAAGAAAAGACGCCATCCCATAATTTCCATAATCTGAGTCTGAGCGGACAGCACCTATCCAAGTCCAGCCAAAGTGTTTCACCAGCTTTGCCAGTGCATCAGCCTGGAACTGGTCACTGGGAATTGTTCTGAAAAATGTTGGGTACTGCCTCTTATCTGACAGACAGGCACATGTGGCATAATGGCTGACCTAAAGGGAGAATAACAACAATGTGGTTGTTTAACAGTAACAGAAAATCAATAATCTCAGATTTTGTTGTTTTCTTTTTTTTCACCCCCATTTAAAATAAAATCAAAATACTTACAACGGGGATGTTAAAGGATCCAATAATGTGCAACAAGCCGATTGTTTGTGTGGAGCCACCATCCCCAACAACAGCAATCACCGTACCAGACTGAGAGCAATTTTTGTCTTTGTAAAAGACGGGGTCTAGCCCGTTTGCTATCTGAAACCCAATATGTGTGGGCACAGGTGCTGGGACACACGAGTCGTAGATCTGATATCCTACTCTGAAGCCCGGCAGGAACTCTGTACTGTTGTTTATTTCTTCGACAGCAAAGATCATTGCACGAGCAAAGCGGAGACCCCGGTTATTCAACCTGAACAGATAATTTAGGGAATACTTTTGTTTACAAAAAAGAAGAAAAGTTCATGCAACTTTGATTAAGTAGATGAACCAAAAATTACCAATTCTGCTGCCATAACATCTGAAGCCACATGCCATGTATATAAAGTCATCCATTTATGTTTTTAAATGACCTTATTCTCTTTAAGCTATTTTTCCCACGTTCAAGTGATTTTAAATGTATGGATTAATTAAATTTAAATATTAACTCATATTCCATTAATTTCTGACATCCTTAATCAAAAACTGAAAAAACATCTAAATGTATTAAAAATGACAGCCAATGGCTGGGATTCTGAAATATATTTTTTTACATTGCAACAAACTTTCCAGCAAGTGAGATTTCCTTTTTCAATATTTACCATCTTTAGCAAACTGTCTCTTACTAACCTCCCAGTGCATCTTGGAGGCTCAGGCTTGGTGGTGTAGTTATGAATCACTGCATCCATCGTGTAGTGTAGGGAGAAAGCCCCGCCAATAACAAAGTCTCCATTCATTGACAATGCAGGTAAACGAGGAGTTCCTTGCAGAATACATTTCATCGATGAAGCCTCGGAACTGACACCAGAACCAGCCTGAGCCTCTGTAGGCTGAATCATTTTCGTCAGAACATCTAGAGAACCACCAGAGAAAAAACACATAATCTCCAACAAACTCACTGCTAGTCTCAGACCAATAAAGATGGATGTGGTCTCCATTCCTCATGAGTCTATGTTTGGGTATGTGTTGTTACCCATTTATAAACCTCCATCATCTTGACATCAGCTGTTTACTTACTGTTGTTGTTGTTTTTTTACTAGCCCCTGTTTATTATTTAAAAATTTGCTTTTAATGTCATGTTTAGCTTGTCTTGAAGCCACAATGGCAAATTTGCAAACAATAAGTAAAAAAAAAATCTCACGCCTTCTAGCAACATTCTAACATAGTAAAGCTATATGTTGAAATAATCAAATTTATTGAGTGGGTGAAACTTGTAACAAAAAAAAAGGTTTTTAGAGCACAAATGTGTTGAGTTGGTTCAATCGTTTTCTTGTTTTAGAAACATAAAATTAAAACTTTTAATTCACCTGAACAATTATTTTTAGTGAGCATAAATAATCAATAAAGAACAACTTAACTTGAATGAGTAATTTTAACTAAAATTTATTAATTTATTATTTTTTGTTTCTATATTATTCTATTCATCTGTATGTCAACTCAAAGTGCATCTGATAAACAGACTTGTATATTTATAAAAATGTTTATGGATCTGTAGGAAAAACAACCACAAACAAGCAATTTTGATGGATTTCAGGAATATTAAAGAACTGGTGGGCAAGGTGCATTGTGGGTAGTCATGTTTTTAGTAATTTTGTTCTATTTTGGGGTGTTTATGCATGTTTATTGTGGGGGATAGTGGTTCTTAGTTATTACTTCATTCCGTGTTGCAAATGTGGTGTTACTTTTTGTATCACGTTGGCACCATAAGTGAGGAGGTTGGTCAAAGGAATGACCACACTGTGCCATTCCACTTTAACACGGAGGTGGTTCACACTGACTTGGCTTTGGGGTGTTCCACTTTCACTGGCTGTCAGCATTTATGGTTGTGTGAGTCATGCATTGGTGTTAGCTTCTGCTTTCACCTGCCTGCCGCATTGTAATTTTTAAGTAACATCAACATATTTAGGTTGGTGTGGAGGGGTTAAAAATTCTAAATATACAATACTTAGTTTTGATTAGTACTATAAACTAGTGATGGGAATTCCGGCTCTTTTTAGAGAGCCGGTTCTTTTGGCTCAGCTCACCAAAAAGAGCCGGCTCTTTCGGCTCCCAAGTGGCTCCTCAGATTTTCTGTTGCGTAGAGCACATTTATAACCAAAATAATGCTAAACTATATGTAAATTAATTTACTAATGTAAAAAAAGGCATATATATCAAATATTTATCATTTCTATGGATTTAATAACTGAACACTTTAAGAAATCTCCACTTTCTGACTGCTGGCGCTCATTTTCTCACCGTCTTCGTCGCACTCTCCTCCCTCTCACTCGCCTTTTTCCTCCTCCTCATTCCCTCTCGTCTCCCTCCTCCCACATGTGCTCTGCTGTGTGTCTGTCTGAGTCTGATCCTCCCTCTTCCCCGCCCCCTACTGCTCTGTGTGTGGACAGTCTGGACACGCAGTTACACATGTTGACCAATCGCCTGTGGCTTTCACCGGGGCAGGGGGGAGGGGGGAGGGGAAGGGATGGCTCCCAATGACGAGCCGGCTCCCGTCGTTCACTTCAAAGAGCCGGCTCTTAGAGCCGGTTCGTTCGCGACCGACACATCACTACTATAAACTAAGAATGCAGAGAAGAAAATTCCCAGAACGATATTTGTACTTCACTTAACAATATATGTTTGTTATACCTAAAAATATCGATCTAAACCAACTCAATAAAGTGGGTTTTTTCAGATATTTCATTAACTACAAAAGTTTGAGCTTAATCAACTCATCAGGGTTTACAGTGATAGTTAAATGCTTTGATTTAAGTCATATTCTTGAAGTTATGATGAACTTATAGTTTTCAGGTAAGTTAATTTAAGAAGTATCATGTAATCAGTTCCCTCATAAAATTGAAGTTCAGTTAACTTATTTGGCTTTGGCTTTACAGTGTGTGTGTGTGTGTGTGTGTGTGTGTGTGTGTATAAGTTGTTCTCTCGCATTAGTCTAAAAACCTGCAATAACACCTTTCGGACTGATAGCAATGAATTACGCACTCACGTGTTTGATGACTGAACAGCACTGGTGTGAGTGGCTTGCAGCTCAATGATATCAGAGAAGAAACAGCTGGCTGTATCACTTGAACTTTAGGACAAATTTACCTGAGTCAGACCATCAGCACCGGTTCCCCTCAGGACTGTGTTCTCACCTCTCTGCTCTTCTTCCTGTACACCAACGACAGCACCCACTGTCAAGCTTATCAAGTCTGTAGACACACCACCGTCGTCTGCCTACAGAATGGAGGTGGAACAGCTGGTGTCCTGGTGTAGCCACAAAAACCTGGTACTAAACACCCAAAAGACAGCGGAAGTTGTTGTGGACTTTAAGAAGCACACAGCCCCCCTGCTCCCTGTAACCCTATCTGACACTCCCATCATGATGGTGGACTCATGTCACTTCCTGGGCACCACCATCACCCAAGACCTCAAGTGGGAGCCCACCATCACCTCCATCATAAAAAAGGCCCAGTAGAGGATGTACTTCCTGAGGCAGCTGAAGAAATTCAACCTATCAGCATAGTGGATGAGGCAGTTCTACACCACAATCATCGAGTCCATCCTCACCTCTTCAATTACAGTGTGGTACACTGGAGCTACCGCCAGGGACAAGAAGAGGCAGCAACAGGTTGTACACTTTGCTGAGAAAGTCATTGGCTGCAAACTACCCTCAATATAGGACTTGTGCACCTCCAGGACATTGAGGCATGCAGTTTGGATCACAGCTGACCCGTGTCACCCTGGACACGGTCTTTTTGACTCACTCCCATCTTGCAGGAGGCTCAGATCCATTCGGACCAGAACCTCTCCCCACAAGAACAGTTTTTTGAATTCTTTTTTTTTTTCCATTCTGTGGTCGGACTCATGAATGGCAATCCTAGGGCTGCCCACTCCAGTCGCTTGTTCCCAGTCACCTGACCCTGTGTTGTGTTCGGACCTGAACTGATCCACTCTGATTAGTACCTCCACTATCTAGTATATAGCTTCTGTTTCTCTAATTATCGCCACTTTATATTATTATTTTATCATGATTATATTCTTACTTCCTATATTTTCTTACCTCTTATTTTTATCTTCCTTTGTTGCACCAAGTTCTGCAGCAATTTCCTGATGTTGTGATTCTTACACATATGGGAATAAAACCCTTCTGATTCTGATTCTAAAAAGAACAACTCCATTTAAAGTAACGGAACAAAAGAACGCACATTTTCCTTGCCAAGTGGCATTAATAATTTCCATAAACTGCTTGATCCTTTGTAACCAGTTGTGCATGGCCTGTATCTGATATAGTGCCTTTCACGGTTCTACTAACCCCTCAGGGTTATTTTTCTCGGGTATACTACATTCATAGAGGCCATAAAGTTTTCTACAACAACCACATGAGAGAGAGAGAAAAAGAGAGAATAGAGAAGCTTGAACTCTTATTTATTGACTTCAAAATCTGCCCACATTACACCATTACAAAGATCTTCTATTTGGTGGCAGAAAGTGCACCACAGCAATGGATCATAATCAAGTTTTGTTCATTAAATATTTCTTAGAGTTTTTATCTGACTGAAATAAGATGATGAAACACTTTGGAGCAAATATACACAGAATCAGTCCAAAACTGGAGGCCAGAATAGCAAATATCTCCACAGCTACAGTAAATTTTCCAGGAGAGCTGACATATGCTGGGATGAAGGTGAGCCACACTGCACAGAATATCAGCATGCTGAAGGTTATCAGCTTGGCTTCATTAAAATTATCAGGTAGTTTCCGAGCTAGAACAGCTAACACAAAGCAGAAAACAGCCAGCAGGCCAATGTACCCGAGCACAGCCCAGAACCCAACAGCAGAACCTAATGCACATTCCAGGATGATCTTCTCCTTGTATGTGCTCAGATTCTTCATTGGGAATGGAGGGCTGAGTAACAACCACACCGTACAGATTATGATTTGAATAAATGTGAAAAACACAACAGTCATTCTTTGTTGTGGAGGCCCAAACCATTTCATGACATTACTACCTGGAAGTGTAGCTTTAAAGGCCATTAAAACCACTACAGTTTTGCCAAGAACACAGGAGATACAGAGAACAAAGATGATGCCAAACGCTGTGTGTCGCAGCATGCAGGACCAATCAGAGGGAGCTCCGATGAAAGTTAATGAACATAAGAAACACAGAGTCAGAGAGAAGAGCAGCAGGAAGCTCAGCTCAGAGTTGTTGGCTCTGACAATTGGAGTTGTTCTGTGATGAAAGAAAATAGCTGCTGTTATGATGGCCAGACAGGCCCCACTAACAGAGAATGCAGCCAGGATGATTGCCAGGACTTCATCATAGGAAAGAAACTCCACAGGTTTGGGGAAACAAGCGTCTCTTTGTGCATTAGGCCACAATTCACTGGGACACGGGAAACAGTCTGGAGAATCTACACAAATAAATTGATATATATTGTTATCACACAATTTCTAACTGAGTTAGAAGTGGGAAAAATGGGAAAAAAGAATACCTGTTGTGTTACTAATCTCTCCTTCAGGACATGGTATACAATCATAGCAGCAGATGGGTTTTCCTTTCTGCAGGACTTTACGAGTTCCTGGACGACAACTTTCAGAGCACACTGATACTGGGACCTTTTAGGAAGAAACACATAAAATATAAAGTTAAATATTGCAAAGCAGATGTAACAAATCTATTCTCACATTCTACATCTAACACTTGGTTGTCATTAAGCTTTTACCTTTGTGTTACCATCCACCCAGGTTATGTTCCTTTTAATGTAAAACTCCTGTCCTTTAGGCAGTGATGCATCATAGTACCCTACTGTTACCAGATCAATAACTCCACTCTCACTCTTCTGCCAGTTGACCAGCTCATAAAAAGCTGCAGGATCTCCGTTTGCATCAAATGATACAGGATAACTGTTGCGGGTGAAGTTGACTTTCTTTAATTGGGTCAAAACCTGTAAAACCAGTAAATTGAATATTTATTTCAGATTATTTGACCCCAAAGTTACAAAGCAACCAGATTAAGATTTTCCTTCACCTGACCTGTTTGGATTCCAAGTTGATGTTTTTGTCACACTGAGTGATGAGATTTGTTTCCTGACACACTGCACTGTGAATAGCATGAGCTATTGCATAAACAGCCTTGTACACCATGTTAGTGATTCTTAGCTGAGATGTTTCTGTGTATGGGCTTTTCAGTGTTTTTATGTTTTCAGTTCCTTCACACACTCTCTTTTTTGAATCAGCAGCTAACAGAACATAAAACAGAATAGTTTAGTTATCATTTAATAATAATAGTAACACACTGGATATGCCAGAACCTTGAGTTAAACCAAAGTTTCAGTAAATGACAAGTTATATGAATGTGGGATTGCAATGTTAAATCATATAAAAAGATGAAATTATGTATTTTTGGTAGAATCAATTGTTTTTACCTGACATTTATAGTCAATGCAAAGTGAAGTAAAACTCACCTTTTGTCAGTGTGCAGTTGAATGCATCCTCCCAAAATTCAGTAAGACACGGAGAGGCAACTATCCCAGTGTAAGAAAGATCCAGAAGGAATTCTCTTAGACCTGGGATGACAGACTGTTGGATTGCAACTCCTATGGCTCCTGCACAAAAAGTGTATCTCAAATAGTTTGGGTCAGTTATCCAGCCCTCACTTCCCATCCACTGGCGAGGTGGTGGAGGGTCCCGAGCCAGCTCCTCTAACAATACACTCATATCTCCAGATGCTGTAAATGCCACAACAACAATGGCTGTTGACCTGCAGAGACAATAGTTTATGTTGATTCAAATTAATACATTCATACAAATGAATGTATTTTTCATACCACACCACTATTTAAGTGCAAACAAATGTTTGTTCATTAAGCCACTGTCTTCCATATTTGTGGCCAAAAGCAATGCTTCTCGTTCCATAATGTGCACGTTAAGCCGGTAAAAGAGCTAAAACACGTTTTTGCCAGGAAGGGAAAACTCTGGATAGTAGCTTTAACTGTGGAAAACAAAACATGCGATGTTCCCTTTCACAGACTAGAACTGAAGTTTAGTGTAAAGAAGGTTAACATTACCACAAGATACACGATCAAAATCAGTGATGTAGAAACCTGCGGATGACATCAGCTATCCTCTGGATCTTGCTACGAGGGTCTGTTCGATAGAAGGATACAGAGTACTCCACACATATCCCCTCTCTCTTTGCTGCTGCAAGAAAAGACGCCATCCCATTATTTCCATAGTCTGAGTCAGAACGAACAGCACCTATCCACGTCCAGCCAAAGTGTTTCACAAGCTTGGCCAGTGCGTCAGCCTGGAACTGGTCACTGGGAATTGTTCTGAAAAACGTTGGGTACTGCTGCTTATCTGATAGGCAGGCACAGGTGGCATCATGACTGACCTAAAGTGAGAAAAACAGCAATGTGGTTGTTTAATATTAACAGAAAATCAATTTTTTTCACATTTTGTTAGTTTTATTTCTTTCTTTACAAGAAGATTTTCATACTTACAATAGGGATATTGAAGGATCCAGTGATACGCGACAGACTGATGGATGGTGTGGAGCCATCATCCCCAACAACAGCAATCACCATACCAGTCTGAGAGCACGTCTTGTCTTTGTAAAATAAAGAGTCTAGACCATTTGTTATTTGAAAGCCAATCTGCGTGGACACAGGTGATGAGACACACGAGTCGTAGATCTGATATCCTACTCTGAGGCCCGGCAGGAACTCTGTACTGTTGTTTATTTCCTCAATAGCAAAGATCATTGCACGAACAAAGCGCAGACCCCGGGCATTAAACCTGAACACGAGTTAAGAGTACACAGTTTACAAAAAATAAGAAAGGTTAAGCATGCAACATTTTTGAGAAAGTAAATACAAATCAACTAAATCTGCTGATGAAACATCAAAGGTTGCAATTCTTAAGTCAGAACGTTATTTTATAAAATGCCGTAATGTTCATCCAAGTTTAAAGCTAATTTAGTTGTACATATTAATTTCATCTACATATTAACTCAAATGTAGTTACAGTCACTTCATTTGTAATATTGATCATAAACAGGAAAACATCTAAATTAAGTAAATAGTAAATTCAACGGCTGGAATTAGGTGACCTGTAAAAAAGCAGTTTTTGACCATTATAAAAATCTTTCCAGCAAGTCACATTTCCTACTCTAAAGTTACCATCTTTATGTGGCCAGTTGTCTCTTACTAACCTCCCAGTGCATCTTGGAGGCTCAGGCTTGGTGGTGTAGTTATGAATCACTGCATCCATCGTGTAGTGTAAGGAGAAAGCCCCGCCAATAACAAAGTCTCCATTCATTGACAATGCAGGTAAACGAGGAGTTCCTTGTAGAATACATTTCATCGGTGAAGCCTCAAAACTGACATCACTGCCCGCCTGAGCCTCTGTACGCTCAATCGTTTTTGTTAGACCACCTAGAGAACCACCACAGACAAATGACATCAGCTTCAACAAACTCACTGCTAGTCTCAGACCAACAAGTACAGATCTGGTCTCCATTCCTCATGAGTCTGTGTGTCCGCGTTTTAATCGCTTTATAAACCACTGATGTAGAGTGGGTTGTCTCATGATCATGTCACCATCAGGTCATGGGTTCGATTCCAGCTCTCGCCAGGGGTATTCTGCTGTTGTGTCCCTGATGTTGGTCCTGAAAGACCAAGGCAGGTTCGGAGCGATTGGAGAAAAAGATGTCTGCTTCTGAGTTGATGTTGGAGTCAAAAAACCAGTCAAAATAAGATTCACCGCTGCAGAGGGAGAACACGCAGCTCTCATGCAAGGTTTGCCTACTTGCTTCAGCAGCTGCCAGAAGTGTTCTGATCTCTCAGTTTGAGACGGCTAGATTTATTCACTCAAAGCAGGGAGGGGTCACATGTTGGTACAAGGTTAAGTTTGAACAATCCTCTAAACAGCAGACTTGCAGCCTTGTGATATAATTACACAGGATGGGCTACTATCTCAACACAAAACAGGATCCTATTTTCACGCTGTGTGCAGAGAAACAACACCCGAGAGGAGGGGTGAGCAGCAGATAACAGGGACATCTGGAGTTTCTGATGAACTGCAGAGTCAGATTCTCATCACACACATTACCGATGATTATATGTTCTATTTCGTCTAGTCTTAGCCCTTAAGCTAGCTGCTATTGGAAGGATGATCTCCGCATCAGCCAATCATGAAGAGCTTAAATGTACGCCCACCAATAGTGGGCCCCCTCGTGGTATATAACCGCAGTGACCCCACTGCTCACCTCCTTTTTTCTCTTCATGCCAAGCTTGAGAGCTTTATTAAAGAGCAAATATTATCTCAAAAGAGCAAATTATCCGAAGACGACTTACCAGCCATGTCCAGCGACACCAGACCCTGCCCGACCTGCCAGACGGGCTTCATTTCCAGCGGCGACCTGCACGCTAAGTGTGAGGTCTGTCTCGGGGCTCACCACGCTGGCCTGGCCTTGACCCCGCAGGCCTCGTGCCCGTTCTGTGCCGCTCTGCCCGTGGCGGAGAAGATTCGCCGGGTCGAGTACTTCACTCCCGCCGCCGACGAAGAATTTCCAGGGGCTGATTCCTACCCGCTGGACAAGGCTTTGGTTTTCTTCGACGCCGGTCAGGAGCCGGCTGGCTTCAACCGGCTGGATGACGTCACTGACAGCGAAAACTACGATGAGGCGGCGTCCCTCCTAGACATAACGGAGGTCGACGAGCTTCGCTCAGCGGGTCCTTCTGCCCCAGTGGCTTCTCGCTCCTCCCTGCCAGCAGTAAGAGCACTGCTCCAGGAGCTGCCCGCCATCATTTCTGCGTCAGCACCCCGCAAGGGGCTAGCTGTGCCAGAACCGGCCCTGCCTGAAGCGGATGATTTGGCGGGAATTTTCGGGGCAACTCAGACACGCTGTCCAGACCCTGTCTGGCCGCGCTTCCCCGCTGCTATGAGCTGCTGGTCTGCCGCCTTCTCCGAGCCTGCCAAGCTCAAGGCGCCAGTCTCCACATATGCGCCCATCACCAAGGTCGAGGGGTTTTCCGACCAAGGCTGGCCGTCCGTTCCTCCACTAGAGCCAGATTTGGCCTCGCTGTTCGGCGCCAAGAACCACCTCGCTGGCCCGCGAGCTGTTCCCGCTTCAAAACATGACCAGCTGCTGACGTGGCTCACCGACCGCGCACATCAGTGTGCCTTTTAGACCGGCGCTGCAGGGAATAACATCACCCTTCTTGCCTTCGGCGTCTCCAAGATGATGGAGGAGCTGGAAGCTCCCGAGGAGTCGAAAGCCGTCATAACTAAGACTGCTGATGCCATCCTCAATCAGTGTGCTGCTGTGCTCACCGGTTCTGCTCGCATCGCTGCCTGGCAGACCCTCATCCAGCGAGCGATCTGGCTGAAGGCCCTGCCCTCCATTCCGGAACATCTGCAAAGGGAGATGCTGGATGGCCCCATCACCACCGATGTTCTGTTTGGTCCCCATCTTAGGGGCGTCATTGAGAGGGCTCAGAAGACGGCCGAACTATCGGCTACGGTGCGAGACCTGGTCCACCCTCGGTCAGCCTCGCACTCCGGCCGTTCAGCCAGAGGATGGGACGAACGGCGCGGAAGCTTCAGACGTCCAGCTGCACCGCCCGCTCCACGGAGCCGGCCTCCCGCTTCGGCTCCACATCAGCGGGACCAGCGAGATGGCGGACAACGGTTCCGGCGGGGCCAGCAGACGCCGTCTTGGCAGTCCCAGGTGCAGGAGCCTCGCCGAAAGCAGCCACGGAAGTGACTCTTTGGGGGGAATGTGTGTGTTACTGATTGTTCTGATGTTGTTGGTTTTGAAATAAAACCCAAAAAACGTCACTCAAAGAGCTCAATCCTACAGTCCTCCGCAGAATCCTCTGCCGAGTTTTCACACATGTTCCCCACACCAAGCACTGCTGCACGCACACATGTTCCTGCAGGTAGTCATAATACACGGCCAGCCGTAAGGGTGCGCTCCATTTGCGCTCTGGCCCCAGCATCCGGCCAGGCCCGACTCGTCCCGCTCTCCCCACGCCGTTGGGTGGGGCGGGATGTCATGTCGCTGTCTCGACCACGCGCGGCGGCACAGTGCGCGGCTCCATCCGCTAGCACTCTGTCGCCCCCGTGCACAGGCCCGGCTCCCACTCGTCCTTCACTCTCGGACTCCATGCTCCGCGGTGTGGACCAGCCTGTTCCAGCTGTTTCGCACTTGCCCTTTCGAGCGCAGCCCTCCATGGGTCGCCCCCAGTTCTCTGGTACGGGCGACGGCGGTAAGGGCGCATGCACAACCCTCAGACGTTGTTCACGTGACCGCGCACACGCGTCCATTGTCGGAACGCGCGCACGAGTGGCGCCGCCTTTGCATCATGAGCAAATGGATTTCGGACACCATTCATTGCGATCACACACTTCATTTTCAGGCCACTCCACCTCCCTTCAACGGGATCGTGGAGACGACGTTCACATCGCAAGTACAGTCTCAGGCGCTAGAGCTGGAGCTGCGGGAACTTCTGTCCAAATACGCTATTTCCCGAGTCCCTCGCGGACAAGAACTCTCGGGTTTCTACTCCCGCTACTTCGTAGTACCGAAGAAGTCGGGAGGAATGAGGCCGATTCTCAACCTGTCCCTGTTCAACTGCTCCATAGCAGTAATGCATTTCCGCATGTTAACGATGAGACAAGTCCTGGAATCTGTGCGCCCCGGGGATTGGTTCACGTCAATCGACCTGAAAGACGCATACTTCCACATACCAGTAGTTCCAAACCACCGGAAGTTTCTGCGTTTTTCGTTCAAGGGAGTTCAATATCAGTTCAATCGCCTCCCTTTCGGCTACTTGCTAGCCCCGCGCACTTTCTCCAAATGTCTGGAGACCGTGCTGCAGCCACTGCGCACGGAGGGAATGAGGGTCTTATTTTACCTGGACGATCTTCTCCTGTGCGCTCGGTCCGAGGACGAGGCGTCACAGCAAACCAGGAGGTTGACAGAGCATCTGTCAACCCTAGGGTTTTCTATAAACTGGGAAAAGAGCTCCATCCTTCCATCCCAGTCGATTGTGTATCTCGGGGTGGAGTTGGACGCCTCCCTAATGAGAGCACGTTTGTCGCCTGCAAGAGCGGCAGATCTCTCCACGGTGATCTCCCGTGTTCAACCCCGCAAGATCATGAGAGCCCGGTTAGTCATGAAACTCCTGGGCATGATGTCCGCAGCCCATTCAGTAGTGCCGCTAGGTTTGCTGCGCACGAGGCGCTTGCAACGCTGGTTCGTCCGCCTCCGGGTACACCCAATACGTCAGAAGAGACGTATGTTGAGGATTCCCCCTTCAGTGGGCGGGGACCTCGCTCACTGGGGGAACCCCTGCATCCTCTCACGCGGGGTTCCCATCGGACGTCCTGCGTCACACGTATCTGTGTTTACGGATGCGTCACTGTCGGGGTGGGGGGGCACGTGCTTGTCCCACACGGTGGCAGATCGCTGGCCCTCCCACACGCACGAGCACATAAATGTGTTGGAGCTTATGACAGTGAGGAATGTGATCAGACACTTCGCTGCCCTTCTCGAGGGCCGTCATGTCGAATTTCACACAGACAACCGGGTAGCGGCAGCCTACATAAATCGCCAAGGGGGAGTTCGATCCCTCCCACTGTTGCGTGTCGCCACAGATTTACTGTGTTGGACACATGTCCACCTGCTGTCCATCTGAGCCATCTACATTCCGGGGGTACTGAATGTAGCGGCAGACATCCTGTTGAGAGGGGGACCCCGCGACTCCGACTGGCGTCTACATCCTGCACTGATATCACAGATCTGGATCAGGTTCGGGGAACCGTCTGTGGATCTGTTCGCGGCTCGCGAAAACGCTCAGTGTCGCCTGTGGTTTTCCCTGAGTCCCCGGGACGGACCCCCGCTCGGGGCGGACGCCTTCTCACACCAGCCCTGGCCTCGAACGCTCCTTTACGCGTTTCCACCAGTCCCTCTGATTCCCCGTCTCCTGGACCGAATTCGGTCGGAACAGCTCTCGGTGATTCTGGTGGCTCCCAGGCGCGTGTCCGTGTCTTGGTTTCCGGACCTGCAAGCGCTAGTGTCCGGCTCCCCGTGGAGGCTCCCGTGGAGGGCGGACGCCCTTCTCCAGGCGGATGGGATAATCAAACATCCTCCGGAAATAGGCCAACGGCTGTGGGTCTGGCCGCTGAGCGGTCACGCTTAGAGGCTTCTGGGCTGCCGCATGATGTGGTGGCCACAATTCAGAGTGCGCGGGCGCCCTCTACCATTGCCTCTTACGCTGCTAAATGGGCAGCTTTCCAGAACTGGTGCGCAGAACGGAATGTTCAAGCGCTCTCCTGCCAGCTGGCGGATGTTCTATCGTTTTTGCAGATACTGATGGACAGGGGCCTCGCATTCAGCACTGTTAAGACATATGCTGCAGCTATCTCATCATGTCATCAGGGTTTTGGAGATAGATCTGTTTTCAATCATCCCCTCACAAAACGTTTTCTAAAAGGTGTCCGAAGGAATAGACCTGTGTCCCGCCCGCTTTTTCCCCAGTGGGATCTAACGGTGGTTCTGCACGGCTTATCTGAAGCTCCATTTGAACCCTTGGACCAGGTCTCACTCAAGTTCCTGTCGCTTAAAACTGCATTGCTGCTGGCGCTAGCATCAGTTAAGAGAGTGAGTGACCCAACCGCCCTCTCAGTGGCTCCCGCATGCCTCAGGATCCGGGAGGATGGCGGGTCTGCTGTTTTATGCCCCAACCCAGCCTTTGTGCCCAAAAGCATTAATGCTTCCTTCAAATCCAGGTCAATTTCATTGGCTGGACTTTTTCCTCCTCCCCATAATTCTCCTGGGGAAGCGGCTTCTCACCTTCTCTGCCCGGTGCGCGCGCTTGCACGATATGTGTCACGCACTTCAGGGATTCTTCGCTCACAAAACCTGTTTGTGCACTACAGGGAGTCTTCCCTTGGTCAGGCGCTGTCGGCCCAGCGCCTTTCACGCTGGCTGTGTGACGCCATTTCCCTCGCTTACACATCATCAGGGCGGGATCCCCCTGAAGCACTCAGGGCTCACTCGGCCAGAGGGATTTCCTCTTCGATGGCGCTCCTCAGTGGTTTGTCAATGGAAGACATTTGTCAGGCTGCTTCATGGGCTTCACCCTGTTCTTTTACTCGTTATTATTTACGAGATGTGTCTTCAGGTTCCATCACTCGTTCAGTGCTTGGACCCCAGCAGGCTAAATGAATGCTTATGGCACCTCATTGGCCTTGCTGAGATGGATTTTATCCTCTTGTGGATGATGTTTTTTAGTGGGGCCCCCTCTCTTATCGTACCTGCCTCAGTCTTTAGGCCTGGTCTGAGGCTGAACGTCCCCCACTAGAGGAGATTTGATTGGGTGTGTCCATTGGTTGTGTTAACCAGTGGGGCGTAAACCCATCCAGCTGCGCCTTATTCCAATAGCAGCTAGCTTAAGGGTTAAGACTAGACGAAATAGAACGTTGGTTACGTATTGTAACCCCAGATTCTATGAGTCTAGTCGCAGCCCTTAAGCCACTGGCCCCACTGGTTATGATGGGAATAAGAGCCATTGGAGGTGAGCAGTGGGGTCACTGCGGTTATATACCACGAGGGGGCCCACTATTGGTGGGCGTACATTTAAGCTCTTCATGATTGGCTGATGCGGAGATCATCCTTCCAATAGCAGCTAGCTTAAGGGCTAAGACTAGACTCATAGAATCTGGGGTTACAATACGTAACCAACGTTCTCTTGTGTTCATTTAGTAGTAACTATTATTAACACTGAGCAATACACTTCACCCAACTTGCCTGTGTTGGGTGAACACAGGCAAGTTGGGTGGTCAGAGGGGCCGACGGCGCCAAATGGCAGCCTCTCCTCTGTCAGACCGCCCCAGGGTGTCTGTGGCTACGTAGTATGAATGTGAGAGTGCGTGAAAGCATCTTTGAGTGTCTTAAAAAGTGCTATATAAGGTTGATGTATTATTATTAAGCATCACTGGCACAGAACGGCTGTGGAACGTCACTGCTTCAAATAGAATTCATTATGGTCTATGGATTGTTTCAAACCAGCCGCGATGCAGCAATTAACAGATGCGTCCCAGAAGCGGAACGCAGCACCGCTGAAGGTAGGCCCGGGTTCTTTTTTTTTCCCTTCTGGGGATATGTCAATTACCGCAATTAACATGGGGCTGGACAGAAAATCACACACAATTTCAGTGTAAAAACCCTGGTAATTTTCAAAATAAAAGTATTGCAGTGATGCAATTTCATATATATGAAGCTTACAACCCAACGGCTTATTTACACCCAGCATTGTTCCATAAGTGCAGCGGTGTGTTTTTCATGGCTTCAGTGCTGGCAGTGGAGAGGAACAACATCATATGTGATATCAACACATCCTCACACCCGAAGCGTCGAAAAATGACGATGGGTGACCAAGCAATTGTTTCCGACGCATTTGGAGTACCGACGCGCTGTGCCAGAGCGTTGGTTTCTGACCCGTGTGGTAAAACATATATTTCACTGACATTTAACCTCTAACCTCTTGCCATTTAACTTTCCCCTCACCTCCTTCCTAGCCTTAACCCTGTTTCTGTCACGGTCTGCCTCTGCCTCCCTGACTGTGTCTCTCTCCTGCCCTGATTAGTCCTTATTGTTCTCACCTGCCCCTCGTTTACCTGCCCATGTGTTCCTGATTTTCCCTGTGTATTTATACCTCCCTCCTTGTACCAGTCTTCGTCAGATCATTGTATGCACATTTGCTTGTTTTGTCCTGTCGCTCCCGTTCCACCATTAAAATCATTTTTATTTTTCATGCGTGCCTGCTCTCCTGCCTCCTGAACTCTCCACCACACATGGTCTACCATCTCCACTCCTCCCAACATGACAGTTTCTCATTCTAAACTTCCCGTAAATCCTGCTGGAGAGGGACGTTACAACTAGAAACAAAGTTTTGAAAGTGCAAGAGGGTTAAGGTTAGGATGGGGTGAGGGGTGGGGTGGGTAAAATAGCAAGACTGTAAAGGTCACAATTCAGTGAAATCTCTGTTTTACCACGGCACTCAGAAAACGATGCTCTGGCACAGTGAGTCGCCTCCCGAAACATACACTTGGTCACCCATTGTCATTTTTCAATGCTTCAGGTGTGAGAATGCTTTGGTGACATCAAACAGCGAAAGCAATGTGATTTCCTTCTCATTAGTTAAATGGTGGATTGGCAACCTTTTCCCATCAAAGTGCCATTATTACCAGTTTCCCGAGTAGAGAAAACACTGGGAGCCACAGCAGCCATGGCGTTGTGGGTGGGCCTACCGGGCCTGGGCCCACCCACTTGCATTTAAGCCCACCCAAGACAGCTGAGAGCTGCTTTTCCAATAACAAAAGGTGACAGCAACCAATACCATTCGCTCATGTATGTCAAAGTTATCTTTCAACAGAAGATACTTAATAAAACAGTTTGTATAAAACTGATCCAGAAGTTGTAGCCAGTCTGTGCCTATAATATATTTAGATATTTTTCACCGTTAGTGGTTTTAAAACTAGTTGAGCAGGCACCGATTTTTTTGACACATTACACGTCTCCTTTTAAAACATGTTTAAACTGGTCAGAACACAAATCCAGGCTCTGTCTCACTGGAATGTTGTAATTAAACTTTGTACTGAATGAAACTTTACATTAAACAATGTTGAAAAGGTAAGAAAAGGATCCGATCAATTTGTTTTTTCCCCTCATTTACAGTGATGGAGATAACGGAGCAGTGAGCATGCCTCTGATGTTAAACAAGTTTAATGTTTCTCTTTGCAACAATCTTCACAAGAAGGCAAAACAATTAAATGACAGGGTTCGCGATTTCCCGTATATTGACGGAGAAACCTCAAGGCTTGATCGTTTGGAAAGAATTACCCCGACGCATGCAGATGAGCTGACATTTTAATCGTTACGCACCTCACAAAAGTAGCTACAGCAATCAAGCTCAGAGCAGCTCGCTGTCAGCGCACGCGGGAAGATTCCTCTCACTGAATCGAGTGTTTTCCAAACCCTGTCTCTCAGAGAGACTTGTCACTTAGAAAATGTCCCCTGATTATGAAACTTTGGCTTAATAGTGAGGTATCCATGAGCCTGTCTGAGGCACAGTCCAGAATCTCATATCCTCTTCAGCTCAGAAAATGCCTATAGAGACAATTGAGTGTGCACAAGCAGGTGACCTGTGAACCCAGTCTCACATGAGTCACATAAAACCAGTACAAAGAGATTCAAGAAAAGCTTCTTTCCCAGAGCTACCGCCGTAGTGAACAACCACAAAGCCAGATGAACCTGTAAACCCGAACCACACATTTACTGTTTCAATGTTGATCATGTGCAATACAATTTAAATGTGCTATTTGTGTTGACTCAATTTGCTAAAATTCTGCTTACAATAGTGACCTGCACCGAACCCAAGTAATGCTGCTACTAAGTGTGTATATTTGTAAACATTACTGCAGATTTTACATTTATATTGTTTCTGCATTATTTTCTTGTATGCATCTACATTTTGCACCAAAGGGAGTGGCACTCCAATTTCACTGTACCCTTTACAACAACAAAAAAGGCTATTCTATTCTGATCTATTTCTATTCTATTCTATTCTGTTCTACAGGGTGGGCCATTTTTATACCATACTACCAATTAAATCCCTTCATAAACTCCAACTTCTCCAGAACTCAGCAGCACGCATCATTAATGGTAAATGGCCTGTATTTGATATAGCGCCTTCTAGAGTCCTGGAACCCCCCAAGGCGCTTTACAACACAATCGGTCATTCACCCATTCACACACACATTCACACACTGGTGGTGATGAGCTACGATGTAGCCACAGCTGCCCTGGGGCGCACTGACGGAGGCGAGGCTGCCGAGCACTGGCGCCACCGGTCCCTCCGAGCACCACCAGCAGGCAACGTGGGTTAAGTGTCTTGCCCAAGGACACAACGACAGCGACAGACTGAGCAGGACTCGTACCTGCAACCTTCCAATTGCGGGGCGAGCACTTAACTCCTGTGCCACCGTCGCCCCTCAAGAAATCACATCACTCCTGTTCTTAAAAACCTACACTGGTTGCCAATAGAAACCAGGATCATGTACAAGATCCTACTACTTACATTTAAATCTGTACATAGCATGGCTCCACTTTATCGATGTAATTTACTTCTTCGTCTTCGTCTTCCTCCGCTTATCCGGGTCCGGGTCGCGGGGGCAGCATCCCAATTAGGGAGCTCCAGGCCGTCCTCTCCCCGGCCTTGTCCACCAGCTCCTCCGGCAGGACCCCAAGGCGTTCCCGGACCAGATTGGAGATGTAACCTCTCCAACGTGTCCTGGGTCGACCCGGGGGCCTTCTGCCAGCAGGACATGCCCGAAACACCTCCCCGGGGAGGCGTCCAGGAGGCATCCTGACCAGATGCCCAAACCACCTCAACTGGCTCCTTTCGATCCGGAGGAGCAGCGGTTCTACTCCGAGTCCCTCCCGAATGTCCGAGCTCCTCACCCTATCTCTAAGGCTGAGCCCGGCCACCCTACGGAGGAAACTCATTTCGGCCGCTTGTATCCGCGATCTCGTTCTTTCGGTCATTACCCAAAGCTCATGACCATAGGTGAGGATTGGGACGTAGATCGACCGGTAAATCGAGAGCCTGGCTTTCTGGCTCAGCTCCCTCTTCCCCACAACAGATCGGCTCAGCGTCCGCATCACTGCAGACGCCGAACCAATCCGCCTGTCGATCTCCCGATCCCTCCTACCCTCACTCGTGAACAAGACCCCGAGATACTTAAACTCCTCCACTTGAGGTAGGACCTCTCCCCCGACCCGGAGGTGGCAAGCCACCCTTTTCCGGTCGAGAACCATGGTCTCAGATTTGGAGGTGCTGATCCTCATCCCAGCCGCTTCACATTCGGCCGCGAACCTACCCAGCAAGAGCTGAAGGTCAGAGCTGGATGAAGCTAGGAGGACCACATCATCCGCAAAAAGCAGAGACGAGATTCTCCTGCCACCAAACTCGACACACTCCACACCACGGCTGCGTCTAGAAATTCTGTCCATAAAAGTGATGAACAGAACCGGTGACAAAGGGCAGCCCTGGCGGAGTCCAACCCTCACTGGGAACAGGTCCGACTTACTACCGGCTATGCGGACCAAACTCACGCTCCTCTGGTAAAGGGACTGAATGGCCCTTAACAGAAAGCCACCCACCCCATACTCCTGGAGCGTCCCCCACAGGGTGCCCCTGGGGACACGGTCATAAGCCTTCTCCAAATCCACAAAGCACATGTGGATTGGTTGGGCAAACTCCCATGCCCCCTCCATCACCCTTGCAAGGGTATAGAGCTGGTCCACAATTCCACGGCCAGGACGAAAACCACATTGCTCCTCCTCTATCTGAGATTCAACTATCGATCGGACCCTCCTCTCCAGTACCTTGGCGTAGACCTTTCCAGGGAGGCTGAGGAGTGTGATCCCCCTATAGTTGGAACACACCCTCAGGTCACCCTTCTTAAAGATGGGGACCACCACCCCGGTCTGCCACTCCCTAGGAACTGCCCCCGATGACCACGCAATGTTGTAGAGACGTGTCAACCATGACAGCCCTACAACATCCATAGCCTTGAGATACCCAGGACGAACCTCATCCGCCCACGGGGCTCCGCCGCTGTGTAGTTGTGTGACTACCTCAGCAACTTCTGCCCCCGAGATCGGACAGTCCATCCCCAGGCCTCCCAGCTCTGGTTCCTCCTCGGAATGCGCATTGGTGGGATTGAGGAGCTCCTCAAAGTATTCCTTCCACCGTCCGACTATAGCCTCAGTTGACGTCAGCAGCTCCCCATCCCCACTGTAAACAGTGTGAGCGAGTTGCTGCCTTCCTCTCCTGAGGCGCCGGACAGTTTGCCAGAACCTCTTTGGAGCCGATCGATAGTCTTTCTCCATGGCCTCACCAAACTCCTCCCACGCCCGAGATTTTGCCTCGGCAACTGCCACTGCTGCACCCCGCTTGGCTATCCGGTACCTGTCTGCTGCCTCCGGAGACCCACAGACCAGCCACGCCCTGTAGGCCTCCTTCTTCAGCCTGACGGCTCCCCGAACCTCTGGTGTCCACCAGCGGGTACGGGGGTTGCCACCACGACTGGCACCGGCCACCTTACGACCACAGCTAGCAACAGCCGCCTCGACAATCGCAGAGTGGAACAAGGCCCACTCGGACTCAATGTCCCCCACTGCTCTCGGGACGTGGTCAAAGCTCTGCCGGAGGTGGGAGTTGAAGACCGTCTTGACAGGTTCTTCTGCCAGGCGTTCCCAGCAGACCCTCACTATGCGTTTGGGTCTGCCAGGTCTACGCGGCATGTTCCCTTGCCATCTGATCCAACTCACCACCAGGTGGTGATCAGTTGACAGCTCCGCCCCTCTCTTCACTCGGGCGTCCAAAACATACGGCCGCAGGTCAGATGATACGACTACAAAATCTATCATCGACCTGTGACCTAGGCTGCCCTGGTACCAAGTGTACCGGTGGGCATCCTTATGTTCGAACATGGTGTTCGTTATGGCCAAACTGCGGCTTGCACAGAAGTCCAATAACAAAACACCGCTCGAGTTCAGATTAGGTGGGCCGTTCCTCCCAATCACACCCCTCCAGGTCAAGCTGTCATTGCCCACGTGAGCATTGAAGTCCCCCAGCAGGACAATGGAGTCCCCTGATGGAGCACTATCTAGCACTCGTCCCAGGGACTCCAAAAAGGGTGGGTACTCTGAACTGATATTTGGCCCATAAGCACAAACAACAGTCAGGACCCGTTCCCCGACCCGAAGGCGCAAGGAAGCTGCCCTCTTGTCCCCCGGGGTAAACCCCAGCACACAGGCAGAGAGTCTCGGGGCTAACAAAAAGCCAACCCCAGCCCTCCGCCTCTCACCCGGAGCAACTCCAGCAAAGTAGAGTGTCCAACCCCTCTCCAGGTCTCGGGTTCCAGAGCCAATGCAATGTGTCGAGGTGAGTCCGACTATATCTAGCCGGTACCGCTCAACCTCTGCCACAAGCTCCGGCTCCTTCCCCGCCAGCGAGGTGACGTTCCATGTCCCAAAAAGTAGTTTTCTTGTCCGGGGATTGGACCGCCAAGGCTCCCGCCTTGGTCTGCCACCCGATTCGCATTGCACCGGACCCTTCATGTTCCTCCTGCGGGTGGTGGGTCCACAGTTGGACGAGCCCATGTATCCGGTTCGGGCTGGGCCCGGCCGGGCCCCATGGGCGAAAGCCCGGCCACCAGGCGCTCGCTCACGGGCCCCAACCCCAGGCCTGGCTCCAGGGTGGGACCCCGCTAACCCTCCGGGCCGGGTACTCCGACTCTTCGTTTTAACCGCCATGAAAGATCCTTCGAACCGTTCTTTGTCTCACCCTTCACCTAAGACCAATTTGTCATGGGAGACCCTACCAGGGGCACTAAGTGCCCCAGACAACATAGCTCCTAGGATCATTAGGGCACTAGGGTAATTTACTAACTATTGCAACCACTTCCCGATCTCTTAGATCCTCGTCTGCACTTCATCTGGTTCAACCTCGAGCTCGCCTTACCACCATGGGGAGCAGAGCTTTCAGTTGCTCTGCTCCACGGCTCTGGAACTCACTTCCATCTGCCATTAGAAATACGGACTCTTTTCTATTATTCAAGGCACACCTCAAAACCCACTTATTCAAACAAGTTTATTCCCTTTAGATCTAGACTTTAGAATTGTTTCAAATTTTTATGTATCTTGTTTGTTCTTATTGCCCGATCTAACCTCTGTTGTTTTTTGTTTTTATCTTTGTAAGGTGACCTTGGGTTTGAGAAAGGCGCCCTCAAATAAAATGTATTATTAGACCCGAGCAGCGAAGCTGCGAAGGCCTATTGTATCTGCTCCGTTTATTTTTATTTTTTTTCTTTTTCTTCCGTGTCTTTGAAGGGCCTTTAGGGGGTCTTAGCATATCCAAAAAGTCACCAAATTCTGGCCCAATAAAGAAAGTGCGTGAAATTTACGTATTTCACTGGCAATGTGAAAGTTGGTTAAAAAAAATGTTTTGACAGCGCCCCCTGGAAAATGTAAAATACCCCTCCGCATTGACCTTTTTTTATAGTAGAACGATGAAATTTGGTACACTTGTAGAACGCAACAATAAGCACAGAAAAGCCTCTTGCACCCATGGTCAATATCAAACAGGAAGTCGGCCATTTTGGACTAAAATAACAATTTTGACCCCGTTTTGGCCATTTCTAGGGTCTATATTTGGTTGAACAGTTTGGTAATTTTTCGCACAATCGTCTCAAAAATAGTGTGAGGTTGAACAGAAGTGATGGACGATTCAAATGAGAAAATAAAATTAACTTTTCATAAATACTGAAGGGGCGGGGCCAGGCCTCAAAGTTGATCTCCAGTACTGGCAGGTTTCAAAAAAGGGCAGGGCCTTGGATTATGGCGAAATTCCCCATCACGCCATGGAAATACGTTTGCTTCTCATTTTCTCACTTCCCATGATATCACCAAAAGATTTCTGGTGAGTGATCGTAGTCTGACCCCCAATATAAATCGATGTCATAAGCTGGTGGGCGTGGCCTTTCTAAAATAGCACCCCATACGACCATTAAAACTATTAGCCCCCAGTTATGCTTTGACTGAGGATTGTGAAATTTTGCACACTTATGTAGTGTGCCTGGGCCTACAAAGAAGTCTCATGTTGCCATGCTCCATTTCCCCCAGGAAGTTGGCTATTTTGTTCCAATTACATTTCAGATTCTCTTTTGAAGCTGGAATATTTTGCTATTGTAAAACATTTTTAGTGGGGACGGTTGGCAGGCTAGGAGGAAAGGCTGAGTCAGACTGAGGTGACAGCTCACAGTGATTGCAGTTAAATGCACGTAGGGGTGTCTGGCGCGCATGGGCACTCATGCGCCACCGGTTGCAGGAAGATGGGTTTGGAGAGCTTCAGGGATGGAGCGGAGGGGGTGCGGACGGAGGGCGAGCAGCTTCGCTGCGAGGGCCGAACAACGCTGCTTATTATTATTATATGGCTACACATTAATAAAATGGGAATGGGTGGTGATATTAACATCCTGTTTGTGGCACATTAGTATATGTGAGGGGGCAAACTTTTCAAGATGGGTGATGACCATGGTGGCCATTTTGAAGTCGGCGTTCTTGAATCCAACTTTTGTATTTTTTCAATAGGAAAAGGGTCATGTGACACATCAAACTTATTGGAAATTTCACAAGATAAACAATGGTGTGCTTGGTTTGAACGTAACTTTATTCTTTCATGAGTTATTTCAAGTTTCTGACCACTTATGAAATGAAATGTGTTCAATGGGCTGGCGATTGTGTTGGATTGTCAGTGCAACCCTCTTCTCCCACTCTTCACATGCTGTTTGCAACACCGCAAGAGAAATGCCAGCACAGGCTTCCAGTATCCGTAGTTTCAGGTGCTGCACATCTCGTATCTTAACACCATAGACAATTTTCAATTTTGATTTTATTAATCTCCCATGAAGGTGTTTTGTAATGCTGGAGCAATAGAGACTTAAAATTACTTGTCAAGATAATCATAATACTTTCACACTGTTTGATGTGTGTGTGTGTGTGTGTGTGTGTGTGTGTGTGTGTGTGTGTGTGTGTGTGTGTGTGTGTGTGTGTGTGTGTGTGTGTGTGTGTGTGTGTGTGTGTGTGTGTGTGTGATAAACGGTGGAACAAAAGTGGAGGAAAATGTCTGAAAAAACTGAAATAAACATGTAATTTTATACTTTTTAAAATGCTTTACTTGTGTTCAGCAAATGAACAAAGGCATGCAATGTATACATGAAAGTACATTACTTAATTTTGGTCAGGGATTGTTAAGAAGTAAGGTTACAGTACATTATGAAATACATGCAATCTACTTACAATGCAATGATGTTGCCACAATGTCTTTAACAAGAGATATAGGACTTTGATTTATACATTAAGACTTGCTCATTACATATTTCCTGGAATTCTTCTCAGGCTGAAATAAGATGATGAAACACTTTGGAGCAAATATACACAGAATCAGTCCAAAACTGGAGGCCAGAATAGCAAATATCTCCACAGCTACAGTAAATTTTCCAGGAGAGCTGACATATGCTGGGATGAAGGTGAGCCACACTGCACAGAATATCAGCATGCTGAAGGTTATCAGCTTGGCTTCATTAAAATTATCAGGTAGTTTCCGAGCTAGAACAGCTAACACAAAGCAGAAAACAGCCAGCAGGCCAATGTACCCGAGCACAGCCCAGAACCCAACAGCAGAACCTAATGCACATTCCAGGATGATCTTCTCCTTGTATGTGCTCAGATTCTTCACTGGGAATGGAGGGCTGAGTAACAGCCACACAGTACATATTATGATTTGAATAAATGTGAAAAACACAACAGTCATTCTTTGCTGTGGAGGCCCGAACCATTTCATAACATTACTACCTGGAAGTGTAGCTTTAAAGGCCATTAAAACCACTACAGTTTTGCCAAGAACACAGGAGATACAGAGAACAAAGATGATACCAAACGCTGTGTGTCGCAGCATGCAGGACCAATCAGAGGGAGCTCCGATGAAAGTTAATGAACATAAGAAACACAGAGTCAGAGAGAAGAGCAGCAGGAAGCTCAGCTCAGAGTTGTTGGCTCTGACAATTGGAGTTGTTCTGTGATGAAAGAAAATAGCTGCTGTTATGATGGCCAGACAGGCCCCACTAACAGAGAATGCAGCCAGGATGATTGCCAGGACTTCATCATAGGAAAGAAACTCCACAGGTTTGGGGAAACAAGCGTCTCTTTGTGCATTAGGCCACCATTCACTGGGACACGGGAAACAGTCTGGAGAATCTGAAAAAAATGATCCAACAATGATGTTAGTAGTTTAAAAAGCATCTAGTTTTCCCAACAATATTTTGCTGAAGGTTTAGGTCAGAAACAAAAATAACTACTCTTGGGGAATCCCAAGAAATTGCCATTATACATTTCCAACAAGTTCTTGGTTTTACCCCAGAAATCAAATTAGAATATGACAAGTGAACTTTTAGACAAAAAGGAGGCGTCCACTTCAGTAAAAAAATTTACTTTGTGGAACAACATCCCAGTAAAGTTTTACCACAGTTGGACAAAGCGTCTCACTCTATCTCGAACTTTGAATCATTTTTAGCTTTTTATCTCTGGGATTTGACTGTTTCAACTATTGTGACCTGAGACCATTAACAATTGGAAAGGACATGGCTGGGGACAGTGAGAGCTTTGCTTATCAGGTGAACTCCTTTTACACAATGACAAGCAAATGTAATGTTCTAAATACATTAGATCAATGATCTAGCAGTTTCTTGCTCCATCATACTGTTCTGTAAGGAACCAGGTAGAATAATCACCTAGTCTTAGGGAGAAATCCACCTCAAACCCAGTCCTTTTAGCATCATAGATCCAGATTTATAGAAAGTCAACTTTGGCCATTTCAAAATTGTTATTAAACTCAATCATATATCATCAATTGACAGTCTTAAATTTTTACCTGTTGTGTTGCTAAATTCTCCTTCTGGACATGGTATACAATCATAGCAGCAGATGGGTTTTCCTTTCTGCAGGACTTTACGACTTCCTGGATGACAACTCTGAGAGCACACTGATACTGGGACCTGAATCATCAGGAAACACACAAGTGGTTGTAAAACAGCTTTCACTAAATGAGGTAAAAACTCTTCATCCTTTGCACTATATAATTTTTAGGTTTCTTACTTGTGTGCCACCACCCACCCAGGTTATGTTTCTGTTTATACGAAACTCCTGTCCTTTAGGCAGTGATGCGTCATAGTACCCTACTGTTACTGGTTCATTAACTCCACTCTCACTCTTCTGCCAGTTGACCAGCTCATAAAAAGCTACAGGATCTCCGTTAGCATCAAATGATACAGGATAACCATTACGGGAGAAGTTGACTTTTTGTAGTTCACCTAAAACCTGTAGGAGTTCGATGTTTAAATAACAAGAATAAACAACTGAAGAAAAACCTCGAGATGAAGTATTTTCAAACGTACCATTTTATAATCCAGTCTGTTTTGTTTGTCACACTTATTTGTGAAATTTGTATCCTGACACACAGCATTGTGAATAGCGTGAGCTGTTGCATAAACAGCCTTGTACACCATGTTTGTAGCTCTTAGCTGGGACGTATCGGTGTATGGACTTTGGAGTGATTTTATGTCCTCAGTTCCATCACATTTTCTCTTGTTCAAATCACCACCTAAAGAAATAAAACATGAGCAAGAATGTTTAATACGTCAAAGGAAGCATCAAACAAAAATATTAAATGTTCATGACTTTCAAACAATAAAAAAAAACTGTAGTTCACCTAATTACAACTATAAAAAATAACTGAAAAGGATATTTTTCACTCAAAGAAACAGACTTGAATCAGCTAAATGCGCGCACACACACACATATACATACATACATACATATATATATATATATAGATATATATATACAAAAACACTCACTTTTTCTTATGCTGCAGTTGAATGCATCCTCCCAGAACTCCGTGAGCACTGAGGAGGCCGCTACTTTAGCAAGAGAAAGATCCAGTAAGAATTCTCTGAGCCCTGGAATGACAGATTTTGGAATTCCAACTCCGATGGCTCCTGCACAGAAACTGTAGCTCATCAAGAGTTGGTCAGTAATCCAGCCCTCACTTCCTATCCACTGACGAGGAGATGGAGGTTCCAGAGCCAGTTCTTCTAAAAGAACACTCATATCGCCAGACGCTGTAAACGCCACAATAACCATCGCTGTTGACCTGCAAAGACAGTTGCTAGAGTCTATAAATTTATTACGTTGTAATGTAGTAAAACTTTTCAAAGGATTATTTTTACTATTAATCATATTCTTTAATAGATCAGTATACATAGATAACAATAGTATTAAAGAAAAAGAAACCTGCGAATAACACCAGCTACTCTCTTAATGTTATTAAGTGGGTCGGTCCGGTAGAAGGACACAGAGTATTCCACACAGATTCCTTCTCTCTGTGCTGCAGCAAGAAAAGACGCCATCCCATAATTTCCATAATCAGAGTCAGAGCGGACAGCACCTATCCAAGTCCAGCCAAAGTGTTTCACCAGCTTGGCCAGTGCATCAGCCTGGAACTGGTCACTGGGAATTGTTCTGAAGAAAGTTGGATACTCTTGCTTGTTTGACAGACAGGCGCATGTGGCAAAAGGACTCACCTTTAACAAGAAAATACAAAATGTCTTAGAAAAAAAGTAAAGTCTGAAATTAGCAGAAATAATTAAAAAATTTGCATGAATTTTCTCTGTTCACCAGAGGGATGTTAAAGGGTCCAAAAATGCGTGAAATGCTGATGGATGGCGTGGATCCAGAGTCTCCAACAACAGCCATCACCAAGCCAGATTGGGAACAATCAAACATCTTGTGAAACACCGGTTCCTGACCATTTGATAGCTGAAATGCGACATGTGAGGCCACAGAAACGGAGACGCAGGAGTCGTAGATTTGATATCCAAGTCTGATGTACGGCAGAAGCTCCGTGCTGTTGTTGATCTCTTCAATAGCAAAAACCATCGCTCGAGAAAAACGCAGAACTCTGGAATTTAAGCTGCAGAAAAGCAATCAGGTATAAGTTCACGTTTATACACATTAAGAACACACACACACACACACACACACACACACACACACACAATCAAGCTTTCAAACACTAAAGATCAAATTATAAATTAACGGAAAAACAAGTTCCAAATAAAACGGGACTTCAACAAATCAATACTATTTCCTGGTAAAAAACATAATTTCATCCATGCATCCAGTAATTTCTAAGCTGTAAAAATGCCATAAAAACTGTTACTTTCCCAACTTTGAGTACCAACATGACAAATCACATCATTTATATAATACATCATCCATTTTTATCCCTTCTCTCTTGTACTTACCTCCCTGTGCACTTTGGAGGGTCAGGCTTGGTGGTGTAATTGTTAATCACTGTGTAAAGTTTGTGGTGAATGGAGAAGACACCTCCGATAACAAAGTCCCCACCCATGGAGAATGCTGGTAAAGGAGGAGTTCCTTGCAAAGTACATTTTACTGATGAAGCCTCAGTATTGCTGTCAGCACCTGTCACAGCCAACATAGGCTGAATCCTTTGTTTCAACCTATCCAAACCAACTACTGACATCAGCTCCAGTAAACTCACAGCTAATCTCACGCCAATGAGGAGTGTCCAGATCTCCATTTGTCTGGTGTATGTTCTTCAGTGGGGGTTTTCAATCATTTATATACCACCTTTCTCATATGTCAGGTGATTGTTCACAAAAAAAAAAAAACAAAAAAAAAAAACAAGACTTCCTCAACAAGTGGTTGTTTCTGGCTCTAAATTAGGCCTATTTAATCGTTGCATTTTCTCCAGTAAAATGTTGCTCTAGATTGTCCTCCATCTAGGATAAGGATCTTGAGTACTTTAAATGAAGGAAACCGGACTTTTCCCGTTACTGTAATTTCCGGTCTATAGAGTGTGCCTCAATATAAGCCGCACCTACTAAGTTTAAAAAAAAAAATGGAACTGTACATATATAAGCCGCAACAGGCTAAGAGCCGCAGATATCTACCGGATATCTACTGAATTGAAAACGTAGTTTTACTGAACGTAACTGAACTGATCAGTATCAAACAAAACAAAAGTTATTGATTAGTTTATTCATCGTCCTCCTGGGCACTGAAACCACTGAAGTCATCTTCTTCAGTGTCGGAGTTGAACAGCCTCAGAAGAGCTTCATCACATACCTTTTCTGTGGGGATGTCAGTCTCACTGTCTGTGTTGCTGTCATCATCCCGGGGAGAAGCTGGCTTGAATGAGTTCTTCCCGCTGCCGTCTCCAGTGCCGAACCATGGATTCATTCATGCCAACCTCACGTGCAGCAGCACTGTTTCCCTCCTTTACTGCCAGATCGACGGCCTTCAACTTAAATGCGGCATCATATGAACTCATACGTGTAGTTTCCATGATGAGGGGGTATGAATTTGAAAAAATTTCTTCGATGTGCTGGCTGCTTGCATGTGCTAAGTTAAAATAGGCACTTTCTCCGATTTCCACTTTTGATTTCACTTTTGGTTTCACTTTCTGCTAAAGCGCCCCCTGGCAGGTGAAGGAAAATATTCAATAAAGCCGCACCTCATTATAAGCCCCATGGTTCAAAACGTGGAAAAATAGTAGCGGCTTTTGGTTCGGAAAATACGGTACCTTAAAGTGAGGCAACTGGCTCCCTGGAGGGCTAAGCCCAACCAGCCATTCCTCCCCATCCCCACACATTTCTCTCCTCCTGCTCCCTCACATCATCACACAAACATGCACATAGGGCCTTGGGGGGTGGACAAGTCAGGGAGTGCGGGTATGGACCCCATTTCAGCATTCCTGTGGCAACCTGCCCCCCAATTTTATTTGCACCTTAAACACTTCCACCAACGACATTCCACGCAAACACACACTTAGGGCCTTGGGGGTGAGCACATTTAACAGCATTTGTCAAGGGGATTTCTCAGCCTCACCCCTAGTGCCGGTGCCCACTTCCAATTTTAAACTGCACTTAGACACTGAGGGCTGTGGGTGCAAGTGGGGTGGTGTGGTGGCATCAGCTGGCATAGGCCAGACAATGCCCGCACTGCCCGCTCACAACAGCCATGGAATACACCTCATCAACACTCACTAACACCATATTGGAGCAGGCGGAGGGAGACTAGGGGTCTTAGCACACCTCTGTTGTCGCTTGACTTCCTGGGGCTGGAGGCTAGGAGGGAGATCTGGCCATCTGGTTGGGGTCTGGGGTGGTGGATTGCTGTGCTCAGCGTTGGGCAGGGGAGCCTGCTCATCAGCACCCCAGCAGAAAGGGTCGAACTCTGGGAACCGGTAATGATTGTACCCCATGTGCAGCAGTACCAGGACCAGAGTGAATAGGATGTGTATGGGGAGCATGTGTGGGTGTCCGGCGTGCATTTTTGGAAGTCTTTGGTTGTATGTGTATGTGTGAGCATGAGGGAGGGAGTGTGTGACTGTGTTTCTGTATGACTGTATATGTCAGGTGGGGCCTTTGACTCCTCCCTTCGCCTAGGACTTCTTTTGATGATATAGATCTTTGTCTCCCCTCTCCCTGTCACACCTGGTGTGGAGTGCGGTGCCTTGGTCTGCCTGGGTCGTGGCTCCCGGGTAAGGGAGTTTAAGATTTTTGGCATCTGCCTGACCAATCCCGGTGGCTGCCTGGTGGGGTCTGTGTCCCTGGGCTCTGCTGGGTCCCCGGCGGGGTGATCGCCCCTGGGTCCCGGGCTCAGCCGGCTAGGGGGTGGGAGGCTGTGGGCGGGCCTGTGGGCTTGCCGCCAATGTCTCCCGGGACTCTGCCGGCTGCTGGTTGTGGCCCCCAGGGGCGATCCTCTGCGCCTCTCGAGGGGGGCAGGGGCCTTTCTGGTCGCAGTCTCCCTGGGGTTCCTGTGCTCTGGGGCAGCACCTGGATCTCTGGGACTTGGAGCTCCCTCCGCCTCCTGCATATCTTTAGGGGGCAGATCTGTGGCCCCTCACACTCTCTATTGGACGCTCCTATAGAGAAGCCTTACATAAACAAGCGTGTGTACACACACAGGTGCTCACATGGTGCTCTCATAAGTATGGACTTGGGCACGCTCAACACATGTCTTAAGGCTATGGTGGGCACTTAATGCACTGTGATTTATTATCGTGTGATTGTTCAGTTAAACATTGTTGATTATATATTTGTTCATCAAGTCGACGCAGTGATAGCTTGATCTTGTTGTATTGTTGTTGTGTCCCATTTTTTTTGTTTGTTTTTTGTTTTTGTTTTCTTCTCTCTTTCTGTAGGTCTAGAAGCAGACTCTTGTTCATTATTGATTATTTTTGTGGAACAACCCCCCACACACCTGTTGTCTCTTCCTTTCTCTTTCACCTCTGGCTCCGTGTCTGGTCGGAATTACAAAGCATTCAAAAACAATAACAATAAAGTTTTAAGTATCAGGCGTGACATTTAAAGCAGACGCTTTGATGCTCCACCTGAGAGTAAATCTGTAAGGCTTGTCACCAGCATTCAGACATCAATTCTGTTTGCTTCACAGACAGACAGGACACGGAAAAAAAAAAAGTGAGGCAACATGTCTTCAAGATGACAACAGAAGTCCAGTTGGCTTCATTTGAAACATAGTTTCTCTTGTTGAGTTTCAAAATCCCCCTTTTGGTGTTTTAGAGGTATTTTTCCTCTCAAATTTTACTTTGAGTATTCTCCAAGCATTCCACAGATGTTTAGCACTATTGATGTGGAACTCTGAGGGTTGTAACAAGATGTTAAACTGTAATGTGAAATAGTCGAGTTAAATTGGATTAAATAAATTGCTTAATAGCTATTTATTTCTATTCTCATTACTTTGTGACCAATAGCTGTAAAACTCTATTAATATAGAATATTACCTTGCTTGGTCTTAGGATGATTGATTAGAAGGTTCTAGGATTCTTTTAATTATTAAGGGATTGTCACACTTCGGTTTGAATCAAGAACCAATCAGTGTTTGCAAACAAATATGAATTTATTTTACAAACATTTAAGACTTCACAAATGGTTTAAAACTATTATACGGTTAATGGATGGAACTAAAAGATGGAAGTCTGCAAACTGTGTGTAAATATAGTTTAGAGTCAAACTAAGGAGGAACTGAATCCAGCATTTTTTGTTTCATATGCACAGGTTTAACAACTTTTAACAACTATCAATGGCGGTTGAACTTTAAATGCACAAAAGTAAGCCATAAATACAGTTTCCACTATCAAAGTAGTCACACTTTGTTGATCCAAACACTGCTGATCTCTCAACACAAATGATGGGCAGATTAAACGGTTCATTTCGATGCTTCTCCCACACAACGGGTGTTTGGATCTAACTTCCGCATTTATTGCTCGGACTGTATCGCAAGATCTCGAAAATCCCGCGCATGCCTGTTTGCGCACCTCAGGTCTCCGCAACAGAGCAGAGCCATTGTAGAGCGGGTATAGTATAATTTGAGTTTGGAAGCGAACGGCAGCGGAAAGAAGGGGCAGAGCGGAGCGGAGATAGTGGAATTTTGGGGTTAAGGTTCGACAGTGTGTCAAAATCCTTTTGAGTTTGAGATCTGCTAAGAGATGGTTGGTCTCCAGCTTGCTCTCGACTGACGAGAAAGCAGATCGGGCTTCGTTATAATGCCTGGTGTTATCTCTTGGTTGCCAAGCATCCCAGAACCCAGTCTCTGAGTCTGACTCTAAATGTGGAATTATGGTCAATTATGTGATGCACTTTTTTATCTTAGCCTTACTTCTTGTCTGGTGTGTGAGTAATGACGATGATCTCATCAGTAAACACAACTAAACATTGAGCATATTACTAAGACATCACAGAGTCAGATTCATGGAACATTCCAGGGCTTATAATTATACATAACAACATCAGTGATTATTAATCATCAAGTCTTAGTTTTAAGATCTTCTTTTCTTCAATGATTATTTGGAATTATAAAATGATTAGTTATGAAATTATCCTTCTTCTGGGAATAAACGTTTATCTTAGGAGAGTTCTCTTGTGAAGGATCGTTGTGAAGGACACTGATGAAGTCATCTGGTTGAAGAGATTGTGTGTGCAGACACAAGTCTCCTTGTCAAGGGAAAATAAAGTATAACGTTATATTCAGGGAAGCTGGCCTTGCTGTGTTTCTGGCCTGTGCATATGTCCTGTGGAATCTGAAAATCAGGTCAATGCGTGTCGTTACAAACCCTTTGTCTTTAGTTAACAGCACATCCACACAGTTTGCTTAGTAGTGGTGAAACAGATCAAATATCTCATGGATCAAATTGAATCATAGTTTTGAGTCTCGATTTAGATATTTTTCGGATTTGCAGGAAGAAAAGAAAAAAAAAGACATAACTGTGTTCCCTCTTTATTTAGTAGAACACTTAGCACATTTTTTGGCTCAATGCTCATTAAATAAAAACATTTAACTCGATACTCATTTAACCCCAGTTACGTTCTATATGTAGCGTAGACGATCTACATACTAGGATTTAACGCTGTTTACTATCAGCTTTGTTAGATCCTGAGAAAGATCAAACAATATTAGCATATGAAGCTATATCATGTATAACTATCCAGGATTTTTATACAATCAATAGAAGTTCATACACCAACCTGCTTGGTCTATATTTAATCCAAAGATTAATATTTAATTGAAGAAATTTAATTAATAGCAAAAGTTTATTTATTAAACAGTAGAATCTTTGCTTATTCAATAACCAAATATACACCATTCTGTGTTTCATTTCAAAGAAGAGTCAGGTTTAAAAAGTTAAGAATTTATTACTAACAATTTAAAGATGACAATTTATAAATGACAATTTAAAGATGACAATTTATAAATGACAATTTATAACAGCTTTGATATTAAACTTGGTATTAAAAGCAAACCTGTGTCTGAATGGAAACTAAAGTGGAATGTGTGGGTTTGGATGCGTGGATGAATCTCAGAAGATTTCTTTCAGAGAGAGAAACACATTCTGGGTGGGAAAGTTGTTTTGCAGCTAACTAAGTTGTTTCTTAAAGAGAACAGCATACAGATGCCATCTGTCAGAAGTGTCTACCTCAACCAGTCAGGAGACCATCTTCTGGCTCCGAGATATCAGATGGAGATGATGAACCCCCAAGCACGAGATAGTTAGAAGGACCTTGGTGTGACCAAATCGGTCCTGAGATGTCTCCGAGTCACAACAACTCATGAAACTAGTTGCATCTCAAAAATCAATAACTCTGAAGGAGTTTTGCATCAGCTGGTTACAGGTGGCGTTTATTTGGAACAATTCTATCGGTGTGACAGAACAGCTTAGGTGGAGGCTTCAGGGCGGCCGACCCTAATTGGGCTCGACACACGGGAGGCGACAAACAACCGCGATCAGCGAAATTTGTCGCTGTTGCTTTTATTACCTGTCACACGGGAGGCGATCCACAGCAGCGGCCAGCGGCAAAGCCGTCTACGCGTTCTGTCCCATGGCGAAATCGAAACTTCCGTTGTTTTGTTTGGCTGTGTCACGTTGGAGGGAATTAAGGTTATTTAAGCGGTTCAGAGTTAATAAAGCGGTAGATATGATGTTTCAAAAGGTGCTGCTAGAGTTATGTGAAATCTTACTTCTGATTTTACTATATAAAACATAATAATAATCAACTTCTCCTTCATGTTTGCTCGGAGATGTGTGGAGCATTATGTCCGCTCATTGGTCAGTGAATGAAACCTCCGTTGATTGGTCCTTGTCCGAGCGACAGCGATGAAAAGTTGAAAATGTTTCAACTTTCTGGGATCGCGTCGCTGGGTCATCTGCGCACGGCACGTGCACGAGTGCAAAATTTCACACTCACGTTTTTCGCGTTTCGCTTAGTAGGAGAGAGACCCGCAATTATCGCTTTGTCGTGCATGTCTCATTGAAAATGAATGGAGGAGAGGCGATGTCGTCTCCCGTGTGTCGAGCCCATTATCCTCATGGACTCCCGTTGCCACGGAGAGTATCTGGTTGGTTCAAGAACTGAACTTGAGCTGAGGAGTTTTTGGTTTTATTAAAACCTCAGGACACACCCTCTCAGAGACAGAAAGCTTTTTGTTATGGAGCAAAGACATGTGAGAGCAAGTTACCTTTACCCTGGTCTGTCCGCTCTGCATGGTGTGTATAAGTGCAAATTACCTTCTTCACACTGTTAAACATTACTGATTATCATAAATAATAATTATTATTAACCAAAGAATAATAAGTCATTTCAGTAATTAAATACATTTATAATGAACCATGATGATTATTTATTAACCTTCTAATAAACAGTAAAAAGAGTTTATTAAAAATGATTATTTTAAATCTTGAAATGTCCTTCATCTTGCGGAGGAACCGCAGACAGATAAAAGGCAGTCAGATTAAAGATGGTTTTAGCAGACTGTACGTCTCCTGTGATGTATAATCTGTGGACAAAAGTTCAGCCAGGACAGCGTGACCTAGCTGGGGAAGTGTGACCTTTGGTTCACAAAATGAGGCCATTCATGTCACTACATATAATATATATAACGTTAAAGATTGTTATAACTAAATAATTCTTACTATCTAGAATGATCATTTCAGATATTCAGTAAGAATGTTCTATTGGATATCTGGAATGTTAATTTCTACTAGGAATGATATAATTATGGATATCAGTAATATATATCCAGTCAGCCTAATAAATGCTAAAAAGGCCTCCAATTGGGCCAGCTCCTCTGGGGGAATCTCAAGATGTTCCATGGCCAGCCGAGAAACATAGTCCCTCCAGTGTGTCCTGGGTCTTGGGTCTCCTACCTTTTGGACATGCCTGGGAAACCTCACCAGGGAGGCCTCCTAACCAGATGCCTGAGTTCCCTCAACTCGCTCCTCTTGATGTGGAGAAGCAGCAGATCTACTCTGAGCCCCTCCCGGATGACTGAACTTCTCACCCTATCTCTAAGGAAGAGCACAGACATCCTCCAAGAAAAACTAATTTCGGCCGCTTGTGTCCACAATCTCATTCTTTCGGTCACTGTCCAATGCTTGTGACCATAGGTGAGGGTAGATCGGCCATTAACTGAGAACTTTGCCTTCATCGGTATAATGCCTGCATCACTGCAGGTGTTGCACCAATCTGTTTAATTGATCTTGCGCTCCTTCATTCCCTCACTTGTGAACAAGACCCGAGAAAATCAAAATCTTCAACTGGAGGCAGGACCACATTCCTTTTCCGACTCAAGGCCATGGTCTTAGACTTAGAGAAGCTGATTCTAATCCCATCTTCTTCACACTCAGCTGCCTAACCCCTCCCATTCCTTCTCCTTTAATCGGGAGAGGGTATAGGGGGAGCCAGGTTAAGCCTAGTCCGGCTCAGTTGTGGTTGAACGTAATAACACGATGCCACCTCCGCTACCTGGTCTCAATACTCTCTTTTGCTCTCTCTCGCTCTTCCTCTCACTCTCAATCTGGAGGGACCAACAATGGAAGGGGGTTCTGAGTGACATGTGGCGGCTCGTGCACTGCCAGTGATTCCCTAATTAAACTGTTTCGGTCATTGGACTGACTCAGGGGGAATTCATTGAGTTATATCTACTGAACCTAACCCATGAAGCCAACAGGACCACATCATCTGCAAATAGCAGAGACCCAATGCTCAGGCCACGCAAAAAGTTACCGTCAACACTGTGCCTGCACCTAGAAATCCTGACCAGAAAAGTTATGAACAGAATCAAGACTCCAACTCTCACCAAGAACGAGCCCAACTTACTGTCGACAATGTGGACCAAGCACTAACACCGGTCACACAGGGACCTAATACCCCAAATCAGAGGGCCTGGTACCCCATACTCCCAAAGTACCCCCCACAGGTTCATTCAAGGGACGGTCGAGCGACTTCTCCAAATCCACAAAACATAGATTGGTTGGGGAAACTCCCACGCACCCTCTATGACCCCCCTAAGGGTATAGAGCTGGTCCAGTGTTCATATGGCAAGGACAAAAACCACACTGTTGTGAGGACGTAGAAGTCTGCCGCAGGAGAAAGTGGCAGAAGATGGCTGATTGGCTAACAGCAAAGAGACTCGTCCACTGGCTTTACTTGCTTTGAAACATTGATGTTTTATCTTCTCAAATAGCACAAGCCTGAAGCAATTCTGCCGTGTGTGGAGACACTAATGCTAACTGTTAGCCTCTACTGTTCTCTGCCATTTCCTGGATGCTACACCAATAACAGCCTTCCTCATCACAAGTCAAGATGGGTGAGTCCATGAATGGTAAGTGACATTGAGATGTACATCTATTTTCTATCAGAAGCTATTGCAGGAGATAGGTGTAAAAGATGTTTCTCACGTTCAGCCTGCATGAAAAACTCAGAGTGACCAATCATTTTCAAAAATATTTAGTAAAAAATTGTTCCTCTGTGAACTTGCTCTTTAAAAACAGTTTTAACTCCTGAGGTATGTTCAGTAAGAATTGAATTATTAAAATTTCTGCAAAACGTTGTAGAAGTCAAAATTGTTCTGTATTTGTCAAAAGGCCATAGTGATGTTGCAAAAGTCTCAAAATTAATTTTTGATAATTAAAAATTTCTTACAGTTTTTTTCTGGTTGAAGCAAAATTATAAAACACTTTGGAGCAAATATACTCAGAATTAGTCCAAAACTGGAGGCCAGAATAGCAAATATCTCCACAGCTACAGTAAATTTTCCAGGAGAGCTGACATATGCTGGGATGAAGGTGAGCCACACTGCACAGAATATCAGCATGCTGAAGGTTATCAGCTTGGCTTCATTAAAATTATCAGGTAGTTTCCGAGCTAGAACAGCTAACACAAAGCAGAAAACAGCCAGCAGGCCAATGTACCCGAGCACAGCCCAGAACCCAACAGCAGAACCTAATGCACATTCCAGGATGATCTTCTCCTTGTATGTGCTCAGATTCTTCATCGGGTAGGGAGGGCTGAGTAACAGCCACACAGTACAGATTATAATTTGAATAAATGTGAAAAAAACAACAGTCATTCTTTGCTGTGGAGGCCCAAACCATTTCATGACATTACTACCTGGAAGTGTAGCTTTAAAGGCCATTAAAACCACTACAGTTTTGCCAAGAACACAGGAGATGCAGAGAACAAAGGTGACACCAAACGCTGTGTGTCGCAGCATGCAGGACCAATCAGAGGGAGCTCCGATGAAAGTTAATGAACATAAGAAACACAGAGTCAGAGAGAAGAGCAGCAGGAAGCTCAGCTCAGAGTTGTTGGCTCTGACAATTGGAGTTGTTCTGTGATGAAAGAATATAGCTGCTGTTATGATGGCCAGACAGGCCCCACTAACAGAGAATGCAGCCAGGATGATTGCCAGGACTTCATCATAGGAAAGAAACTCCACAGGTTTGGGGAAACAAGCGTCTCTTTGTGCATTAGGCCACAATTCACTGGGACACGGGAAACAGTCTGGAGAATCTAATTAAACAATATAAAGGGGGTTGTTAGTGATTATATTTTCCATAATACAGTTTTGTGAAGAAAACCTCGCATTTTACCTGTTGTGTTACTAATCTCTCCTTCAGGACATGATATACAATCATAGCAGCAGATGGGTTTTCCTTTCTCTAACACTTTACGGGTACCAAGAGGACAACTCTGAGAGCACACTGATACTGGGACCTGTAACCGAGGGTTAGGAAAAAATGGAACCAAAGTCATTTTTGCAAACAGTTAAAAGTAAATAAAAAACTTTTCCTACTAAGTTACTGTCTACTAAGTTATTATGTGACTTACTTGTGTACCACCCTCCACCCAGGATATATTCCTGTTGATGTGAAACTCCTGTCCTTTAGGCAGTGATGCATCATAGTACCCTACTGTTACCAGCTCAATAACTCCACTCTCACTCTTCTGCCAGTTGACCAGCTCATAAAAAGCTACAGGATCCCCGTTAGCATCAAATGACACAGGATAACCGTTTCTGGAAAAGTTTACTTTTTGTAGTTTAGTCATGTTGGTCTCTCTTCCTTTAGACCAAGCACGGGTACGGAGTAGATGGAGTTAAACACCTTTAAAGTTGTCAGAACGAGGAGACAAATGATCAGAAGTCCATTCACTGTTTCACCGCTCATGAGGGGGAGAGTCTCTGCAGCAAGTCCCGCGACCTGCTCTTGCCAGATGCTTCGGACAGACTCTCGCCGTTCTGCTGAAAACGGCTGATTTTTATTGAAGATTACAGGAATGTTACATACGTAGTTTGCCATACACACACGTAATTCTGCCATCTGCACCTGCAGACGCACGTCAGCTAATAGCCTTGTTAATGAAAGACCAATTCATCCCAAGGACATGCAACCTTGAGATGATCAGGACACATCCTGCAACATCCTTTGCTAACAAAGACAGTTGTTCTTGTATTGAGGAACTGAAGGAAGGAACGCTTTCACTCCCTTATGCAGCTGTTCAGCTTGAGCAGAAAAGGCACAGAGAGGTTTTCGATATTATAACAAGATTCCATGAAAAGGCATATAATAATGTATTTATGATAATATATAAGGAGCATAAGTGAGAGATACATATTTGTTCATATAAAAGAGCTTATAATAATATATGAAAGAGCTTATATGAGAGATATATATTTTCAATCCCCCTTTTGAACTCTTTTAAGAGTTCAATAAAGATATAAGAAATCAAAACAATAACACCAAATTCCATCAAAAAGAATCCAATAAGCAAAGTTTTAAAATACAAATACAAACAATCAATCAGGTTACAGCTTCTCATATTTCCAGCAGTAAACTAATACAAAAAAAAACATGATCATATTTTTAACTGAACATGTTACAACATGTATGGATCGCATGCAACTCCATATGAGGGCGAAAAACCCTAATTATCATATGTTTATAGGGAAAATTCCCCCATGTCCCCCCATTTGTCATATCTCAATTTTGGGGCGAACACCTGTTGGCATAGAGTGTGCATGCCTAGGACATCAATGATCAACAAAAAATAAAACAAAACAAACAAAAAAATCATAAAAATGAACTGGTGAAGGGATGGTTACATAAATCACTGAACATTCTCACACTCTAACAACATCTTCTTCATCATGAGAGTCATCACTATCATCAGAGAGTTCCCCTCCCAAATAGATGTTAGGATTGGCTAGTAACAAGGGCATCTGGATAATTGGGTCAGCAGGTGGAGGGTGTAAAATATTACCCTTGTAAAATAAATGAGGGTGTTAAATACAACCCTTGTAGAATGTTCATAGGGTGGTTACTTCTTCCCCCTGTTGAGGACCCTTCACTGGCTCCAGGCAGCTGCAGGGGGTGATGATGTCACGATTCTCGTCCTGCAGGATGTGGTGGCAGCTTGGCATGCTACTGCAGTCAGCTACTTCTCTTCCTGGTTTTTGGATCCTTTCTCTGGTTAGGCAGATGTCAGCTGCTTCTCTTCCAGGTTAGGCTCCTCCCGTCCAGCCGGACAGCGTGTGATGTCCTCTCCGTGATCCTGTATGGCCCGGTCCACCTCGGTTCCGTCCACTTCCTTTTGGTGACTTTTAGCAGGACCCAGACGCCTGGCACCGAATGCGAAGCATCTTCGTGTGTGTTGTTTTGGTCCAATGAAGGCTTTCTCGGCTTGTGCAGTCCTTGATCTCGGCAGATAGTTGGTAGGAAGGTTCACACTCCGGCCGGACCAGAAGTTCCCCGAACCGATCGCCTAGGGATTAGAGGTTATGCACAAAAATGTCCTAGCTCTTACTGACCCTAGCCTCTGATACCTTCAACATCAGACACATACAGTTACGAACAGCAAGCGCAATTAAAGGTACAGTGACATCACGACATGGACACACAGACACACAAACACATACACATGCACATACACAGAGAGAGAGGGAGAGAGTAAGAATGTGTGTGGGAGGAAGAAATGAGTGGGATCCACTTTGCCACCAGCATCTCCACCTGTGTCACAGGGAAAAAATTACAAAGAAATTAAAACACAAAGCAAACAACAATAATTCAATGAGTATAAATGATCAAACTAAAATATACAACCATGCATGGGTTTTATAACAGTTCCGGCAACACTGGAGAGGAAGCCTTGTATAATGAATTCTTAAGATGTCCTTCATCAATTAAAGGTTATAGCCAAATTGTTTCAGGATCCTGAATTTGAATTTGAATTGGTTAATTTACTCAGAATAGTCCAATGTCTTTGTTGATGTTTCTCAAGGCTCGGCCATGCCCATATAGATAAATAAACAAACAAACAAGACAAACACAGTCAAACACACGGTCCATACACGTCTCTGTGCCCTCACACACCAAGCAAATGTCAGACTGAAGCGAAAGTGTGAAATACTTAACCTAACGCTAAATCAGTGGAAAGAAAAAATAAGACCTAAAGCGTGTAATCAAATTAATCCAACAAAACTTCCCATAACTGCCGTTCTAAACTCATGTTGCGGTGTGATCTCTCCAATTAGAAATTAGGACAACCACTTTTACTATCAATTCAACCAAATAGTTTCAGGTTGTCCCTTACCTAAACTACCTGTCTTTCTTACCTTCTTTCTTTCTTTCTTTCTTTCTTTTTTAGGAACACTACTCGCACAAGAAATCCTAAGAATTAATTCACTACTTAAGGTTAATTCATAAATAACGAAACTGCAGTTACAGGTTTGTTTGTGCATAGTATTGGTAATCAGCAGTTTTTTTCCTTATCTCCACATCTAGAAGTGTTTCTGTGCTACTCCTCCATCTATAACACAAGTTAGTATCATCCTTAAAGCATCTGAAATTAAGCTGCATTGCTAAATCAATAACGTGATTTGTGCTAAGAAATACTCCCCTATCCTCTTCCTTTTTCCAGTGGCGCTGAATGACAGATTTTAGATCAATTTAACGTTTTATCACTATTACGTTTCATTTAATTAATTTTGCTTTTTCTCTCTTATTTTTGTCTATTTATTTATTTATGTTATTTACTTATTTATCATGCCATCCTGTGATGATAATCTTAAAGACTTTTTAGCCAATTGTCGTCAAAAAGGCCAATTAAAAAAAATATTATGTTAAAGATTTCACAAGATAAAAATGTGAACATAATTTTTATCGAATGAGGGGTACAATTATTCAATATTTTTGTGACATTATTTTCTACGTTAGAACTTACAGCTGATAGAAAAATATAGGATCAGCTAGGTTTGGCTAGATCTGTTGGGAAACTCAACGGAGCTGAAACAACACTGTTGTCTCGGATGAGATGTTCCATGAATCATTTAGTCAGCTGGATGCCAAATTATTCATTTAATGTTTATTTTTATGCAATGAATGGAATGGGATGGAACGTTACTATAAACTATCCGGAAATTTGCGCATGTTTGCTCGAAGGAGAGAACTGTTGAAGCCTAAAGCGTTCTCCTAGACTTATAAATAGACACCGTTTCCTTAACTAATGAAGATAAGTGATGACGCCGATGAATGACTTTTTGAAAAGAAAATAAGGCTTTACTGTATGTCCGCTGCAGCTGAGAATCCTAAGACAATAAAGATTATATTGACGTCCAATGGTGAGTTGGGCTGAAATCTAGGTTACTAATCCTATTATTTATTTATTTATTGATATTATTATTATCTTTTTTTAGGCTAACTTTCTCAGTTAACTATGTTCTACAGTAGTTTAGTAAATTTTCCACAGTTCTGACATTTCATCAATTCAACTGGTTGTTGCCAAAAAGCCTTGTTCATTACCTGACTGCAGCAAGCACTCTTTTACTGGGTGTAACCATAGGAAACAGTCTCTTTTGAGCCTCTCTTTGTAAGTCCAGGATGACCACCGTCATTGATTAAAGTTCACATGTTAGCAAACATGCTCCCCCTTTTGTACTTTGTTTCATCAGCAGCAGGGCAAATAAGTTTCTGCCTCTTTATCCATCTTGTAGTGCTCCCCGTCTTTATGTTATGAGTCACAGCTTTTGGTGAGGGCTTCCAGGTTCTCTTTGGTGAGGGCTTCCAGGTTCTCTTTGTATAGAAGTCAGAGCCAAACATTCTTTGCAGCTGGTTGTGACAGGCCCACCCAGTAAAGTTCATGCCTCCACAATGCACAGCAAACGTTTTCCTTAAATATGTTGATTGAGTTGAAAGGACAGAACTTTCTCTTTTACAAATCAAAATCAACGAAGGTTTCTAATATTTAGTCAACTTTATTGACTCAAAGGTAAATCTAGACTATTTCCTATGCACAATTTTTTCTGAATCATCAAATTAGTTCTACACAGGTTTTAAACTTTAGGCACAATCTATCCCAAATGCAAGATCCCTCCTTTCATTTTTTGTTTATCTATTTTATTTTGGGAAAATAACTACCAGTTTTTAACTCAAAACAGCCTAGTACAGTTTCTAGCCAGGTTACAGGAAATAATACTTAGTTTATCTGTTTTTTCATTATTCAGCGTCCCAAAATCCAGCCATTAACGTTAATGGTTCTTAAAGTTGAGGTAAGACAATTATTGGATTTTGTTTTATAGCAAGATTTAACAAATATTTTATTTCCTGACTGATTATTTGTTAATTTTATGGTTTTCATAAAGATGATCCTGAGAGGTTCAGAGCTGCTTTTCGCAGTACCCTGTGCTATTTTTAGACTGCGGGACTCCTGTGTGTAAAAGTGGGTGGAGTCAGGTCCCCAGGCTGAAACTCCAGTCATTCTCACTAGATCTGTCCGAGAGGAAGGATCTCCTGAATACCCTAACCAGAAGCCTTAAGGTACGTCCAAAACACCGAAAAATATCCTTTCTAAAGTCACAAATTGCTTAAAACTGCATGTTACACAGGAAAAATGTGAGAGCGAGGGAGTCCAGCTGACTCCACGGCCCATAATCAGACAAAATACTTCCTTTATAACCACGACCATACAACTTTTGTATTTTAAGGGATTTTCTTGTCCTCACACTAACGATAAATTCTTTTTCTATTGTTTCCACAGTCTCTTGAACTAAATAACCGTCTAGCAAAAACATGGACCGCACCCTGTTTCTCAAGCAGCTGCTCCCTCTATTAAAAACTGAGTCATTCAGAAGATCCAGCGAAAGCAGCTCATGCAAGAAGACACGCATCCACTCATTCACATGGCACAGACGACATTCTTTGTTTGTCACAGTCCTTTTTTTTTTTTTAAAGTAAGTCAGTTCGTCACTTATTTATTCTCTCTCTATATATATATAATATTTTAAGCACAGAATTTATTTAACACTGCACTGGTTATTTTCAGAATTTAATGCTTACTATGCTTTTAAGCAGGCCTTATGTAACATTAGAGCAAATCCAATTGCAATTTTTTTGAGAGCGCTCTGAGGAATAGTTTATATATTTATTTTCTGCAGATCTGTTTTGATTTTACTGTTTAGCAGCTATATGACTATATTTCTAAAATAAAGCTGTCATTTACATCCTTACTTGCGTTTCTTGGTGGTTTTTTCCCTTTTTTCATCTCCAGGTCACTTAACCCCCAGATCGGGGTCACTCACATGCTGCCCCACACACAAATGATTATCACGCTTCTACACTACATATGTATATATATGTATACACATATACATACATACACACATACATATGCATATGTTACTTTAAAAACCTTTTATTTATTAACTTATGGTGTTCTGTTCAAAGACTGATCAGAACAGGGTTGCAGAATTTGAATTTTGCGTAGCTCCAAACATTAATTTTAGCACTGCAGTGTAATTTACATATACGAGTTGCAACTTTTTAAAGCTCTTATTTATCTTATTTATTTATTTTCTGGTACCGCATCAGGCCTTCACACACACCATCCAGCGCTGTACACACACACACACACACGGAGCTCCCAAAACTCTGCTCTGCATTCTGCACTCTCCTAGTGCTGCACTTTCAATTCAGAGCCGTAAGCAGCCTCTTGCTGCGCCTCACACACACAGGCTGAACTCAGCTTACACACACAGGAAGCTTGTCTACAGCTGTGCCTTTTTCCTCTTGATTCTGCAGCCTTCACTTCCCAAATCTTTCTCCAGTTACCTCTACTGTTAACATCTACCCCTTTTTTCTTCATCGCCTCTTCCGCTGACTTTCTCAATAAAACCTTATTTCTCGTGGCTTCAACTGGGCTGCTTGTCATATTTAAACATTGCTCATTTTATGCAAAAACAGCCAAAAGCACGCAGAAATAGCCAAAAGCACTGCTCTCTTCACACAGAAGCAGTCAAAACATTTATCATCTTATGCAAAAACAGTTACCTCAGAACATTTTTCTCATCTCATGCAAAAGGTCCTTGACCTTAAAAATCCAGGGAGCTCTCTTTTAGCCTCCCCTTCCCTTAACACAAAAAACCAGGTCCTTGACCTTAAAATCCAGGGAGCTCTCTTTTAGCCTCCCCTTCCCTTAACACAAAAAAACCAGGTCCTTGACCTGTGGACTTTTAGGGTTCCCACACCTATGGATCCAGCCAAGCTTTATATAACCTCGTTATATATTCTATCCGCTCGTCAGCAAATAGTGTGGTCAGCCACGACCTGGAAATGGAACTTTAGGGCTACTCTATTAGCCCTGGGTCACCATCCCTTCATCTGTACTATTTCCTTTTCTCATTTACTCATTAAACCATTAGAAAAAATCCTCATTTCATTTCACCACTAAACCATTACAAAAAAATCTCTTATTCTCCTGCACTTGTCTCCACTTTCTTCTCCAACTATTATTTTAGGACCTCAGCTACTATGATTCTGGACACAAAGGCTTTGGATAAATCCAATGAGCAGATTTTAGATAATAGGCTCTGCTCACCTTGTTTTCCACCGCGGTGTTCTGTGCCAAGATCTGTTCGCTGGGTCGGTTGGTCAAATTGTCCTCCAAAAACTCCTTTTTCTTCAAAAAGAAAAAATCCTGTTCGTGACGCCAAATTTGTTGGTCTCTCTTCCTTTAGACCAAGCACGGGTACGGAGTAGATGGAGTTAAACACCTTTAAAGTTGTCAGAACGAGGAGACAAATGATCAGAAGTCCATTCACTGTTTCACCGCTCATGAGGGGGAGAGTCTCTGCAGCAAGTCCCGCGACCTGCTCTTGCCAGATGCTTCGGACAGACTCTCGCCGTTCTGCTGAAAACGGCTGATTTTTATTGAAGATTACAGGAATGTTACATACGTAGTTTGCCATACACACACGTAATTCTGCCATCTGCACCTGCAGACGCACGTCAGCTAATAGCCTTGTTAATGAAAGACCAATTCATCCCAAGGACATGCAACCTTGAGATGATCAGGACACATCCTGCAACATCCTTTGCTAACAAAGACAGTTGTTCTTGTATTGAGGAACTGAAGGAAGGAACGCTTTCACTCCCTTATGCAGCTGTTCAGCTTGAGCAGAAAAGGCACAGAGAGGTTTTCGATATTATAACAAGATTCCATGAAAAGGCATATAATAATGTATTTATGATAATATATAAGGAGCATAAGTGAGAGATACATATTTGTTCATATAAAAGAGCTTATAATAATATATGAAAGAGCTTATATGAGAGATATATATTTTCAGTCACAACCTGTGAAAAACACAATAGGCCTGAAATTAACATTGTAATTAAAGTTTGACGTTAGCAAAGTTAGTTTTCATTAAGACTGACCTGTTTGTATGCCAATCTAGTGTTTTTGTCACAGCTTGTTGTGAGGTTTGTTTCCTGACACACTGCATTGTGAATAGCATGAGCTATTGCGTAAACAGCCTTGTACACCATGTTAGATATCCTTAACTGAGACGTGTCAGTGTACGGGTTTTTCAGGGTTTTAATGTCTTCAGTTCCATCACAGTTTCTTCTCTGTAGGTCAGAAACTGAACATAGACACAGATAACATGTAAGAAAAGTACGTGCATACATGCATTTCATTATCTGTTCTGGTTTCCAGTTTTATACGATGAACCTTCTGCTCACAAATAATAAATTCTTTGGTTTTTGCCTTTCTACAACATGATACAACACCTTTTCCGAGACTACAATTGAAAGCATCCTCCCAGAACTCCTTCAGCACCGAGGAGGCAGCTACTTTAGTGGGAGGAAGATCCAGCAGGAAGTCTCTCAGACCTGGGATGACAGATTGCTGAATAGCAACTCCAATGGCTCCGGCACAAACACTGTATCTCAAAAAGTTTGGGTCAGTTATCCAGCCCTCACTTCCGATCCACTGACGAGGTGGTGGAGGTTCCCGAGCCAGCTCCTCTAATAGAACCCTCATATCTCCAGATGCTGTAAATGCCACAACAACAATGGCTGTTGACCTGCAGATATGTTAAAATGTGTCAGCATAAACAAACCCCAAATCACTTTGTAGCCTTTGTATATTGTAGTAAAAAAGAATGTATTTTTATTGAATGTGCTAATACTTCTTTTCAAATAATAAAGTCATCTCCAAAACTGAGAATCATTTAATTTACACAGAAAGTTTTCTTGAATGCATGTTTTGCATAGTTCTGATTTTCTGACATTTGCACTGTGTATTGTGTGTGTGAATGTGTGTGAATGGATGAATGATGCACTGTAGTATAAAGCATCTTGGAGTCCTCTACCTCTGAAAGGTGCTATCCAAGTGCAGGTCATTTATTATTTCTCATTATAAAGTGAAATCTACATTACGTAAGCTACATACCTTTAATGATACAATATTTCACATTTAAAAAAAACATTTTCTGGAATTATGAAAAAATTATAAAAAAAATGTTTCTGTAGTACATCTGGCAAAAGTCTACAACAAAGAAAAATTCCCAACTGAACTCAGGCACACCTGCGGATGACATCGGCTACTCTCTGGATTTTGCTACGTGAGTCAGTCCGATAGAAGGATACAGAATATTCCACACAGATTCCTTCTCTCTGTGCTGCAGCAAGAAAAGATGCCATCCCGTAATTTCCATAATCAGAGTCAGAGCGGACAGCACCTATCCAAGTCCATCCAAAGTGATTCACCAGCTTGGCCAGTGCATCAGCCTGGAACTGGTCACTGGGAATGGTTCTGAAAAACGTTGGGTACTGCTGCTTATCTGACAGACAGGCACAGGTAGCAAAGTGACTGACCTAAAGTGAGGTAAATAATTATTTATTTTGGTTAATTATCAATAACAAGTCCAATAAAAAGTAGAAGATTTTTTTTCCAATTTTACAAAATATACAGAGTATTTACCAAAGGGATGTTGAAGGGCCCGATGATGCGTGACAGAGTGATGGATGTTGTGGAACCAGAGTCTCCGACAACAGCCACCACCATACCAGTTTGAGAACAATTGCTGCTTTTGTTAAACACAGGGTCCTGACCATTTGAAAGTTGAAATGCCACATGCACAGCTACTGGTACTGAAGCACAGGAGTCATAGATCCGATATCCAAGTCTGATACCCGGCAGCAGCTCTGTGCTGTTGTTTATTTCCTCAATGGCAAAAATCATCGCACGAGAAAAGCGAAGTTCCCTGGCTGTTGGGCTGCATAAGATGAGTCAGTTTACATAAAAATAAACAAAAAATTGCCAGCAAATTAAGAAAATAATCTAAAGCTGCAGTTCTTTATTTTCTCCAAAATAAATTGTGTTAAACAAATTCCATAGATCCAACGAAAATATCTATTTTCCTTTTTTTTGTCCTGCTAACAAACAAAACTTGGGGGGAAAAAATGACCATTTTATTTTTTTACTTTTACAATTCTTTGCAGCAAATCACTATTTCTGAACACATCTAACTTCCTCCCCAGCCCTTCTCCCTTTTACATACCTGCCTGTGCATCTTAAAGTTTCGGGCTTAGTGGTGTAGTTACAAACCACTGTTTGGAGTTTGTAGTGGATGAAGAAAGCGCCTCCAACAACAAAATCCCCATCCATTGAGAAAGCAGGTAAATGGGGAATACCTTCCAATGTACATTTCATGGATGAAACCTCAGTACTGACAGCAGCCAGGGCCTCTGTTGACTCAGTCTTTTGTTTCAGAACATCCGCAGCACCGACCAAGACAATCAGCTGGAACAAACTCACTGCTGATCTCAGCCCAATAGGCAGAGTCCTGAACTCCATTGCTTAATTGTCTGTGCTTTCCTGTGTGTTTCCTTCGTTTTTGTGCCACCTCAACTACGTCAGCCAATTGTTCATAAAACAATAGAGAAAAAATAATATGCCCCACCCCACCAAGCAATTTTTGTTTATTTATTTATTTTACGGCTGCTATTCATGTTTTGTTTTTTTTGGACAATTTTTTAGTTTTCAAGTTACCTTTCTGTACATTCAAAGTTTGTTTCCATTATTTAAAGTAATACAATGCAACTTTTTCATATTTTTTAATAATTTCCTTGGGCCAGTAGGTGCTAAAACGACCCTTTACAGGTTAATGAAATGCCCCCCAGACCCCCACCGCTCTCTGGGGCCAGAATATTGCACTTGCAAATTCAGAGTGTCGGTCCGGTCCCTGTTGGACATAGTGAAAGTGATAAAATTATACTATCCAGTGTGTGGGTTCCAAAAACACTGCTTCCCAGGTCTGTGGCCAAGTACCTTTCATTTTGAGAATGCTTTCCTCTACCCATTTTGAAAAGTAAAATAGAAAGACTTTCTTCTTAGTACTTAAAGAAGCATTGCTGAGCTTCCATCAGTTACAAAAATCCCAGAGAAACTTGTGGCTCAACAGCTAGCATGTAAACCACTCATCTGAGACCCTATAATGTTGCTTTTTGAAAAACATCGTTTTATAACTGTTTACTTTAAAGAACAAATTCCCTCCTTTTGCAGTTCTAGTTGGTGTGCCCCAAGGTTCTGTTTTGGGGCCTTTGCTGTTTTTGTACCGTCAGGGCCGTCTTGGCGACATTTAGCAAGATAACAAAGAAAACATTTTTACTGCTAGTTTGATGAAAGCTGTAAATTGGTGTTTACAAATGTGTTCAGATTCAGTGAAACAATGTGTCAGACTGGTCGGCTAGATACAAGGAGTTGAGCTGTAGCAAGCGTGGCTTCTCAGACGCGGAAGTGCTAGCGCCGGTTCGTGGCCTAATCTAGGAATCCCCAAGCGGGCACAGATGTCACAGGCGCTAGTGTACTCCTTGAAATCCTTAGCCATGCTCAGCCACCAGAGGGCCAACTGGAGGAATTTTAGATTTCGGTAGAACCCCGCATGTCCAGACATCCGTGACGAGTGGGCCCAGGACAGCGCCTTGCGGCAGCAGAATATAGGGGCGTAGAGGCAATTTGGGGGCGTCTCCGGAGGGGCGGGGTCATCCCGGAGGGCATGCTGGATAGCCTCCTCCAACGGCCACCTCAAGGGGGCAAGGAATCTGTGTTCCAAAAGGATTGGTGCGGGCTCGGACGTGGGCGTGGAGTGTGAGAACTGGCGGGAGAGGGCATCCGCTTTCTGATTCTTTGCTCCGGGGCGGTAGGTGAGATGGATATATCTTATTGGTATTGTACATAGTTATTCTAACACCCAGCTCCTTTCCTGCTAACAAAGAGAAATCCTACATACCTAAAATAAGTTATTTAAGCCAGAGACCTCTGAACTCTGCGCTTACCTTTCACTCAGTGCTCACTGCCTCTGACATTGACTTCTCTCCATTCAGGTGATAGACTTTTGTAGGGATGCCTTCTTCTTCCGGCTCTTGGAGGGGGCAGATGCTTTTTTTTTCCTCCTCTCCACCATATCTTATCTTCAAGGCCTTTGTCTGTCCGTGTGTGCTGGGTGCATGGCTGCTTCTGCATTTTTCTGGAAACTGGAAACTGAAATTCACTTAAATGGATCTCGTCAGTTGGTCTCTCAGCGCGATTGATACCATTTTTTCAACGATGAGAACGGGAAAAGGGGCTCCCGGATGCCCCGCCGGGACAGACCCAGTTGGACACATCATGTACTCCTGGAAACAGTGGAACTTGATCTGTCTTTCTCAGCTGTCTGTGGAGGACTTTGAAGACGTGTGGATATTCATGGTGTTGGTGACAGGTTTCCTGCTCATTGGCCTTGGAGGCTACCTGGCTTACCGGAAAATTAACGAGCTGTCGAGGAATATTGGCCTGATCCTGGAGCTCAGAGATGGTTTGCACCGCGCTGTGAATTCACAGACTCAAATAATTGTTGAGATGTATTGTAAGCTTGGGACTTTGGCGGAGATTCATTCTTTGGCACAAAAGATGGATGCCATCAAGGAGAGAGTGGACGAATCAGCACGAATTGGGATAGATTAATGTCCATTATTGGGATTTTGAGAGGTTGAGGACCAACAAACTGTAAGACAGAGGAAATTATCTCTGTCTGGCCCCAAAACAATTTCTAATCGGAATCTGGTGTCCTTTAGCCAGCAAGGCTCCAACGAAAACTCCCCCCTCAGAAGAGATGTGGAATGTGCCGTCACTATGGCAACTCAACTCTGTGTCCTTTCCCAGCCTGGGCGCGACTGCGGGAAGACCGCTGAGACGTTCCAGGGTCACTGCAACCCTCCAACCCTCAATGCTCCTCCCCCATCCACACTGAGGTGACATGCACTGCTTCGTGGCTGCAGGAACTGAAGTAGGGATAGTCCCAACCCACCACCCCACCTAGTGGACACTTGTGTTGTTTGAAGTTTGTTGCATATATATTTGAGGTAAGTAAGTAAGTAAAGTTTATTTATATAGCGCCTTTCACAGATATAAATCACAAAGCGCTGTACAACATGAGTAAAATCAGGGCAAATAGGTGTTTTTTTTTTGCATAGCAAAGCTGCCCTCCTGGTGGAGGGTAACTCTGAAGTGCCTTTTTTCCCTCCACCTGAACCACTCCTCATTTAACCCTCTTATCTCTATTAAGGTAGCGCGACTCAGGGTTGCGAATGACCACAGTCACCAATTCTTGTCATGTGTCTTGCCCATGTATGTCTGATCTCTGAATTGTGTGTACTGAAACTCTAATTTCCCTCTGGGATTAATAAAGTATCTTTGATTTGATTTGATTGATTTAGCCTCCTTGGACAGGAGACAAGATTCAAGCAGTTATAATATCCAAATTCAACATGGGGTTCTCCAGCCAACAATTCTACCATTTTGCTTTTTATTTTATGGTTACAGTGACAGTCTATGGGGACAGAAGATGACCTTACTCTGAAGTAATAGCTTTGATGTTTTCTTCAGAACAGCTGCTACATATTCTTATTTACTTAATATAATTGTTATATGGGGGGGATTGTTGGCATCTGCCTGATCAATATCGGTGGTGGCCTGGTGGGGGTCTGGGTCCCTGGGCTCTCCTGGGTCCCTGGCGGGGGTGGTCGCCCCTGGGTCCCGGGCTCGGCCGGCTAGGGGGTGGGAGGCTGCGGGCGGGCCTGAGGGCTTGCCGCTGATGTCTCCTGGGACTCTGCCGGCTGCTGGTTGTGGCCCCCCGGGGCGGTCCTCTGTGCCTCTCGAGGGGGGCGGGGGCCCTTCCGGTTGCAGTCTCCTTGGAGTTCCTGTGTTCTGGGGCAGCGCCTGGATCTCTGGGACTTGGAGCTCCCCCGTCTCTTACGCTTCTTTGGGGGGCAGATCTGTGGTCCCTCACACTCTCTATTGGACGCTCCTATAGATAAACCTTACATAAACAAGTGCGTGTACACACACAGGTGCTCACATGGTGCTCTCATAAGTATGGGCTTGGGCACGTTCAACACAGGTCTTAAGACTATGGTGGGCACTTAATGCACTGTGATCTATTATCGTGTGACTGTTCAGTTAAACAATGTTGATTATATATTTCTTCATCAAGTTGACGCAGTGATAGCTTGATCTTGTTGTATTGTTGTTGTGTCCCATTTTTTTGCTTTTCTTCTTGTCTTTTTCTGCAGGTCTAGAAGCAGACTCTTGTTCATTATTGTTTGTTTTTGTGGAACCCCCCCCCCCCCCCTCTCCCCACCTTTTTTCTTTCCCTTTCTCTTTCACCTCTGAATCCGTGTCTGGTCGGAATTACAAAGCATTAAAAAACAATAACAATAACAATAACGTTTTAAGTATCACCCCGGGTTTCCACGGGACCCGTCAGCAGCAGGTTACTGCAGCAGCACGTCTTGCTCGCGTAAACTGCTGCTTGGCCCTTCCCACGAGACGCAAAGCAGCAGGGGAGCAGCTGTCAACGACAGAGCACGAAGTCACACGAGTGACTTCGTCAGTAAACGCAACCACAAGCAGGAGAAAACTACAACATGGTTTGTGATTTATGTTCTGTCCATTTTATAATCGCCAATACGGACCTGAAAAACAAAGGAGACCGCTAGCTAGGTGATAACTTCTCACGGGGCGCACAGTTAGTAACCTTTTTTAAAAGTAAAGCTACCGGAAGGCAGTACGTTCTTTATTCTGAAAATCTTTGGAGCTTCTCTCCATTTTCGCATCCAATTTCCTGTCTTTCCTTCCCCAAAAATGTCGAACTTGACCCGTTTCAGAGGCATCGCGCGTAGAAAATAGATCCGGCACGTAAAGGCCGCGACATGCTGCTCCTGAGACGCGGCTGACTCGCGCTGCTGACGGCTCCAGTGGAAAAGGCTCTGTTGACCACAGCGGTTCCTATCAGCAGCTATGACTCGCTGCTGCAGTAATGTGCTGCTGACGGCTCCTGTGGAAAGCCGGGGTCAGGCGTGACATTACAAGCAGACGCTTTGATGCTCCACCTGAGAGTAAATCTGTAAGGCTTGTTACCAGCATTCAGACATCAATTCTGTTTGCTTCACAGCCAGACAGGACACGGTAAAAAAAATAAAAAAATAAAAAAAAAATATATATAATTGTGATTAGTCTAATACTACTGATAATAATGATGCATTTCTTTTACAAGGTACCTTTCACAACACACATTAAACATAAACAAGGTGTAGCAAAAAAATAGTTGGGTTAGGGCACATGTGTCAGACACAAGGCCCGCGGGCCAGATGCAGCCCGCGGAGCATTTTTATGTGGCCCGCAAGATAATTATCAAAAATATGTTAAAACTGAACCACTGGCTGATTTTACCGCAAAGACTACAACTCCCATGATGCTTTGTGGCGTTAGCGTGGAGCCGAAGCGCCCCCTCCTTTGTTTTTTTTCCAGCGTCTGCTGCCGGTGTCTGCAGCTCCGCTGTCTCGGACAAACTAAACACTCCTCTCACTCAGTGCCGAGTTCACTCAGCTATTTTCTGACGTTGAAGCCCAGAAACGGAGATTCTAGCCGCTCAGTAATGTGTTCACGACTGAAAGAGAAAGTTTTCCAACTAACGTCCAGACAGAGCTGATATAACGCCAGCGAGCAGCGACACGCTCAAACCAGCACGACTCTGCGGTTGCTGTAGTTTTTATTTTTCCTCCCCGACTCACAACAATGTGGTCAAGCTGCTCAGACATGTTCATCAGCACAAACCTATGTGAGCACCTGTTGTCATCTAATGTTGTCATTATTATGATGAAGATGAACAAAACAACAGGAGTCTCCTCCTCAGCTCAGATCAACCCCCTGATGCAGGTATCTGGCTGGAACAGGTGAGCATCACAGTAAACCAGTGGAGCAAACTGAGCTTTAAATATTTAGGTAAAATGCTCTTTTTCTGCTCCAAAACATGAATGTTAACAGGTGATAAATTGCATTTTCATTTAAGATAGAATAATATTTTTATTTTGTTGTTGGCCCGTGAGAAAAGATTTAACCTACAGTAAACAGGAAGTGGAAAGGCTGCAGAAAGATAAATAGAATAGAAAATCCCTTTATTGTTCCTCAGTGTGGAAAGCTAGATGTCACAGCAGCGATGACACTTATTACAGGAGAAAAAAAGGAGAATAAAAAAATAAGAAAAATGAATAAACAACAAGAAAACATAAATCCTGAATAGATTTTAAAAATGCTGATTATACCACAAGTAATGAATACCACTGATGCCTTTTATTTAAAACTGGCTTGCTCGTCTGTAATTTGGTTATTCCACATTCAGTGTTAATGCAGAAATATGTTTGTTTCCAAATTTAAAGGTTCAAAATTGCATATATGTTGATAAAGAAAATGTGCAAATTTGCGGTCACTTTTTCAAAAAATATTAAGGTTTGGCCCCCGACTTCGTCCCAGAGTTTCATTTCGGCCCCGTGTGAGTTTGAGTTTGACACCCCTGGGTTAGCGTGTGTTGTTGACATCCTGACGTATAGCAGCAAAGGAACATAAATAAGTGAACACACACACACACACACACACACCCATAAACAGACACTTGAGCAATGGAAACCAGATCTGTCTTGACTGGTCTGATATTAGCTGTGAATGTGTTGGCGCTGATGTCAGTTGTATTCTTAGATGGTTCTCTGGATGTTCTGAGACAAGGGATTGAGCCTACAGAGGCTCTGACGGGTGTGGGTGTTAGTCCTGAAGCTTCATCGATGAAGTGCTCTCTGCAGCGTGCTCCTCGTTTTCCCTCATTGTCAATGGCCGGGGACTTTGTCGTTGGAGGTGTTTTTTCTATTCACTACAAGCTTTACACAATAATTAATAATTACACAACAAAGCCAGAGCCTCTCAGATGCACAGGGAGGTTAGTAAAAAGAAGAAAGGGTGGAAAATTTTTAAATTTGATTGACTGATATGGTTTGTCAGAATGTTTAACGTGATGGTTGCTAATAGTGTATGCTTAATTTATTTATTTTTAAAATTACTATAACTGAAAAGAAACTATATTTTAAATATGTGTTTTTTGTAGATTGTTCTTACTGTTTGAAGTTGATTTAACTCATATTTAATTTTATCTTTTAGTTAAAAAAGCAATTTTTTTTTAATTCTATGAATCACTAATTTAACTGAAGTGTTTATAGTGAATTTTAAAAAAATTGTATAGTTCTGCAAATTTGTGTTTTAAATTCAGTATTGAGGTGATTTCTCCACTCTCGTTTTTGTGGCAGTTTGAACACCCGAAATTTGCGCTTCTCTCGTGCAATGATCTTTGCTATTGAGGAGATCAACAACAGCACGGAGCTGCTGCCGGGCATCAGACTTGGATATCAGATCTACGACTCATGTGCTTCTGTGCTTGTTGCCACGGATGCGGCATTACAATTAGCGAATGGGCAAGAGCCCGCGTTTTCCAAATACAGCAACTGTTCCCAAACTGGAGTAGTAATAGCTGTTGTCGGAGAGTCTGGATCTTCCCAAACCATCGGCATATCACGCATCATCAGTTCCCTCAACATCCCTCAGGTAAGATACCTGGACTATTGTACATATTATTTATTTATATGTTTAATTATATGTGCGTGTGTGTGTGTGTGTGTGTGATTTCTCTTCTCATTTTAGGTCAGCCACTTTGCTACCTGTGCCTGTCTGTCAGATAAGCAGCAGTTCCCAACGTTTTTCAGAACCATTCCCAGTGACCAGTTCCAGGCTGATGCACTGGCCAAGCTGGTGAAACACTTTGGCTGGACTTGGATTGGTATCGTTCGCTCAGACTCAGATTATGGGAATTATGGGATAGCTGCTTTTCTTGTTGCAGCACAGAGAGAAGGAATCTGTGTGGAGTACTCTGAAGCTTTCTATCGCACCGACCCACGGAGCAAGATCCAGAGAGTAGCTGGTGTTATCCGCAGGTTTCTACTTCACTGATTTTGCATAAATTAGAATTTGTTTTCTGCCCTATAATGGGGAAAAAAACAGAAATTTTAAAAAGACATAAAAGAACATGCAGATATATGTTAGAAATGTAAATGTCCTTTTCATAGGTCAACAGCAAAGGTGATTGTGGCCTTCACAGCTCCGGGAGACATACAAGTGCTTTTGGAGGAGCTGGCTCTGGAGCCTCCACCGCCTCTTCAGTGGATTGGAAGTGAGGCCTGGGTATCTGACCCAAACTTTTTCAGCTACAGTTTCTGCAAAGGAACCATTGGAGTTGCGATTCAGCAGTCGGTCATCCCAGGACTGAGAAAGTTCCTACTGGACCTTTCTCCCATCAAAGTAGCTTCCTCCTCAGTGCTGACTGAGTTTTGGGAGGAGGCCTTCAACTGTACCCTCAAACAAAGTGAGAACGCTTTAGCTAAAAACAATGATGATGATGAGAATGACCCTACAACAAAGTGTTTATGTTTTAGTTTATCAATCAATTTGACAGAAAAAATGAAGTTCATTCATGTTGTTGTTTGTAAGATTATCGTTTTGAAGTGCCTTACTAAACACACACACACACATGCACGCGCGCACGCACGCACACACACACACACACACACACACACACACACACACACATTATGCTTAGTGAAATAGATAAATGCAAATTATTACTGTCAGAATCAATATTTTGCCTTTGTCTTTATTTAGGAGGTACTCCACTGAAAAGACAATGTGATGGAACCGAAGACATAGAGGAGCTTCAAAACCCGTACACTGACACATCTCAACTAAGAATAACGAACATGGTGTACAAGGGTGTTTATGCAATCGCTCATGCCATTCACAAATCTGTGTGTAAGGAAACTAATTCTGTTGCTGAGTGTGACAAAGACAAACGTCTGGAATCCAAACAGGTTGTTGCAAGAAAAATTAATACAAATACTTTTTAAAGCATCAAATTCTGAAGCTTAAATTATACATTACAATTAGGGATATCTAATATTATTGGTCTATTTATATCGGCCGATATTAAAATGTAAAATGGGAAATTTTCTGTACTGATTTTCAGTCTTTTAAAGACAACTCGCCGTGCACATATCAAAAGCTTAAGCTTCTTCGCTCTCTTAAAATGTCAAAATACGAGAGCTCAACTTGTGAAGTAGAAATGTGTTCTGTCTTCACACGAGGCTTGCTTTTCTTATCTGAAGATCTTTATAATATTTTATCAGCACAGCTGCAAAATAGAGAAAAAGAAACAATGCATTATTAATGTGTACACAAGTCTTTGCATCACACTTAGGGAAAATAAGATTCAGCTTTGTTTGAGATGAATAAATGTGGCATTTTTACTATTTCAAACTTGAATTGAAATGGTTGATTTTATTTTTTTAAAGCATGCATGAGAGGAGATATGTGATGTTGGTAACCAAAAATGTTTTAGTTTTCCTTTGTTATGAGTGGGGGACACAGCATATATCAATATCGGTTTATATTGGTTTAAGAAATTAGGAGTCAGACAATATCAGAATAATGGATATTGGTAAAGAAAAAAGCCAATGTTGAGCATCCCTGATTACAATGTTTTCATTTTGCCCCTCTCATTTGTTCTTCAGGTTTTTTCTGAACTGAAAAAAGTCCAATTTTTCCGCAATGGTTACCATGTTTCTTTTGATGCTAACGGAGATCCTGCAGCTTATTATGAGCTGGTCAACTGGCAGAAGAGTGAGAGGGGCGTCACTGATGCAGTAACAGTAGGGTACTATGATGCATCACTGCCAACAGGTCAGCAGTTCCGTGTCAACAGACCCATAACCTGGGTGAATGGTGACACACAAGTAAGGAATTTTTGGTGACAAAATGAGAGAGAAAAAGTTCTTAAACATTTCCATGACTTGCATTCTTGTTACAGGTCCCAGTATCAGTGTGTACTGAGAGTTGTCGTCCAGGAAGTCGTAAAGTCCTGCAGAAAGGAAAACCCATCTGCTGCTATGATTGTATACCATGTCCTGAAGGAGAGATTAGTAACACGACAGGTACATTCAAGTTGTTATCTTTGAATCACATCATTCCACATGTGATCACCAACATCCTTCTTATTTATTTAGATTCTCCAGACTGTTCCCCGTGTCCCAGTGAATCGTGGCCTAATGCACAAAGAGACGCTTGTTTCCCCAAACCTGTGGAGTTTCTTTCCTATGATGAAGTCCTGGCAATCATCCTGGCTGCATTCTCTGTTAGTGGGGCCTGTCTGGCCATCATAACAGCAGCTATTTTCTTTCATCACAGAACAACTCCAATTGTCAGAGCCAACAATTCTGAGCTGAGCTTCCTGCTGCTCTTCTCTCTGACTCTGTGTTTCTTATGTTCATTAACTTTCATCGGAGCTCCCTCTGATTGGTCCTGCATGCTGCGACACACAGCGTTTGGTATCACCTTTGTTCTCTGTATCTCCTGTGTTCTTGGCAAAACTGTAGTGGTTTTAATGGCCTTTAAAGCTACACTTCCAGGTAGTAATGTCATGAAATGGTTTGGGCCTCCACAGCAAAGAATGACTGTTGTGTTTTTCACATTTGTTCAAGTATTAATCTGTACTGTGTGGTTGTTACTCAGCCCTCCATTCCCAATGAAGAATCTGAGCACATACAAGGAGAAGATCATCCTGGAATGTGCATTAGGTTCTGCTGTTGGGTTCTGGGCTGTGCTCGGGTACATTGGCCTGCTGGCTGTTTTCTGCTTTGTGTTAGCTGTTCTAGCTCGGAAACTACCTGATAATTTTAATGAAGCCAAGCTGATAACCTTCAGCATGCTGATATTCTGTGCAGTGTGGCTCACCTTCATCCCAGCATATGTCAGCTCTCCTGGAAAATTTACTGTAGCTGTGGAGATATTTGCTATTCTGGCCTCCAGTTTTGGACTGATTCTGTGTATATTTGCTCCAAAGTGTTTCATCATCTTATTTCAGCCTGAGAAGAACTCAAAGAAATATGTAATGAACAAAAATTAAAAGTAAAGCATTAGAGATTTCACAACAGAATTGCAACGTAAGAATGATTACATAATTGTTTGAATTTTTCACGTTTGCTCCAGACAGTTCTATGTTTCTTTAATAAGCTGATTCAGGAACAACTTTCACTTCTAATGCAAATATTGTAATTTTCCTTTGTTGTTGTTTACTTTGATTTTTCTAGTCTTCTTAACCTTCCCACTGTCCTAATGGGTGTGACCCCGCGAGGAATGTTGACCATTGAGAGGCTTGATGGTTTATCCCTTGGGTCCATGTGGCAGGGGTGAGGAGTGAGCACCATCTCACTCCTGCCACGTGGACCTCGCGTGGTCACCCATAAAGACAGAGGGAGGGTTATTTCTTAATAATTCTCATGTCAAAAACAAAATATAGCAACTAATGCATATAAGTAGAAGTTGTCAGTCCTGCACATATTTTGAAGATAATATGAGTTTTCTACAGAAACATTAGTTTCCCCCTTTAGCCGGACGGACACTGTGCAACTTTTTCACTCGTAGCACTCAGCTTCAGCTCAAACTGTACGACTTCCTCGCAGGGCAGATCTCACGAGCCATGTGCTCACACTGTGCGACCCAGTTCTCGGATGTGACCTGACTGCTCACACTGTACGTCTGGTAGCAACACGTCGGACCTAAAAATATGCCAAAAATAGCAGTTTTTACACAACACGTTGGAGTATTTTTTTTTGTCTTGTTTTGCCTGTTGTCCTTCAGGAGTTCTGCAGGAGGACACACAGGGATTTATGGGGGTTGGGTGAGGAAAACAAAATAAAGAAAGTAAATCTGTGTTTTGTGATCAGTTTAACTTGACATAAACATGACGAACACGCTTTTTTGACAATCCTTGTCATTATGTGTAAAAGACGTGTAGAAATAAAAACAAACAACGTGTGTTATTAAGGAAATAGCGGTTGAGCGGTGTTGACGCATGATTGCCACCGTGAGCGGTTCTGGTACTTTTTGGGTCGCAGCCGCTTGCTGCGCCACTTCAACCCTCATGAGGGACGAGCAAAATATCAAACACTCCAGAAGTCCGTGCAAGCTCACGATTGCTGATCGGTAGCTGGTCACATGGTGTTAATCACCTCTCATAACCCCCTGTATACTACACGACGCTCAGCGCAAAACTCGCCCCGATCTTGTGAAATATTGCACGAGTGGAAAATCGGCTCAAAAAGTGAAAAAGTCGCACAGTGTCCGCCCGGCTTTAGACCAAAGATATGTGATTTAATTTTTTACTCTAAATTGTCATTTAGTATTTGTGTGAGTGAAGTATTTTGTTACATTTTTTTTCCAAATGAGCCTTGTTGGTCTCTCTTCCGTTAGACCAAGCACGGGTACGGAGTAGATGGAGTTAAACACCTTTTAAGTTGACAGAACGAGGAGACAAATGATCAGAAGTCCATTCACTGTTTCGCCGCTCATGAGGGGGAGAGTCTCTGCAGCAAGTCCCGCGACCTGCTCTTGCCAGATGCTTCGGACAGACTCTCGCCGTTCTGCTGAAAACGGCTGATTTTTATTGAAGATTACAGGAATGTTACATACGTAGTTTGCCATACACACACGTAATTCTGCCATCTGCACCTGCAGACGCACGTCAGCTAATAGCCTTGTTAATGAAAGACCAATTCATCCCAAGGACATGCAACCTTGAGATGATCAGGACACATCCTGCAACATCCTTTGCTAACAAAGACAGTTGTTCTTGTATTGAGGAACTGAAGGAAGGAACGCTTTCACTCCCTTATGCAGCTGTTCAGCTTGAGCAGAAAAGGCACAGAGAGGTCTTTGATATTATAACAAGATTCCATGAAAAGGCATATAATAATGTATTTATGATAATATATAAGGGGCAAAAGTGAGAGATACATATTTAATCATATAAAAGAGCTTATAATAATATATGAAAGAGCTTATATGAGAGATATATATTTTCAATCCCCCTTTTGAACTCTTTTAAGAGTTCAATAAAGATATAAGAAATCAAAACAATAACACCAAATTCCATCAAAAAGAATCCAATAAGCAAAGTTTTAAAATACCAATACAAACAACCAATCAGATTACATTTACTCATCTTTCTAGCAGTAAACTAATACAAAAAACATGATCATACTTTCAACAGAACATGTTACAACATGTATGGATCGCATGCAACTCCATATGAGGGCGAAAAACCCTAATTATCATATGTTTATAGGGAAAATTCCCCCATGTCCCCCCATTTGTCATATCTCAATTTTGGGGCGAACACCTGTTGGCATAGAGTGTGCATGCCTAGGACATCAATGATCAACAAAAAATAAAACAAAACAAACAAAAAAATCATAAAAATGAACTGGTGAAGGGATGGTTACATAAATCACTGAACATTCTCACACTCTAACAACATCTTCTTCATCATGAGAGTCATCACTATCATCAGAGAGTTCCCCTCCCAAATAGATGTTAGGATTGGCTAGTAACAAGGGCATCTGGATAATTGGGTCAGCAGGTGGAGGGTGTAAAATATTACCCTTGTAAAATAAATGAGGGTGTTAAATACAACCCTTGTAGAATGTTCATAGGGTGGCTACTTCTTCCCCCTGTTGAGGACCCTTCACTGGCTCCAGGCAGCTGCAGGGGGTGATGATGTCATGATTCTCGTCCTGCAGGATGTGGTGGCAGCTTGGCATGCTACTGCAGTCAGCTACTTCTCTTCCTGGTTTTTGGATCCTTTCTCTGGTTAGGCAGATGTCAGCTGCTTCTCTTCCAGGTTAGGCTCCTCCCGTCCAGCCGGACAGCGTGTGACGTCCTCTCCGTGATCCTGTATGGCTCGGTCCACCTCGGTTCCGTCCACTTCCTTTTGGTGACTTTTAGCAGGACCCAGACGCCTGGCACCGAAGACGAAGCCTCTTCGTGTGTGTAGTTTTGGTCCAATGAAGGCTTTCTCGGCTTGTGCAGTCCTTGATCTCGTCAGATAGTTGGTAGGAAGATTCACACTCCGGCCGGACCAGAAGTTCCCCGGACCGATCGCCTAGGGATTAGAGGTTATGCACAAAAATGTCCTAGCTCTTACTGACCCTAGCCTCTGATACCTTCAACATCAGACACATACAGTTACGAACAGCAAGCGCAATTAAAGGTACAGTGACATCACGACATGGACACACACAGACACACAAACACATACACATGCACATACACAGAGAGAGAGGGAGAGAGTAAGAATGTGTGTGGGAGAAAGAAATGTGTGGGATCCATTTTGCCACCAGCATCTCCACCTGTGTCACAGAGAAAAAATTGCAAAGAAATTAAAACATAAAGCAAACAACAATAATTCAATGAGTATAAATGATCAAACTAAAATATACAACCATGCATGGGTTTTATAACAGTTCCAGCAACACTGGAGATGATGCCTTGTATAATGAATTCTTAAGATGTCCTTCATCAATTAGAGGTTATAACCAAATTGTTTCAGGATCCTGAATTTGAATTTGAATTGGTTAATTTACTCAGAATAGTCCAATGTCTTTGTTGATGTTTCTCAAGGCTCGGCCATGCCCATATAGATAAATAAGCAAACAAACAAGACAAACACAGTCAAACACACGGTCCATACACGTCTCTGTGCCCTCACACACCAAGCAAATGTCAGACTGAAGCGAAAGTGTGAAATACTTAACCTAACGCTAAATCAGTGGAAAGAAAAAATAAGACCTAAAGCGTGTAATCAAATTAATCCAACAAAACTTCCCATAACTGCTGTTCTAAACTCACGTTGCGATGTGATCTCTCCAATTAGAAATTAGGACAATCACTTTACTATCAATTCAACCAAAAAGTTTCAGGTTGTCCCTTACCTAAACTACCTGTCTTTCTTACCTTCTTTCTTTCTTTCTTTCTTTCTTTTTTAGGAACACTACTCGCACAAGAAATCCTAAAAATTAATTCACTACTTAAGGTTAATTCATAAATAACGAAACTGCAGTTACAGGTTTGTTTGTGCATAGTATTGGTAATCAGCAGCTTTTTTCCTTATCTCCTCATCTAGAAGTGTTTCTGTGCTACTCCTCCATCTATAACACAAGTTAGTATCATCCTTAAAGCATCTGAAATTAAGCTGCATTGCTAAATCAATAACGTGATTTGTGCTAAGAAATACTCCCCTATCCTCTTCCTTTTTCCAGTGGCGCTGAATGACAGATTTTAGATCAATTTAACGTTTTATCACTATTACGTTTCATTTAATTAATTTTGCTTTTTCTCTCTTATTTTTGTCTATTTATTTATTTATGTTATTTACTTATTTATCATGCCATCCTGTGATGATAATCTTAAAGACTTTTTAGCCAATTGTCGTCAAAAAGGCCATTTAAAAATATTATGTTAAAGATTTCACAAGATAAAAATGTGAACATAATTTTTATCGAATGAGGGGTACAATTATTCAATATTTTTGTGACATTATTTTCTACGTTAGAACTTACAGCTGATAGAAAAATATAGGATCAGCTAGGTTTGGCTAGATCTGTTGGGAAACTCAACGGAGCTGAAACAACACTGTTGTCTCGGATGAGATGTTCCATGAATCATTTAGTCAGCTGGATGCCAAATTATTCATTTAATGTTTATTTTTATGCAATGAATGGAATGGGATGGAACGTTACTATAAACTATCCGGAAATTTGCGCATGTTTGCTCGAAGGAGAGAACTGTTGAAGCCTAAAGCGTTCTCCTAGACTTATAAATAGACACCGTTTCCTTAACTAATGAAGATAAGTGATGACGCCGATGAATGACTTTTTGAAAAGAAAATAAGGCTTTACTGCATGTCCGCTGCAGCTGAGAATCCTAAGACAATAAAGATTATATTGACGTCCAATGATGAGTTGGGCTGAAATCCAGGTTACTAATCCTATTATTTATTTATTTATTGATATTATTATTATCTTTTTTTAGGCTAACTTTCTCAGTTAACTATGTTCTACAGTAGTTTAGTAAATTTTCCACAGTTCTGACATTTCATCAATTCAACTGGTTGTTGCCAAAAAGCCTTGTTCATTACCTGACTGCAGCAAGCACTCTTTTACTGGGTGTAACCATAGGAAACAGTCTCTTTTGAGCCTCTCTTTGTAAGTCCAGGATGACCACCGTCATTGATTGAAGTTCACATGTTGGCACACATGCTCCCCCTTTTGTACTTTGTTTCATCAGCAGCAGGGCAAATAAGTTTCTGCCTCTTTGTCCATCTTGTAGTGCTCCCCGTCTTGATGTTATGAGTCACAGTTTTTGGTGAGGGCTTCCAGGTTCTCTTTGTATAGAAGTCAGAGCCAAACTTTCTTTGCAGCTGGTTGTGACAGGCCCACCCAGTAAAGTTCATGCCCCCACAATGCACAGCAAACGTTTTCCTTAAATATGTTGATTGAGTTGAAAGGACAGAACTTTCTCTTTTACAAATCAAAATCAACGAAGGTTTCTAATATTTAGTCGACTTTATTGACTCAAAGGTAAATCTAGACTATTTCCTATGCACAATTTTTCTGACTCGTCAAATCGGTTCTACACAGGTTTTAAACTTTAGGCACAATCTATCCCAAATGCAAGATCCCTCCTTTCATTTTTTATTTATCTATTTTATTTTGGGAAAATAACTACCAGTTTTTAACTCAAAACAGCCTAGTACAGTTTCTAGCCAGGTTACAGGAAATAATACTTAGTTTATCTGTTTTTTCAT